ATCGTTTATTACACCGGCAAACCCATTGAAATTTGAAGTTTATTCCATAAAAGCTATGGATAACACTTTCGATCGGTTTACTGGCGTAATAACCCAAACTTTTCTCGTGTTCTCCCAACAATCCGCATGTGTTATTATGCCTCAAAGCGATCGAAAGTACAGTCTATTGCTTAATTGTGACGTGGTTATTGGTATGTTACATACTATCAAACAATCAGGATTAACATCAAAAAGGGAAACTACAGTATAAACATTTAGAGAGACAAACTCGAAAAAAAGTGTATAACATAATGTAGAAATAACATTTGTAGAGTGCAGAATAGATCGAAGAAGCGCAAGCCATATAAGTAGATTTTAGTCATCATGTGACAATGCAACTTTGTCTTCTACCCAGCATTTTAACAGGAATAAAATGTCTTTCTCGTAAGCGTTAAAGCGGAACAGCTTTAGAAACTAGGGCAAATGACTAGCATAATTCTCTAATGTTGTAAGCGTGATGTTCTCAGGCTCCACGTGGCCTCCATGCTGTTGTAATATGACGACTTGCTTAGCGACGATGTGTTTAAAGGAGTCTGAATCATGGAGATTGATCTTATTACTAATTATGGCTTCAATTGCTTCAAAATTATGTAAGATACTAATTATTTACAAAAACTTTCAGATAGAATTCGTCAGTATATGCTTAAGTTTAAGCTGACAGAAATGTTACGGAGTTAAATCTAGATTACTCAGTGTTGCTTTGTTTAATTGATTGATTGATTGATTGATTTGATAAATACAATGAGGCAAATCTTTGAGGGCATAGCATCAGAAAGAAGCAACCTTTCTCGTTTAAAGATTATATAAATGTTTAGTAAGACATAAGTTTACATCAACGAATTCACACCAGATGTTATAAAGAGAAGAGCACAGAGGTATAATGTTGAACAAATCGGCTGAAAAAAAATCGGGCAAAAGCTGGTGTTTATATAGAGCGTAGAAAATTTCGTTACGGACATGACATTGTTTAAAGTCGTTCGAGCTTTACTTACACTCGGCTCATACTTATATACTCTGAAGTCCACTGAAAGTGTATTGTGCGGTAAAATCACATAAAAAGATAGAACGTTAAAGCTAATATCAATCTCAAACAGCAATTTACTGCACAAAGACGAGCTGATGTAATTTTTTTAGCGAAATATTGAACAACAGGATGTTAAGAGCCATGATGCCCACACTTTCATTACAGCGCTGGCCATATTGAATTTACAAGGTTTGAATATCTTTGAGGGATCAACTTCGTAAATGCATTTTGAAGTAAGTATGTGGTAGAACTCCAATGTTGTGACCTTACAAGGGTGAAATCACGATACATAATTCACATCTGTTACCGCAACTTAAATTGACTGAGAGGTTCGACAGAAATTTTTCTGAAAACGGTTTGTGTGAAAGCAGACACTGGGAATTTTAAAAATGTCGCAATTTTCTACAAGAATGTTACTTTACACATATTGTCGTTCCCATTCCTTTGCGCGCGTCACAAGAATGCGCATGCGTATTACCGCTGTATCCCTAGGAATGATCACAAGATAATCTTGTGCAAGATTCTCGACAGTTTGATATCAGAGTTACGGTGAAATCGCACGATTGATCATAGACGTTTGTGCTCCTTCATATCACGACCAAACCTATGATTTTTCTAGCGTTACACTACTGAAATAGACATAGAAAATCGCTGTATACTCGATAGCTTCTCTTAATGGGGGAAGTTTGCTGGAGATATAAATTTCGAGCGGCGTTACTAGCTTTGAATATGCTCTTTTGTAACAAATTATCGCAACTATAATGAACGTCATGAAATTATTATGGTGAGCCGAACTGAGAGGTAATGGGGCGAAGGAAAAAAGTAGAAATAAATAGTGTTTATAGCACAAGGACCGATAAGTTAATATCAAAAGGTATTGGACGGAACGATGTTTACCGAGGAATAATTATCATTAACGTTTGTTGGTGACTTTGAAATATTTAGTCAATGCTATGCTTAAGGTATCCAGGGTAATGTTGATGATTGGCACGGCAGTTTTAATTCAGTGCGATTAATTTCAGCACGGTCTGTCATTCTATTCATATAAAATATATCATCGATTTTAAATTTCATTTTAAAGTACTGATAAGAGAGAACATAACGTAAATAATCATTTATCAAATTAAAAAATAAATCGATCCCCTGTTAATTTTGGTCCTTCTGTACTAATTTTTTTAATTGATAAGTACGTGGCGGACGAGATCAACTCTAATAGAATATCAATTTACAAACCACGCTACTTGTATCCATATTGGATTCTCCGACGCGGTTTTTCCTTGTCCATGCATTACAAATACCAAGGACGTTGCATGTTCAAGTTTTACTGGAAGTATTGAGCATAAGTAGGGAATGCTGATGGTACTTTGAGTTTCTAGATTATTTCTGAATTGGAATTAGCTCACTGGAAGTGCTTTAGATACCTTCGATTGATAGACACCTTCGTTTCAGTCGAATTCGCGAACCCGCTCGTTCGGTGGAGCCTAATATTTGAACTTACCTGGCGACTCTATAAGGTGTTTAGACTTTCTACCTCGCGTGCTTAAAACTAAAACGTTGCTTTGATAAAGCTTTACCTTCGATGATATTGTAGCGATCCTCGTTTTCCACCGCGGTAACCCTTCCTCTGCGAGTGGATCGTCTCGCAGCTAATTTTAGGAAGTATTCATAAACTGCGTAAACTATACATATCGTCATCATCATCATCACAAACCAAAAAGCGTAATTCGATTGACATTCCTGTTCCTTCATCTTTGTTAACAAAACTTAGATGAATCTACGTTAGAACTGATGACAATCCAGCGCTGATTTGCACTTACATTTAAACAGTCATTGATCCATGAAAATAAAGAAAGCAAATTATCGATTACTCGGTTTTATATACATGTTTACAGCACAGAATGTCTCCCCAAAATAATGCACCGTCTGGTCAGGCAGCCAGTACTCTAATTTTTACTTTTAATATTTTCATTGTTATAATTTATTTTTGAGCAAGAGTGAGTACAAATAAGGATTGATTGCTTGATTGATTGACTCTGAGGATCTCGAATCGTGAATCAGCGGTCATTTTGCTGAATTTGTCTTTAAAAGTTAGAAAAACTTTCTGCTATTTTTGATTTTGAGAAAATCGCGTGGAGTGGAAAACAAAATCAAACTGTGGTTTCCCGTATGTCAAAATGTTAAAATAAGCTGTGAGAACGAAGCACCACAAATATCCACAATGAAGTATGGAAGTCAAATTTTCACCAATTTAGACGTTTGAAAAATGCCATGGATGATACACATCAAAGAAAGCCGTCGACATTTAGATTGTCCAGAAACAGGTAAAGAGATTAGGTGCACTCTCTTATCCTTGAGTTCCTCACTATCAACCGTCACAAAGACACACCTGTTCATCGACGAAAACGTTTTCAAAATTCTGAAGCAAACTGAAATGAGTATATTTTCCATCCAACCTCTTTTTTCCCTGATGGGTTGTCAGTTAGCTTATGTATCCCATCGCCCAGACTGCCGCGACACATCCGGGACCTTTGCCAATAGCGTTAAATTTGAATTCTCGCAATTGAAAAAATGCGAAACAATAAAGAAAATGGCCAAAAACGAGGATTAAGAGATTTTCCACATCTTTTGTTTTTTTCTACACCTAATACCTTACTCTTATTCGGGCTAATGCTGAAAGACAGGTGGACAAGTTCATCATTTGATCATGAGTAACTGAATAGAGAAAAGCAGACACTGCAGTCCATTTGTTACGTGGTTTTTGCCTGTTCAATGTTACTTTTGATAAGAGAATTTACAGTGCAAACGTACCGAAATATTCAACAACAATTCTTAATTTTTTTTTTTATCAAAATAAAATAGTTATAACCAAAGTTTTTTTTTCGTTTCAGCCGAGGGAAGGTTCGTCTGAGAAACGGGAACGATCCAAAAGTGGAAGCGAAGCTATACATTGGGCATTAGTTGCAAACAGGAGCCCATAATGGGCTCCTGTTTGCAAAGGTTTACCATAAATAACTTGTCCAGTCTATCTATCAAATTGCATCGTTAGTTCTTCAAAAGAATGGTTCTGTAAATACCTATTAAAAGGGAAGGATAATTACTCTAATGGCTGATACGCGATATCGTCAACTAATGAATAGCAAGACTGATTAAACAAGTCCGAATATATGAATTATATGTATAGCTTCTGTACATCAAGAAAGCCATGTAATCAGTGGTCGTCGCAACTAACATTATTGAACAATTGCAGTCTCGTTACCAGACCTTTCTCGGCCAAGCGGTCGTAAAGATCCTACATTTCATAACACGATAGGATCTGGGTACGAGATTAGAAAAGTTATTGAACTATAGAGATGCCTCCAATATTTTCATATAATTTTCCTCGTCAGTACTTTCATTGCTTCCCACGCTGCTGAATTCAATTTTAAAATTCAAGTGTCACTCAAGGAATCTGCCTACAGCTTTAAGACCGTCAGACTTTGGCCAAAAAGGGCTTTTTATTTATTTTGACTTGTACCTAAGTCTTTACTTTTGCGGAATGAGACAAAAACGTGCTTAACAGCTTTGTCTCCAGGGTCCAACCTTACATACATACATACATACACCCATACATGCATGCATACACACATACATACATGCATACATACATGCATACATACATGCATACATACATACAAACTTTAATGGAACTCCCTTCAACAGGGCTTTTCAGTCACAATAAACTAACTAAACTTATTTACAATAACAATAAAATTATAAACTAACAATTATTTCTTATAAAACATATTTTTAAAAAGAGTCTTCTTAAAACTATCAATTTCTTTCACATTCTTAATATTCTCAGTTAGCGCATTCCATTCCCTTGGGCCCCGGTAGTAAAACCTCCTTTGTCCCGTTGACAGTCTACATCGGGGAACCACAAAACTATTATATTACATTCCTTTGTATTCCTATCGTGGACTGCTGAACGTTTAATAAAATATTTAATTAAATAATCTGGAGCCAGACCATTAACACATTTAAATGCTAAAATCCAGTCATTAAATAAAATTTTCTCTGTAACATCTAACCATCCAAGTGATCTCTGACCCTGAGAGATGTGGTCAAACTTCCTTAACTCTAATACAACTCTGGCTGCAAAATTTTGCACTAACGGTAGTTTGTGTAGATTACGTTTAGATGTGTTCCCCCCCACTGAGGAACAATAAAACAATTTACTGAAAACAAAGTTATTTATAAGCAATAAAAGTGTTTTCTTGTCTAAGAGATGTTTAATTCTTCTAATGTGTACTAACTGGTTCATGCAATTAGAGGCTGTCTTAGCGATGTGTACATCACAGGTAAGATATTGGTCAATATATACCCCTAGATCCTTGGCAAACGGAACTGGTGAGATAGTTTCGCCTAACAAAGATAATGAAATAGGAGGAAGCCTCTTAATAAGTTGTGCTGAGCCAACAACCACTAATTTTTGTCTTGTCAGGGTTTATAAGCAGAGCATTTGTTGCGCACCATTTAGTAATATTCCTAAGATCTTGGTTTACGGCTGCCATAACACTTGATGAATCTGATACAGGAAATAGGAATACAATGAGGACTCACGCGAAAAATTATCTGAAGTTCTCTTACGTTATCTAGACTTAATTAAACCGTTAAACGGTCTCCTACTCAATCAAGTAAACCAGTCAACAATGTACTTTATGCTTTAGAAAATAGAGGAGGTAAAAAAACCTCGTAGTTCTGAACATTTCAGGTGGAGAACGGCTTACCTCTAACTTTGATACTGAGATAATGCCACGATAATTTTCGAAACGGCCTTCAGAACTTAAAATTATCAGACGTGATCACATCGGTGATCCTGGCAGTATGCAGGACGCGTGTCATATGTACTTCGTGATGGACCTTGCTCGTCATAGAGTCTCTGTGGCTCAGTGGTAAAGCATCGGAACGCGAAATACGAAGGTCTAGGGTTCGATTCCTCATATGGTCTCAGAAATTTTTTTATTTGTCCCACGCTCGTGACAAGACGAAAAAACATCTTTCTCTATTTCTTTACCGAGCTCAAAACTTCCCATCTCTCTTATTCTACTTATAAAAATTGTTTAGATTGTCATACTAATCATTGCGCAGCTCAATTTCATTTATACGCTACATACTCCAATTAGCATGGCATTTTTTCAATAGACGAGAATAGTACTTATTTTCTATCTAATGATTTTTTGTAAGAATTAACAAATTTTAAGGGTTTTCTTTCGACTATTTGTTCGAGGCAACTTGTCATGTGTTATCTTCTTTGAAAAACGACGTCACCATACCTTATACTTTACATTAATTTAGTGGAAAATAGCAGCAAGTTCTAGGAAACAACCTAGAGGTATTTAATTTAAGTTTATGGATCAATATAAATAAACTACGTCATCAATTAAAGAGGGAGACGAAACAATCACTGAATTTTCAGCTCGTGTTGTATCTCATTGAAATGTATCACTCCTACCCATTCCTACTCATTCCTTGCATTGTCAAAACAGCATATTCTAGAAAAAAAAACTATTCTCATTGAATTCTATATATATCCTAATTTAATTTAAAATAGTCGCCTTCTGTCTGGAAACTGTCTTCGAATGATTGATGTTAGCAGAGACAAAAGAAGGGGTTTTTCCCTTGTGAGAATGAAACGGTTTACTTCCTACGGTCCATTTGGTTAATCATACATTGCACACTTCATTTTCTTCGTTATATCTTAGTTTATGACAATAACAGCTTAATTTCAAGTATTTCATCAGCGTATATCTTTGTAAATGAGATCTGTATATTTTTCATCATTATCATAATTTGCCCTCAAGCTTATTTAACAGCATCCACTGCGCAAGAAATGTCTATCACGTGCAAGCGCTTCAAAGGCCATTTTAAGAGCAATCATCCGAAAAAGACGCTGATCCAGCACGGCTGATACACAATAGAAATGCTAAAATGTCACCTTTGTTTATGTGGTTTGAACACGCAAACATGTTTTGCTTCAAAGTGCGGAAATGCTTCAGTTCTTATCTAGCATCAAAGGTGCTTTCCTTCATACATTTAACAAATGAATTAGAAACTAGAATAGTCTATATCTAGATAAAGCCCCGTGGATCTGAAAATGCGACCAGAGGTATTCATTGTTCCAAAAGTGATAAAGCAACTTAGACTGTCTTAAAACTTAATTGCTGTGCTTGCCCGCCCAGTATGACGTAAATTAGTTTTTGGGGTTTAGTTGTTCGTGGTGGTCATATGATGCTATTATTTCTTTGATAAAGAAGTAAAGAATGCGCATTTTTTAGCCTTTCAAGAAAGAACCACAGGAAGCATTCTTTCCTTTGAACAAATCTATTGCTGCTAGCTTCTCTTGGACCTCTTTCACACAACGCAGCATGAATTTAAAAGTTTGTCTTTATTTCTAAGGTTAGGCACATTGTTCACAGTAATTTGCCCACTGAAAGGAGCCCTATGACAGCGATTTTCAAAGTGCGTAACTTTGAAAAACCCTGGCTTTTCCTTGTAGTGTGGATTAAAAATATTTCAACACGGAATTTTTCAAACGATGAGTCATTGCTCTTTGAAATTACTTTCGGAACAATTGAGCCCCTGTGACGCGAAGACTCATTCAAACGTCTCCGCCTCTGTTGATCATTACAATGTTGACGAAAACATTCTGCTATGAATTCACAGTAGAATCTACCTTTTTAAGTTTTCACTGTCATTAAAGTCTATCTGTCGAGAGTATAGAATGTTTGCTCGATGATTCTTAAATCTAAAATCAGAGACAAAAAACCCACTTGAACACATGTTAACGGCTATAATTATTCTGCGTTTTCACCATCATCTGCAAAACAATCTCTAGTCAACGATGAGAGCGTGACAACTGAACATAGCTTAAAAGCGGTGATAGTTTAATTTGTGAACAAAGTCGGATTTCGAAGACAACACAAACCACTGGTAAAAAATGGCGGATACGAACGAGTAGAACATAAGGATCAGGCCTAGGTACAAAAAGAGTCCGCTTGCCATCATGCGTGCGGCTCAATGACAAAGATAATATAACAGACAAATGGCTTATAAAGGGGATGCATAAGAAGCGGGAGAAAAAAAGGGTTATCAAAGGAATGAATGGAACGCCCTGACATGCATGCCCTCCATTTTCCCTTTCGTTTGTCCTTCAGTTAGGTTTTTTTGGCTGAGATGATTATTCACCAAAGGATTTCGCGGTGACTTTGGCACAAAAAGTACCACTTTTGGTTACAGAAATGGTCAAGCCACTAAAAGCGGCTTTATGACCCAAAGATGTGGACAAGCCATATCATTTCATGTCAACACATTGTCCGAAGCAACTGTCATCGTGGTATTGTAACCACGTTAAACTACCATTTGTGAGAGCTGTATGTTGTGCGTTTAAGACAGTGTCTTAAAGCGAGAGCTGAGCCTAAGTACGAAATAGCACAGACGCTGGTCTTCTCTAGTTTCAAGTTACCCATCATGGTATTATCTGTAGAGAAAAAGAGACGTGCCCGTATGTCATGACATAGGGAGTTGCTTATCAACTGTGGCTCATTTCGCGTGATTATTTTAGCTGCCAGTACCTTGTTTTAATTTCCTAACAGTTGACAGAAGGAACTTAAAGCCAGTAAGCCTAAGAAACTAAGGGAAAAAGCAACAAAAACCTTCTGTTTGAGAACTTTAAAGTCAATTACAAACGTTATGTTTAGAAGCTTGAGGTGTCTAAAGCTGCGCCTCAAACAACTTTCCCTCCTCTTTTGGTACTTCTCAATGCACACTTTGAGCATGAAAAAAGTCATAATTTCATTTCATTTGTACATTAAGTAATCTAGCAGTGATTAAAAAGGCACTTTTTTCTTGGATCAGAAGAATCAAGACCACGTCTCAGCAATTTTCCTAGAAACAACGTAAATTTACCCGAACTGAAGATTTTCGGGGGGGGGGGGATGGCTCGACTGCATTTTTTTCACAGGGCCGCTTTTACATGTGATCCCCACGGCAACTGAGAGAGGATGAGCAAATCGGGTCAATAACGCCACCTTGCTCGTTTTCAGCAGTTAGCATCTGAGTTTAGCATTTCTGTCATCTTCCTTTTGTTGTATGCTTGCTTCTGTTTTTTTACTGTTTCAAATTATCTTCTTGACTGTGGAAGGAGATTTTTGTATCGATAAATCTTTCTTTGTGGCCTGCCGAAGTCATCGTGTCATAAGTAACTGTGTAGAGGAGGCTTAACCTTGCAACTCCCATGAGTGACCAAAACAGAATTTCCCCTCACAACATCAATGCAATATCATGCACACAAGTGATGAGAATAAAGAAAAATATTACTAGGGGATTATTAGTTGATGCAATACCAAATTCTCCCAATTAACATCACAATAACTGTATGGTCAGTAAGGAGAACTAATAATGAGATCTTGGGAGTTAAGGGGTTTACGGACCAGTAATTATTCTTCGCCTGAGAAAGGGGGTCGGAGATTTTATTTTGAGAGGAGGGTGGGGATCATATGGTTTTCAGGGGACGCGGAGAGGGGATCAGTCGTTACTAGCAGAGTATGAAGAGGGACACTATTGAGCGTTTCTCTTGTCCCACCTACCCTGTCTCTCCTCCACTCTTTCCTTCCTTAGCAGCCTGGCCACATAGGCTACGGTTTTCTGATAGGGTCAATTATTTATATCGCATTGGTAGCATTAGAAAGCATGCTTTTAAGCTAAAATTTAATTTGAACAAGCTCAGTAGTCAATAGTACAGCTATAAAACGGAAAGTTGCAGTTTTGCTTACTCTGAAACTTTTATTCGTCAAATTCTGTTATATATGATTATTAGTTTTTTACATAAACAACCATATTATACATTAGATCTAAGGCTCACTATAAAATTCTGAAAGCCTTAAGAAAATGTATAATAAGATACCAAATGAATTCGGTTTTTGCATGATATCATAAATTATAAAACCTCGTCAGATTAACTCTGACCTCAGTTTTGTTAATTCATGATATCATGCTCAACCTTATCCAAACATTACTAATCTTTGAATGGGGGATCATAAAAATTATAACTACTAACAAGAGATTGTAAACTTTTATATTCTCTTGCTGCCATTGAGGGGGATCATTAGAATACTTCAGAGGGTGTCACGTAAATTTACAATTTAATCTGGCTACAACTCTACAAATCAAATTAAATATTACAATGTGATCGACCTTATGACTCACAAAAGACAGAAAAAGATACTAAGAAAAGTTTTATAGATAAAGTCTTTAAAGTAACCTACAATGCAGGGCCAAGAGGTACTGCCAAGAGGGGATGTTTGTTACCCCTCAGACGACCCCCCCACTTAAACTACAGGTTGAGGGAGGCCCTATAAAAATGACGTTTTACCCATGAAATGCAGTACTCTTATTTATCAGACACGTCTCAAACCTTAAGTATTCAGACCAGAGTCCAGGGCCCAGTTTTTTGAAGGCCGATTAGTGCTAACCTAAGGTTAAATCTTAATCAGGAGTTCTTTATTTCTTTGTTCAAATGCCTTTTCTGGATCATTCTCTCTGTTCTTTTTAGGGCATCCAATAATCAAATTCTAAACAAAAAGAACTATATTAAATTTTCTTTTAAAGTTTCCAAAAAAAAAAATCAGATTTTACACTCTGGGTTATCTTGAAACAGCTTTGAACAACCCGGCTCAGGGCTCTAACTTTCAGGCCACCTTATCTGGAGGAGTCATTAACAAATGGGATTGAACAATGAAACTTGTAAGTTATCTACTTTAATAGAAAGATTCAAGCTCCAGTCATGTTGAGGAACGGTCTGAATTATGTAGTTTAACTTTTAGAGTTGAATGTTAGTTTAACCCGGAGGTTGGCGGGAAGGGCAAACAGTAACAATGAACTCATATTTTTCTCACTTTTCGTTTAATTCTAACAGAAAAATTGCAAAAACAACTCTTGCTCTCTGTAATGCACACATTTGTGCAAAAACGCGGAAAACAGACCGCAAAAACTACAACTGTTGCTATTTGCGATTTGACGAAAACGTTATGATTTTAACTTGTAATAGCTTACGAACATTAATAGAACTGCGTTAATCACCGAAAGCGGATCCATTACATTACAAAAGCTTGAAAGTGAACGTCACTAAGGCTCTTTTTAAGCTTTTGAAAACTCTCCTGAACCTTTAGCTAATATGAATACTCGACGTAGAGGGCGTAAACATCGCAACAGACTCGCCCATCGTTGTCGCCTTCCGTCCAGTTCAAGTGATCTTCTCCGTACCACAAACGTAGATGTTCACCCGCATGGACTGAGTGACTGCCAGAGATGAAAGACAAAATGATCTCGGGGGAAAACGAGTTGTATCCAGGAATCTCCGACCACTTCCCTCTTCCAAGAGTAAAGAACTGTCTCGGTGGTAAAATGATGCTATTGGATGATGTTGTAATGACAACATTGACGTGGTTTATGACAGAAGGCTTGTTACCGCAGCCCCAATAGGACCACAGGGGGGTCGGCGAATTTACGGCGCAGGTGACGTAGCCATGCAGATAAACCAGTTTTACAGCTGCTAGTTTTCCGCCATATGGAGCACGGAACTTGCCAAACTTGTTATTCTTAGCGCCAAAGCAGACTGGTGAGGTGTTCATCTTTTGCCAGTGAGCTGAGAGAAATTCGTTGAATAACATTATTAGCACTATTAGTACTGTGTACTCAAATTTAATCGTGCTTGTGCGCACTCTCTTACTTGTTGAAGATTGTGTCATATCTCATTATAATCTTCCTTTGCGGTTTCCTTTGCGCTGGTTACAATAGTAAAACTCTGATCTTAATCAAGAATGCCTCTCAATGTAATTGAAGAAGAGGTTGGCAAAGTGAATAAACGCTCTGATACAGATTCAAGCGCAGATAATTTATGTCCACAGTATTCACTTCGCCTTCAAAGGTCGGTTGTCGAATTTTATCAACCTTTGTTATTTTCTCCATGAAAACCCTATCCTATTCCCTCTAAAAAATGAGCAATTGTGATTTGCCAAATCCCTTTTTTTCCATCTTTTAAGTTCCCCTCCACCTGTCCAACCAGTTACACTGTGGATAGGTTAGGGAAGGTCTGCACGTGAACCTACCGTCCCACTTCATAACTTGTCCACGTAAATGCCAGGGCCTGGTTGCACAGAAGCGCAATGAAAATAGAATCCCTGTCAAACACAAAGAAAAAAAAAGAAGAAAAGCAGTCGGCAAAAAGATAATAGCGACAGAGGGTTCAAACCAGGAACATTCGTTCGGATTCGAGAGCGCTGGCCACCGCATCTATTGCAAGCTTAAATTACCCCTCACTTCATCTCCAACCATCAAACAAATAACAATCTCGTGAAGAAACTCAAAGAATATCAATACCTTCATCCTTTCCCTGGGTTAAATCAGAGAGGTAGATGACAAGAAAAGTCAAAACCATCCATGCTGTGTAGAACTTCATTTTTGCAAAAATCTGAAAAGAGGTTTTGAAGGAAACAGGAATTTCTAATTGTAAACAGATCCTCGTCTATAACATTTTCTATTATCATGTATTTCCCTAGAATACTTCGCGCATATACGCTACATTTCCCTACACAAAAATTGGAATCAAATTTAAGGGATAGTGTGAATTTGATAACCAATCCTAGCTCAAGCGTCATGAAGTGCTGCGAGAGAGACGTCCGCTATGATCACTGGTACTTCACTGTCTTTGATTGAGTGAGGGTCCTGCACTTATCTGACGATAAGATCACTAAAATGTCATTGGAAACGCAGGAATGTTGGTCCTTGTTGAGTCAGGAGTGAGTTGTGATAGACGTTTGTTTCTTTTGTGCACACGAGGCTAAATGAAAAGAAATGGGACTAGAAAAATATTTAAGATTATATAACAAGCTTAATAATACGCGCTACATTATGGGTCGATACTTATGATCTATCAGTGTGCCGACGTGCAATTGACGTCAACAAAAGAATATTCTCTTTTTTTCCAAAACAACGCATAATTTTATCAATATTTGCGACATTTAACTGATTTAATTAGCGAGTAAGAGCTGTCATTCTACCCGCCACCAATAAGACTTAAAGAAGGCCACTTTCGGGAAACTTGCTGCGCTTAGTCACGTATTATAAGCTGTTCTGGACGCCAAAATCGACAATGAAACAGGATGGAACTGTAATCAATGCCATGAAAATCACTGTGACAAACAAGAATGGGAAGATGAGTGATGAAATTAAAATTCAGAGGCTAACGAGATGTTTCGTTTCAGATGGTAAACTAAACTCACTGAGTAAATTTAAAAAAAAAAACACAAAGCCGATAATTTCCAATAAGAAAAGGATGTTAGCCTACTCGAGGCGTTTACTCAGTAAACGAAGGGAAATAGGAAACGATGAGGTATTAACGGTAGGGAACGGATGAGGGAGGCCTGGGTCGAATCGCGTTATACGACCTGATCTTAACCTGTCTGGTTTCTTCGCTCTGCCGCTGATATTGCACCTAGAACTGCATGATTTCATATTTCTTGTTTCGTGTAATCGCCGTCTTTCACTGATCTTTCTCCCTCTTAATCTGAGGTTAAGCCGCGGGTTTGTTCAACGACGATAAAATGACAGGCGACCGAGAATTAAAGATGAGTTCATGACCAACCGTTTTGCTGAGTTAAACATGGGCGCCCGCATGAATATTCAGCCCTAACTGACCTTACCAGCAAATTTCGTAATGCCAAGCTTACTTGAGTATACTCGAAGGCTCTTGGTATTTTTAATCACGATAGAAATCAATATCACATTGAGGCACTTTTGTATTTCTGTTCTGAGCACTGTTTGTATTCAATGTCCGAAAACTTTCATCAATTTGCATTTCTCAAGAATTGCCGGCTTTGGCAGCTTTTTGCCCTCGAATTACTATTACTCGAAGTACTTTTACCAGTTAAGGAATATCTCAGCGTAAGACAATTCCAGTTTCTTTAAACAAATGGTGATTTACAAGGAAAATACTTGTTGACAATCAATAATCAGCCAGAGGGGTGATAATTGAAGAGAAGCTATGAAGAACAACTGAATATGAAGGGTTGGTGACTTGTTTGAAGAAGTCATCAGTGGGGTTAACCATTTGCCGTAAAACGAAAAAAATTAGGTATTAGGCAGAAAAATTGACAAATTATAGATGTTTGTCTCAAAACAAGTTAGCCGTAATTTATTTTTTCAGTTAAAACATAACGGAAAATGGCTAAAAACGTTAGCCTTAAGTCCCTCTTAAACACATACCATGGCATGAGAAAATTGAACCAAAACTTAAAAAATACAAAGGCCTTCTCTACGGTACGGCCATTCGTGAGAGGGGGTCGAAGAGTCGAGCAAAAAAAGAAAAAAAAAGAAAGAAAGAAAGAATAGAGAAAAGAATAATAGGAGAGGAGAATTGACCGAAGAAGACTTTGGTGAGGAAATTTCTAAATGTGCGTACCGTATTTTCACGATTAACGCCAGACACCTATTGAACGCCGGCCTCGAAAAAACGCCGGGTCCAAACTGCTGATTTTTAAATAAACGCCGGAGGCGTTTAATCGATAAAATACGGTTCTCTCGTTTTCAATTTGGTAAAAATGTTAGAAAAGTAGGTTTAAAAGATTCCATTCGAATTAAGTCTTAAGTCGAACGACGAGGCCATCAGTTGTCTGGATATTGATGGAAGATTGTCAAGAAACGCAATCGTGAAAGTTTGGCAGGTGGAATTCACATGGATTTTAGGGATCTGTGCTATTAATAGGCAGTCACAATCGAGTTTATACATACGTTTGTACTGAATCGCTTTAACAGAGAAAAACAAACACTTGCTGACGGACAAAGCTTTAAAAGGACCTCTGATTTCCAAAGAAATAACAATGTTTGACATTGGGGGAAAAATTCTTCATAAAAGTTCAAATATTAAATATCATAGAGATTCATTCTTTAACATATGGATGAACAGATGTGGCTTGGCTGTTTGGACAAAGCCTTCCCTTGGGGAAGGAATACGAAAGGCTCAGAAGTATTTGTGAATGACAACATCTCTAGATAGATAGATAGACATAGATAGACGTTTATTAAGAATACCTTAATAGCAGCTGGAAGCTGAATTACAAAGGTGTACAAATTATATAATAGAACTATACAATAAAATCAAACCTAAAAGGGAACTAATTTACATATGGGCCCATATACAATTGTAATAGATGTCAATTAAAATGTCTTGCGCTTGCTGGAATGAAAGTATCTCTGAACCGATTTGTTTTAAAGGAAACTCTAAATGGTCTGCGTCGTCGTAACTCCATAAGTTGATCTCGGTTGTCGAAAGGCAGTAAGTGGTACAAACAATCCAAGGGATTGGAGACGATGTTGTTAAAGAATTTTAAGCAAAGGTCTTCCCTCCGATCCCTTAGGGTTTTCAGCTCTGCCATCTGAAGCACTTCTCTATAATGATTATCATAACCGTATATAATTTTCAAGGCTCTCTTTTTGGACACGCTCTAAACTTAAGCTCAAATAATCGGGGAGACTATAATGGTAGACCTGACATCCATAAAGTAAGACGGATTGAATGCAAGCAACATAAAAAAATTCACTAATTCTGGTGATGGTACCTTAGCTCGCTTTAACTGAGTTAAAAAAAAGGCGCTTAGCGGCCTTTTTAATCATCTCAGTAACGTGAGTGTTCCACTTGAGGTTGTCTTGAAAATACACACCCAGTAATTTCACGTCACTAACGGCGCTAACCTTAGAGCCATTAATTTCTATGAGATCGTAGGAAGGAGGGGTGCGCACGAAGGAAACTCTTAGCTCATTACATTTTTTCGGATGAAGTTGAAACGAGTTAAGTGTTGACCAGGTAGCTACTTCGTTTATCATAGACTGAGCATTGCTAGGACCACCCTTGCTTATGATTTCATACACTGTCGTGTCATCTACATATTTTATACAATCACTGGCTGATGGTACTTTCAAATCATTTATCATAACCAAGAATAGCCACGGTCCCAATTTTGTTCCCTGCGGTACTCCTGCTCGGACCGATCCCCACTCTGAGAGACAATCATGTGCAAGTTTGACCCTTTGTTTCCTATCTTTAAGAAAGGCTATTATCCAATTAATGATGTAAGGGTTGATATTGTAGGTCGAGAGTTTCGATAGCAAGAGGCTGTGATCTATCAGATCGAAGGCTTTTCTATAGTCCAACGCAAAGATCCGCACGGTGTTCCCCGTTCCGTCTGTTGCTTGCGCCCAATTGTGCATCAGGTTTATCAATGCATGCGCAGTGGAGGATCCTGGAATACACCCAAATTGATCGGGTTCCAGGCGTTTCAGAAGTGCTGGTTTCACATGTTCATGGACGACGTAGTGCTCGGCAATTTTGGACAACGTTGGTGTCAGTGAAATAGGTCTCAAATCTTTCGCCGCATCCTCAACTATCTTTGTTTTGGGAAGAGGGGTGATGTTTGCACATTTCCAAATGTCCGGTAAAGTCCCTTGACTAATCGAGGAATTGATGATACAACGAAGAGGTTGAGCGAGCTCAGGAGCGAAGTCACGCAAGACCCAGTTTGGGATATTATCTGGGCCCCAGCTTTGGAGGAGCTGACCGTACTAAGGCATTTGAAGGTAGCTTCCAGTGAAATAATGGGAGTTTTAAAACCCTCAGTGCTCACAGTTTCGATATTATCTAAAAGTGGGTCAAACGAAGCTTGAGGTTCTAGCAGAGCTGTGTTGATTTCATTAGCCAAGATCTTAAGGTTGATTGAGGTAGCTGGTTTACTTGCTAGGAGCTGATTTGCGACACTTGTAGGTGTTTTGTTCATTCCACATAACCGCCTACATTCGGACCACCACATTTTAGGATTGTTTTCGGTCAAAACGCTGACTTTAGTGTTGTAATAAGAGCGTTTGCAGAGCTTCCGTTCCCTGTTTACTTTGTTCCGGTAGTAGTGGAACAATGGTTTGTTGTCTTGGTAATATGCTCTTTGACGGTGTGCTATAAGTGCCTTGAGTTTGGGTGAAATCCATGGTGCGTCGTTTCGGTGGAACTTAACTCGCTTTTTGGGAAGGATAGAATCTAACCCTATGTGAATTAGGTCACTGAAGTGAGCATACTGTTCTTGGACGCTATCTATAGTGTCGATTAATGACCAGTCGACCCCCGTCATATAACGACCAAAAGCCTGTTTGGACTCAGCGTCAACAGCACGTGTAGTAACCGTTCTGTTTGCAGGAATATTGGCCTTCGATCTAATTTTTGGAAACAAACCAACAGTACAATGATCGGATAGTCCAGGGCCCTCGGGGTCAGGAAACTCATAGTCCCGTAGAATTGAGAATTTGATGGAATCTTTTACATATAGAGCCACACCCCCATGTAGCTTGTGGGTCCTATCTTTGCGTATGATGTTGTAGCCACTAATGTCAACTACGCTGTCATCAATAGAATCTTTCAGCCATGTCTCCGTTATACAACAAAGATCAAACTCGTGGGTGTTCAAAAAAATACGAAGTTCGTCTATTTTGGTGCCAAACTCATTACATTAGACACAGCTATTGACGGTACGAACTGCAAGGTGTTTTTCCTGGCGTCGATGTTGCTCTTAGGCTTGATAATAGCCAGATTATTGAAATTGACGGCTCTTTCTTCTGTGTAACGGCTGGAGGAGACACGCGTAGTTACTCTCACGGGAATTGTTGAAAGTCTCGGTAAAGCGTGATTATTGAACCGTAAAGATTCATTCAAGATGGAAGAGTTATAGCAATTAACAGTTCTTGGTCTTGTGTAACTACTGGAGATGGCGCGTGTGGTTGTTCTCACGGGAATTACTGAAAGCCCCGGTAAGGTGTGATTGTTCGACTGTGAATAATTATTCAAGGTTGAAAATTCATTCGTTTCTGAAGAATATTTGCTTCGGCCTGTATTTAATTGTGTTTTAGTAAGTCTTCCGGACCGCTTCCCTCGGTACTTAAAAATTCCATCCGCTCGAATGTTCTTAAATAAAACTGACCGTCTCTCCTGAAGGCTGTAATTTTTCCGGAGCGACACCAGTTCGCGCCGAGAGTACTGTAGGGTCGTTGTTTGGCGAATTGGAGAATCAAGCTGCCGAATTAAATCTCTAGTGGCTCTCTGCCGGCTACCAATGGCGATATTAGATTGAGCAGGACCGGGGTTGGTCGAAATATCAACGTATACCGTGATGTCCAATGGAGGGTCGTGGCCAGGGATGACTAAGGAGACAAACCCGTGTTTAGTGTGCTTCTGCATTGGAACTCTTGATCGATGAAAACCATCTTTGACGATACAAGTGCATTTCTTCTTGAGTTGAACAGCAGTGTGCAGGGGTTCCCACCTTGATTTAAAAGTAGCCTCGAAGGATAATAAATGGTTTAGAAATGCAGCGCTTAAACAGGATAGAATAGTGATAGAAACTAGAGCTACTCTAAACGTGGCCGCCATGATTGGCGCCGATATGCTAATACGGGTTCATATTAACTAGAACTTTTCATCACTGGAAAGAAAACCAAAAATCACATTTATTCTCAGATACTTTACCTCTATAGTTTTCCTTTGAAGTTTGAAGTTGCGACTTTGACTAGAATGATATGTTCCACCTCGAAAATCCTTATCAGTCACTGACAAAACTTGTCAACTGGTACTGCATTTGCTCTAACGTTTCACTTTGAAGTTTTCTGACTTTTGGAGTGAATACCCCAAAGGTATGCCGACTCTTTCCGTATCGTAATAGGCTAATTCTTAAAAAAATCTTTAAAACATGTGAAGATAATTGCACTTGACCGCTTTTTTTTTTCCTTTTCAGTATATGCAGCTCTTAAACTCCCTGAAAAATGAAAATTCATTTTGGTTGCCATTTCTTTAGTCACAATAGTTAATCATGTAGATGTGGCTTCGCCTGTCGACGTAATTTTGGAACTTGCATATGTATAAGGCGCGGAGGAGACTGTATGAACACGGAATATAAAAATGGAATCTTGAAACATGCTGACGGACAAATCCTGTCCGAAAGGATTGGTCATTTCACATTATACAAAATTTTAGTCAGATAGCTGAAGATTGAAGAAAACTTATCTGGAACAAAAGGTATATAACACGTGGGCAAGCTACGCGGACAAAGACTTCCTTTATTTTTTATTTTTGTATTTTATTTCTTTCTCCACTCTACGTAGTAGTAAGTTAAGTAACTTTATAAACACGGTAATAACTACCCTGCAGGCAATTTTAATTCTGAACATTCAAATATTAGAGACGAGAGGAGGGGGGCACATCTAGATGCCTAATATAGTATCCCTTAATTCACTAGCCGCGGCCAACGGGTATTCCTCACCAGCGGTAAGAAACAGGAAAACAAACAAAGACCAAAGAAAACAAGTCTCAAGTTAGCATGCTGGAATATATCCGCACAATGCAAGACTCCGACGGAGATGACCGACCACAACGACGCTTAGCACAGGTGGTACAGAACTAGCCCGACTGGACATCAACATCGCTGCTCTCAGTGAGGTGCACTTTGAGAACAAGGGTCACTCAAGGAGCACAGAGCTTGGTACACATTGTACTGGTCTGGCAAAAGCAAGGAGGATCGTCGCCTGTCCGAAGTAGGCTTCATGTTGAAGAACACGCTGGCCAGAAAGCTGACCAGCGTCCCCGAAGAATACCTGGATCGCCTTATATCCCTCCGCCTTACTCTCCAGGGCAATCAGCTCGCCGCTATCATCAATATGTACGCTCCCACACTCATGGTAGACCCCGCGACCAAAGAGGCCTTCTACAGCGACTGAAGGTCCCTTCTCTGGAGAGTGGACAGGGAGGATAAGCTCATCATCATGAGCGGCTTTAACGCAAGAGTGGAATGAGAGTACACTGTAAGGTCAGGAGTTCTTGGACGCCATGGAGTTGACTATTGCAACGTCAACGGGCGCAAGATGCTGGAGCCGTGTACAGAACAGGGACTGATAATCACCAACTCCCTGTTCCAGCAGAAGGCCAGATTCAAGTCGACCTGACAACACCCACGCTCCAAACACTAGTACCTCTTGGACTACGTCCTCGTGCGCTAAAAGGACCTGTGCGACGTGCTACACACCAGAGTCATGCCCAGTGCTGACAGCAACACAGACCACAGGCTGGTTCGGACTAATGTCCCACTCAATATCAAGCCTGCAGTGAGGAAAAGAGGGGCACAGGTGAAGAAGTCTACACAAACAGACTGCTGGCGAGGAAAACTGAGTTTTAAGAGGAGCTCCGGGCCAGACAAGAAAAGGAGGAACCGCTTGCTGTCATGCGTGCGGCTCACTCACGAAGCTAACGGACAAATGGCTTTGAAAGGGGTTGCATAGGAAGCGGGAAAAATAGAAGGTTACCAAAGGAGTGAATGGAACACTCTGATATGCATGCTCTCCATTTTTCTCCCTTTTATCTTTTAGTTAGGTCTTTCTTGGCAAAGATGATTATTTGCCCAAGAATCCAAGTAACTGGCACATAAAGTACTACTTTTGCTTACACAAATGGTCAAGTGATTAATAGCGGCTTTATGACCTAAGGATGCGGACAAGCCAAGGAAATAGCACAGACGCTGGTCTTCTCTAATTTCAATTTAACCATCATGATCTTCATCTCTAGAGAAAAGGGGACGTGTTCGTATGTCATGACACGGGGAGTGACATATCAACTGTGCGCATTTCACGTGATCGTTTTAGCCAGTAACTTGTTATAACCTTCTGACAATCAACAGAAGGAACTTAAAGCCACAACGTCCGAGAAAATAAAAGAAAAACCAACAAAAAAACCTTCTTTGTGGCCAGCCAAAGTCATCATGTCACATGTAGCTGTGCTGAGGAGGCCTAACTCTTTAACTCCCATGAATGACCAAGACAGAATTTCTCCCTACAATATCAATACAATGTCCAGCAGAAAAGTAATGAGAATAATGAAAAAATATTAACTGGGGGATTCATTAGTTGATGCAATACCAAATTCTCCAAACTAATATCACATGAACTACATGGCATACAGTGAAGAGAATTACTATTGAAATTAAAGGTTTCAGGGACAAGTAATTAATTATCGCCTGGAGGAGGGGGTTGGAGGTTTTTTCGGGAGGAAGGGGGAACACATGATTTTCAGGGGACACGGAGGAGGGATCAATCATTACTAGCAGAGTATAAAGAGGAGACCATAAAAAATTGAGAGTTTCTCTTGTCCCATTCACCCTCTTACCCCTCCCCTCTTTCCCTCTTTAGCAGCCTGGCCACGCAGGCTACGGTTTTCTGATAGAGTCAATTATTCATACCGCATTGGTAGCATATGGAAAACATGTTTTCAAGCTAAAATTTAATTTGAACAAGCTCAGTAGTTAGTAGTACATTTATAAAAAGGGAAGTTGCTGCTTTGCTTACTCAACCGTTAGCTTGTTTGTTACCCCCCTTTAAACGAAATGATAGTCCACGAGAGCCTAACCCCTTCGCCCACACCACCTTCTTGTTTCGTTTTGCTCATGAAGTGCAGTGCTCTCACTTAACAGACACGTCTCAAACTTTAATCATTCAGACCAGAGTCCAGGGCTCAGTTGTTTGAAGGCCGATTAGTGCTAACCCAAGCTTAAATCTTAATCAGGCGTTCTTCATTTCTATGTTCAAATGCCTTTTCTGGATCATTCTCTCTGTTCTTTTTAGGGCATCCAATAATCAAATTCTAGACAAAAAGAACAATATCACATTTTCTTTTAAAGCTTCCAGAAATGAAATCAGATTTCACACTAACCCTGGGTTATCTTGAACAACCCAGCTCAGGGCTCCCACTTTTTAGGCCACCTTGTTTGGAGGAGTCATGAACAAATGGGATTGAACAACATAACTTTTAAGTTATCTAGTTTAATAAAGAGATTTAAGTTCCAGTCATGTTGAGGAACGGTCTGAATTATGTAGTTAAACTTTTAAAGTTGAATGTTAGTTTAACCCGGAGATTGGCGGGAACGGCAAACAGTAACAATGAACTCATATTTTTCTCACTTTTCGTTTAATTCTTACAGGAAAATAGCAAAAAAAAAATCTCTTGTTCACTGTCATCCAAAAAGTGCAAAAAGGCTGAGAAAAGACTGCAAAAACTACATGTTGCTATTTGCGTCATGATTTTAACTTGTAATAGCTAACGAACATTAACAGAACTACGCTAATTACCGAAAGCGGATCCATTACTTTACGAAGGCTTGAAAGTGAACGTCACTAAGGCTCTGTTTTAAGTTTTTGAAAACTCTCCTGAACCTTTTGTTAATATGAATTCTCGACGTAGAGAGCGTAAACATCGCAACAGACCCGTCCATCGTTGTTGCTTTCCGTCCAGTTCAAGTAATCTTCGCCGTACCACAAACGTAGATGTTTACCCGCATGCACTGAGTGACTGCCAGAGATAAAAGACAAACTGTTCTCGGCGGAAAACGAGTTGTATCCGGGAATCTCCGGCCACTTCCCTCTTCCAAGAGTAAAGAACTGTCTCGGTGATAAAATGATGCTATCGGATGTTATGACAACATTGATGTGGTTTATGACAGAAGGTCGGTTACCGCAGCCCCAAAAGGACCACTGGGGGGGTTGGCGCATTTACGGCGGTGACGTAGCCATGCAGATAAATCAGTTTTACAGCTGCCAGTTTTCCACCATATGGAGCACAGAACTTGCCAAACTGGTTATTCTTCGTACCAAAGCAGACTGGTGAGGTGTTTATCTTTTGCCAGTGAGCTGAGAGAAATTCATTGAATAATATTACCAGCGCTATCGAATATAAGAGATCCTCGCAGCTATAAAAACTACTGAACTAGTAGTTGAAATAAGACCTGATCGACTTCAAAAAGGCCGCTTTCGGGAAACTTGCTGTTCCTAGTCACGTGTTGTAAGCTGTCCCGGACGCCAAAATCGACTATTAACAGGACGGAACTGTAATCAACGAGCTGAAAAATCACTGTGACAAACAAGAATGGGAAGCTGAGTGATGAAATTGAAATGCGGTTTAATTTGGCTACGGATCGACCAGCGGTTAGGTTTGGGTGCGAACCGACTCAAACTTGGGTACGAAACGACGGTGTACCTTTGGATTGAGATTATTGTTGGTTCTCGTCCTTGCTCCGAGGGTTTTGGTCTAGGTCCTCCGGTTTTCCTCCCTCCTCAAAAACCAACATTTCCAGTTCTCAATTCGACCTGGAGACAATGACAAGGACAGCTTCCTAGTGGAATGTCCACTGCTAAATCCCATTATTATGTTATAATCATAATATTCTTAGTAGTAATGACTTTTATAAACATATCAAACTCTTTCCCCAGTGCGACGAACATTTGTTTTTCTCGGTTCCAGGTGTACGCAACCACTAACCCCACGTAATGCGCATGCTCTCCGTTACGAATTTTCAAAATGGCGAACAGGTCAAAGAGGGAAATTAAAAAAACAAAGCGATTTTGCAATGAATTCTCAACATACACCCTCGTTAGAAAGGCGAATCCACGGAAGAAAGATGCAAAACTGTATGATATTGAGATCGATATGATATTAAATCGATACCGAGGGCCCGTTTAATTGCCTTCCGCCACGATTATTAGCATTCTTGACAGCTTTCTGAAGACAGAATACTTTCTTTCTGAAGACTTCTGATATGCGGCTATTGATTATTACACCTCGTATACCTGATTGCTCAAACACTTTGTTTACGATTGTTGAAAGGACCGACTCAAGGTTCTCCGTCTTCGTCTTGACATTGCTTTGAAATAGTATAGACTAGTAAGCTGAAACGAAAAATTAATCAGGGAAGTTTACGAAAAATCCAGCAAACAAGCTTTAAAAAGGCATTTATTTCGACTTCATCCTTCAACGAACTTCACAAATCTTACTTGTTTATCTTGTAAGTAAACGATGGCAGATTAATTCCCGAAGCGCTTTCTGAGTTTCCCGATCCCTCTCCTACTGCTTTCACGCTTACAAAACAGGAAAAATCAAAAGGAGGAAGATACAGCTGTTTTGAAACGCCATTTGACGAAGGTAAATCTGCTTTTTGTTCGACACTTTACATATCAAAACAAAGGAAATTTGTTCCTCTTTTTTATTCTGGCAGTATATTTTTAATTTGCGCCTGCGTAAAAGAGATATCGCCCGAGACCCTTCGCTCGGTCGTGTTTTGATCAAAAACGCCTTGTTAATTTCACCCAACCGCTCGGAGAAAAGGTAAAAATGACGAGGGAAAAACTTTACCTTCAAGTTAGAAAATTAGCGAAATAGAAAGCAACAATATTATAGTTTAATATTTCAGAGGTACATTGAGTGCTTTTTCCGTAGAGAATCCGCACGATGGTAGAACATTCGAAAATTACACTCGATTTGAGTAGGGTGTTGAAGTGGGCGTGGTCACTAATTTCATGTTAAGACTATTTGTACCCCATGAGTTTGATATGGTTAACTATACTTATCCTTATATTAGTAGACTTGAAAAAGTTCCTCTAACGGTTTAACTCAAAAGGTAACTCGGTGTTTGACTTTTATTTCAAACACCGAGTTACCTTTTGAGTTAAACCGTTAGAAGAACTTCCTCAAGTCTACTAATATAAGGGTAAATTGAATTGAATACAACAAGGACACTTCCGTTTCTCATCGATCTTTAGAAATGCAGTCAGCTGTGACGTGTTGTTCACTCAGTTGTTATTGTTATCATTATCATTATCATCATTTTCTCAGTTACGAATATAGCTTTGTTCGATGCTCGACAAATTGGCATTGTGGGTCGAAAAGGAGCTGGGAAACCGTCCCTAGCCTTAGCCTTGTTTCGTATTCTTGAGAGACTGGGTAGTAAATTGTCATCGATGATCTTGATATTGCTACCATTGTACTCAGAGATCTCCGTTCGCGGCTTACCACTATTGCACAGGTGAAACATGGGAGGCAACGCGGTTTAAAGTGGTAGAGCGAGAACAAAATGTTTTCGATACACTTGCATGCTGTTTTTTTGGAAAGAAAGCGCTTGTTAGTGACAATGAGGAAGGAGCCTGGGCATCTTTAGCTACAAACTCATTCGTTCTAGTTTAGGGCTGTTATATCGCTTTTTAGGGTCTTTAAGGAAATTTATCCGTTTTCTTACTTCAGCACCTCAAACGATTGAGGACCGGGACGTCATCCGTTGAATACATAAGAAAAATAGTCATACTTGTTCAGAAGGGAGGAAAGTGTTTCAGTTTTTATGATGAAATCAAAACATACTTTTTTTACTTGTTTTACTTTTGTTTTCATTCCATTCTTACTCACCTTTACCTATAGGAGTTCGTGTTATTTTCTGGAACTCTCCGTCTAAACTTGGATCCGTTCAATAAACTTGTGGATGAATAGCTTTGGAGAGTATCGGAAGTGAGTCATTTGAAAAGATTTATAGCTGAAGGAGGCGAAAATCTCATGTAGGAAAGAGGGCGGAATGACAATGAATAAGTGGAAATGTTTAGTGATACAAGGTACAAGAATGCTCACTCACCTTAAAACACAGTTCACGAGTTTTAAAAATATGGTGCGCTCTTCTCAAAATCTGTTTCAATAATTGTATTTTGTAACCTAAAAGATGCATTTCAAAGTCACTGAATATTAAAATCGCATAGTTTAAGGGCGTCAGGGAAAAATAACAAATGTACGCATGAAATTTAACCTAAAGTGTGCATGGAATATTCATAAAGCTTGTTTAATCCCATCAATAATGAGCAAGAGATCGCATAGCCTTTACGATTGAAAGGTTCAAGGACGTTTTAATGCGGCTTTGGGCGGGTGGTTTTCTATGGCCAACGCCTTTCATGTGATTCATGTGATCGCTATGGAACTTTTATACCTTATTGCAGAGTTGGCAAGTGGTTTGTTTAGCACGTTCACTTCTCCGTAAAAGTAAGATCCTGGTTCTGGATGAAGCAACGGACTATGACAGGTAAAACTCTTTCCTTTGGACCTCATACAAACTCGAGTGACAAATTGGAACTAAATTGTTGATCTTCAGTAGCTTAGCGTGGAAAAACGTGAACATAACTCATTACGCACGTGAGTTGTCAAGCTTCGAATTAAAACAGCAGATCCTAGCCTTTTGGCGCTCTTTCGCCACAAAACAATCTAAAAGGCAAGATATGGGACAATAACTTACATGCTAGAGTGACAGAATTATATTTTTTTCTTTCACAGGGTTATGGTTCTTGAAGACGGTTCCATCTTAGAATTTGACGCACCCAACAAACTTCTGGAACAAGGAGTACACTTCTATAACATGACTCGTGATGCAAGACTTACAAAGTGACCTGTAGTCGAACCTGTATTATGCGATCAACAATATGAGTATGAGAAAAAAGATAAAAATCGCCGTTTTATGCCATAAAAGACCACGTTACCAATAGTAAAACCCCTCAAGAACACTACCAACATTGATTTCGGGAGGTGAAAACGGATTAAATTTTATTTGAAAGATTGCTCCTAGTTTTATATGAGTGGTTCCGTTATAAGTGACCGCTTAATACAGGTTCGACTGTAATATTGATTTTCGCACTAGACCTTACCTTCTTCGTAGCCAAATAGGAAGGCATTTTAAACGAAACGACCGATCAGATTGAAGGCGCGTTTAGAATAGACAATAAGGTTTTTCAATTAGAAAATGTAGAACAAACGAAGCCTTGAAAGCGAATTTTGCAGCTTATTCCCAAAACTACTTTTTTAGTAAAATGAATGAATTTAATTACTACAACCTCTGAATGCTATTTAGCTCTTTCCGGGTGAAATTCTAAATTTAGGGGAGTTTCTTTCTGTCATTGACGTTTTGAAGCACATTTCGACGCCCTACTCTTTGGTGCATGTGGAGACTCTTGTTACGATGCCACCCCTTTAATATATTGTTCTCACTGGCTTTTATTCCTTCTTTATTCCAGTTTTTCGCAATTACATTTTAATCATACTACTTTCTGTGTATTTACTCTTTTCACACGATTTTGAGTTCCATCATATTTTTTAAAGAAGCTCCAAGAAAACTTTTTCTGACCCGAAGTGATGCCTAGGATCTTCAATACCTTGCATTGTACCTTTAAAATTGAAGATCTATTTCGTTAGCAAGATCTTTTCGGGCACAGTGGGTTACTAAAATGCTGTGTTTAATTCGATAGCTTAATTTCAAATCGTGAGACTCTTTTATCTCTCCTTCATTCTATGTCGTATTCTATGTGATCAGTGGAAAGGAACTTCTTGAATAACTTGAAGAGCGCTTCTCTGTAAAAATCAGACAAATTCTAAATTTCGCGGCAAGGGTGAAAAATTCTTTCTTATTTTAATGTGAGATAGGCTAGACTATAACTAAAATCACTGGATACTTTTTTTGGTAAAATATCTTTTTATTTCAGACAAAAATTCAAATAACAAAATTCCGTTAAAATCGTCATTTTTAGCAGCAAATTATTGCACAAATTTGAGGGCTTCGCATTCAAAAACGAATCACAATCTCGTCTTTTTAACACTCAAATCTTCTTTTTCCACCTCACAAGACCTCACAAAACGATTTTTGTAAACACTGCGTTCCTCTTTGCGTGTAAAATAATTTAATTTCGAAAGCATGCATTTCTCTTCAGTAAAAGTGCTTTGTGAGTAAAGTTAATTTTCAGCATGTGCTAAACCTTCAAATGGATTAAACTTTGGGCGGTAGAATTACGAAAAGATGTTCTCAATATTACTGTAAAAATTTCTTTGGGAAAATGAGTGAGAGTGATACGAAAGCTTTTCAAAGTCCGTTAAAATGCAGTTATTTGACCTTTCGCGGTTAACATTCCGGTTGCGAGTCACACACATACTTTAATATGATTCAACCCATATGAGGCCGGAAAATATACATGGGTACACATTTCCAAATGCTCTAACCTAATTTGCCGTAGAACAAAGACCCAAAGACCATTTTACTGTGGTTATCTTGTCGCTCGTCGTATTTATAACGTCCGATGAAACTGCCTGTCAATCTGCGAACTGTCACCAACCTTCGTTGTGAAACGTTTGACATCTTTCTGCACTGTGGCATCTTATCCAGCGGTTCAGTTGACTGTGAGTGTTGTTCGGTTTGTGGTGCAGTAGATCTAATCGATGCTTTTAAAAGTGGCTCTACACATATGTTGCAGTCAACGCAGTTTTGTATACGGAGAGTCGTCACGCAATGCAAATCATACAATGGAAAGTTATTTTTTAGGGGGTAGGGGAAGGGGAAAGTAAAAAGACGTCACTCTGCTGCTAAGCTTTTTTGTTGTTGTGAACATCGAAATTTCTTACATGTAAGTCGCGGAGATCGGGCCTCTGGCCAATACTCGTTGAAAAGCTAAATTCAGTACCTGCTAAAAATAGTAAGCCTAAGTAAACAAAACCTGATTTATGATAATTACACGATGCCTATTGTTCGCTTAGAGGCGGGGCTTCGGACTTTGTTTTTTACAAATACATATATGTTATTTGCCGGCTGGGAGGTCCGTAGGCCGTAGGCCGAGGGCAGCATTTTCAAGACCGAGGTCACAGTTTTTCACCATACGGACCGACCCTTAGCCGGTAAATAACATATTTATTGTTTTTAAACTTGACGAAATTCTTTCCGAAAGAACTCGAATGATTTAGGGCTGTAAATATGGCAAGATCTTCCATAAACTGAACAATTTTTGAGCGAGTAAATGGTAGTTAAAATAGAGGTGATGCAAATTAAAGAGAGATGCCTCAGCGAAACATTTTCATTTCCGTAACGATAAAGGTGATTTAGAAGGCTTCCAAACAAACTTTGAAACATTATTTTTACAAGTATCTGTCACAATCTGACACCTGTCAATTCGAGAGCGCGTAAGAAAAAAAAAAAGCATATTAAGAACATTTGAAAAACAACGGAACTAGTTTGGCAAGGACTGTCACGACAATGTTTTCTTCAAAATCAGTCAATGATCTAACGGAAAGTATTATTCACTCTCATCGACGATTCATTTATGTACGAAGATTTACCTCTGTTCATTAAGTAAACGGCGAGGAAAGTAATTGTGAGTAAATTCAATTTTTTTTATTTTGAAGTTGTGAGAGTTTGCTCGTTTGTTTGCTGCAATGTGTAAATCTGGTCTTTCCTTCACAAAAACTAAATTCGAACGGCACACTCCAACGAGACACAAGGGAATTTAATGCGGTCTTTTCTAAAAAAATTCCCTCAGTTTCTGTTGTGTAATTTACGGTACAAATGTCCAAATTGAACGGAATTGGAAAGACTCACCGGGAGCCTATATTTGTTGTAGAACTTAAATTAAAACTTTGCTCGCTCTTTCACTACTAACAATTTTCTCGAGAATATTCAGATATTAAATTAATGATCGTTAATTGTTCAGTTTAACTGTAACCAAATGCCACACGTTTTAACTTTCTGGGTACTTTTTGTGAACGATTAAAATTAATTGCAAACGGTTTTTAGGCCGCTTGTCAACCAACGTAATGACACTATTGTTTATACAAATTCATTCTGAAACCAACATTTTCCTGTCAACCAAAGTGATTTGAGAGAGAGAAAAGAGAGGATTCATAAGTTATTTATCGGCTTGAGGTAGTGACCGACTTGTTTGCTTTAAAATACTGCCCAGCCGGAAAACGAGGTATATTTATGAAAAATGACAACGAAAGTTGGGATGTACTCGGCGATTCACGAAAGCGTTACCGTGGCCCGTGGGCAGAGATAGGAAAATACTGACCGGGTAAAGAACCAATCAGATTGCAGGATTCATTACCGTGCCCTCTAAAAAAACAATAAAGTAACTTACACGGTCAACTTTGTTACATAAAAAATGGAAGGTTGTTGTTCGTTCAAGTCGCTTATTGGCGGAGTTTGTGGTCACAACACTAGAGATCGAATGCGTGAAACGGAAATTGTTCCTTTACTTTCATGCACCAAGAATATCGCAAGTCATGAGTCGGCTTTCAAATTTACCGGTCCTGAAGATGAGATCGACCTTATTTTGTGCCGAGCGCACATATGTCGGCCCCTCTGTAGTTTAAGGTTTTAAACGGAAGTTGGTCTGTTAACAGTGGTTAATAGTACTGCTCCCTTATGCAAGCCCCACCCATTGACCACGGAACATAGCACCCCAGCCTCACATAAACCACACATCCCCACCACTGCGTTCTGTAGCGTGGTGTTGTAAAAATGTACAAAAGGTTCTCTTTCATGCTATTAGGGTATTCCTTGCAATTTTAGTAGAAAGAAAAACACCCCTAATAGATACGGGCACAGAGCGCCAAAAAAACAAGAATAATTCCCTGCAATAAATAAATGTATTTTATTGTTTGTCATCAGACAAAGATGACACTATTACAAAAATATTTACAGAATAAAATATTTTTTAGGTTCCAAGAGTTGAATTCTGATAGTGCTTAATTATATGGAGTTTTGCCCTTCACCTACCCCGTAAAGTTCCTTTGTCACCGGTATTGCGTGAAAACCCAAATACTCAAATGGCGTACATGTTTGTAGTCAACTCAGTTTAGCATTGAATTAGACTGTCAGATGTAATCTTTTAGTGCGTTGTAAACTGAGCAATACTCGCAGTCAACTGAACCGTTGAATAACATGCCACAGTGAAGAAAGATATCGAACGTTTGACATCAAGATGGTGTTCGACAGGGTTGGTGGTTTCATCGGACGTTATCATTTATACAGACCTAAAACGACGAACGACAAGAGAATCACTCTAAAATGGTTTCTGGCTCGGTCTCCTGCGGCAAATGAGGTTAGAGCATTTGTAAATATCTTTCTATGTACATTTTTCGGCCTCGTATGGGTTGAAACATATTAAAATATGTGTGACTCGCGACTGGAATGTTGAACGCAAAAGGTCAAATAACTGCATTTTAACGGACTTTGAAAAGCTTTTGTATCGCTCTCAATCATTTGCCAAAACAAATTTTCACAGTTATATTGAGAACATCTTTTCGAAATTCAACCACCAAAAGCTTAATCCATTTGAAGGTTTAGCACATGGTGAAAATTAATTTTATTCACGAAGTATTTTTACTGAAGAGAAATGCATGCTTTCGAAATTAAATTATTTTAAGCGCAAAGAAGAGCGCAATGTTTACGAAAATCATTTTGTGAGGTCTTATGAGATCGAAAAAGAAGATTTGAATGTTTCAAAGACGATATAGTGATTCGTTTTTGCACGCGAAGCCCTCAAACTCGTAGATAAAACGTTATCTCAATCAGCTTCATACACCGCATGCATTCGTGTCCATGTTGCAGCAAAATTCTCCAACTCTTTTGTATGATTCGTTGAATTTACTTACATTCTTCAAAACCGCTGACAGTATACATAGGGTGCAGTTTCCCACGCCATGTTCGTTGCTTGGGCTTCGATCGTTTGTATGTTTTTTGCCGTCTTTTGCCAAGTTACGTTTTAAGCTAAGGATTTTGAGACTATCCTGCTAAGAAGCAGTAACTTCGAATCGTCGTCGGATAGATCCTCGTGTGTAAATCGTTGTTTACGAGAATACAAGGAATCTGGACGCATACAAGTTGTTGTGTTGTATTTGTTTTCGCCAAGCGTACTTACATCTACAAAATGTCGCTGACTGTAGGTATTAAATGGTCTTGTACCATTCAAGATGAAACAAATTGTTAAAAAATTTGTGGGTACAGGGCGTGAAATTGCGCCTAATACAGGCGCCAATGCGACTAAATTTTTCACTTTGGCGACCAAATCCTGAAAGTTAGTCGCCAAATTGGCGACTAGAACGTTTCATCATAACCTTACCAAGAGATATAGTGAATTAAAAAGATTTGCAAAGATAAATCCGCGGCAAACTTCCTCTAAAACGTAGCACGTGCTTCTCGATCGACAACTAGACGCCATCTTGGATTTAGATGAGCCTGAAAGTTGTATATCATCCATCCTAGTGTCCACTTTGTAGCACGTTAAAGATCTTTTCCCTAACTTAATTTTGGAGGGTCTATCCAGAACGCTGAAAGCGTAAAGAAAGATTTTGTTTGTCTTTGAAAATGGCGACCAACTTTTTTTGAATTGGCTACCACTTTGAAGAATTTAGGAGCCAAGTGGCTATCAGAAAAAAAAGTTAATTTCACGCCCTGGGGTATGCTCCTAATTGCCAATGATATGCTAATAATATTCTAAACCCAAAATACCGCGTCCCATTTTTCACCAAGCAGGGAACCGAAATCGTCGAGTCTATTCTTCGATTTCTCCGCTTTGAAATTGCTTTCAACCGCTAACCCGAGTAATTCAAGATCGTGGCGGAGATCAGCTGGGCCCATTTTGATGACGAAGGTGCGAGCTGCCTTGGAAGACATTCCTCTGTAGATCTCGCAGTGAAGCATGGCTGCCAAGTCGTACCGCCGTACGTTTGAAGAACGGAAAGATAGTTTAATTTTACATCTGACCGATTTTTAAACAATATAGCCTAATCAAGATAACGCTACTACTTACGTCTATTCTTCGATGAATAGCGCCACGTTTCGGTTATCTGAGCAAGAAACAATACTTGCGAACACGGCGCACATTGGGAAATTACATGATTGACAGTCGGACTGACAGGCCTGTGTGAAGTTACGCATCCTCTCTTTCTCTTTTCTAGCTTATATGCATTTTCCCGTGCGATGTTTTTCAATGAGCGTGATTCTGTGAGGTGGTGTGCTTAATTAAAGCATTAAATCGCAGGAGTTTGCATAGTCATCCAAAATTTCCATAATCTGTCATGGGTGCTATGGCCTCTCTCATGTCTTATCGACGCCACCAGGTATGTACAGAATAACAAGAACTTGTAATGTATTAGTAATCTGTCGTTGTTCATCTAAGAACAGTTTACTTATCATGTGTAGGTGAACTGAATAATGTCCGAAAATGTTTGGTGAGTTTGTATATGTACACCGCAGAAAAAAAAGGGATTTCAAATAAGCTTATGTATAACGAGGTATTATGAACTAAATGGAGAGAGCGAGAAAGGGTTAGGTTCGAGTGCACTTTAGAAGGGAACACGGAACAAAATCCAGAACAACTACTGTTGGCTTACATCTCAGAAAATGGTTTCTATACACATCAACAACGCACGCCTCTTTTCCTAGTTTACTCTGCATCACTTCTATTCAAAGAAATTCTCTGATTGCAATTTGGTGTTTGTCTTGCATGAAAGGATGACAACGTTTTTCAAGTACTATTTCCTATTACACTTATATACACCTACAAAAATGTATTTGTCTTTGATGGTAATTATCCTTTAAAACGTGGTTTTTTTTCCTTTGCTCGGCATCAGCGTTTTCATACAACTAGAGCTGGCTGTATGTATGCAAAAGGTACATCGAATAATTTTATCTTGGAGTAACTCATGAAAAACGAAGTATTGTTCATGAAAGGAACGAATTTTAAAGTAAAATGGTCACGTCTTCATGAGAACAAACTTTCCAGCTGTTGTTGAGTTATACCTAAGAAGACGGTTTCCTTTATAGATCAGCAAATCAACTGACCAAAGAGCATACAAAAGTTTACGAGGACTCACACAGCTAATTGTCATTTTCTAATGCAACCAGTAGGGCAAAACCGAGCAAACACGTTACCATCATCATAAAACAAAAAGCAATTCCTTAGGCAAATAAATTCTAATAACGAGAACTTGAAATGTATTGGTAGTAAACTGTCGTTGTTCATCTAAGCACAGTTTACTCTGCTGAATAATGTCCATTTCTCTGGGTAGCATGTACAGCTAATTGTCGTTTTCTAATGCAACCAGTATAGCAAAACCGAGCAAAGTCGTCACCATCATCATAAAACAAAAAGCACTATCAATTTGTTATTCCTGTTCCTTCATTTTTTACTAACAAAACTTAGATGAAGTTCTTGCCTTCGAGAGCCATTGATCCATGGAACTAAGGAGGCGTTTAATTAATTATTCAGTTTATCTATATGTTTATAGCACATGATTTCTTTCTAAAATAGTGCACCGCCTGAATAAGTTGAATGTTAAGAATAACCGACTCTGAGGATCGCGAATCGTAAGTCAGCGATCATTTATAAAGAGATGAATCTACGTCAGAACAGATGACAATCCAACGCTAATGTTTTGCATGCCAGAGTATGTCAGAACCCAGTCATGTTTCCGTTCGATTAAGTGTCCCCCTTCTTTTCAAGTCAGTCACTTCACTTGGCATAATTTTACTGCAACTTAGTCTGTTTCGTCCAATGAAATTAGTGAAGTATGCTACATAATGATTCGAGCACTAAATTGTTTTAGCATTTTTTGACAATATCGTCTGTCTTCGGAATTTTTTTTGTTAACTTGAATCACGAACGCATCATCAATCAAGTGCGAGGCACATCATGTAGAGAAATGAACTTGAAAAATAGCTCACTGCACTAGTTTCTAATACCGTTTAATACCGTACCGTTTTAGGTACCTTTTTATGTTTACGCACTAGTTGTTGTGACGCACTCTTTCTTGGAAAGTGCATGCTTTTCTTCTTCTGCTCATGTCATCACTCATTGAAAGATATAAAATTACTGAGATTCTACGAGCGCCTTGATTGATCAAAAAACTTACCGTTCATTGCACCTCAAAACCCATAGAAATTTGAAGTTTATTCTATAAAAGCTATGGATAGCACTTTCTATCGGTTTACCGGCGTAATCACCCAAACTTTACTCGTATTCTCCCAACAATTTGCGGACGTTATTATGTCATAAAACGACAGAAAGTACAGTCTATTGCTTAATTGTGACGCGTTTATGGGTATGTTTTATACCATCAAACAATCAACATTAACATCAAAGAAAAATATGGTGTTATATAGAACATTTCGAGAGACAAAACTCAAACTAAACTTATAAAAATTTCTTATAAACACTATCTGTAGACGATGCTGTCAGGCTCCAAGTGGTCTCTATGCTGCTGTTTGAAGGTTGCGTCTTGCTTTCTAGTTCTTCTAATTTCTAGCTATGGGCTTGACTGCTGTCATTGAATAGATATTTGTTTTCCTTGTACGCCAGTCTTGATTCAGTCATCCTCGGTGCACTGTATTGGAAATTTGTCTAAGAAAGTTATGACAAGCATATTAGATAACAACACAGGACATAAAATGTAATTTTTGCAAGCCTACTTGTATGCGATTTTAGGGGGTACTTTTCAAATAAGCATGATGATTTTTGTTTTATTTTGGAAGTATTCATGAAACAATTGCCCATGGCTAACCAGGTAGGGTAAGAGAGGGGATTAGAGACTTCGCCCAACGAAGGCTTCTTCATCAACAACAATTTGCAAATCAATCGATTAATGGACCGACTGACTGACATGAACACATCACATGACAACTTGATTAACGATGATGTGTTTTGAGGAGTCTGAATTATGGAAACTTTCGAACTCTACTTCTACTCGGCTCATACTGATATACTCTGAAGTTCACTGAAACTATTTGTTCCGGTAAAATCACATAAGGATAGAACGTATCTAATTTCAATCTCAAATAGCAGTTTACTACACAAAGACAAGCTTGTGTAATTTTTTCAGCAAGATATTGAACAACAGGATATTGAAAGCCATAATGCTCAAGCTTTCATTGCAGCGCTGGCCATACTGAATTTACTAGAAAAAAAATGCAAAATCACATGCACATTTATAGACTAGTCGATTTAGAGGCGACAAATTATGAAAAAAAACAAGGTTTGAATATCTTAGAGGAATTAAGTTTGTTAGAGTATGGGTAGAACTCCAATGTTGTGACCTTACTCGGGTGGAATCACGACACATAATTCACCCCTGTTTCCGCAATTTTAGTTGAGTGAGACGTATCACGGAGAAGGTTTGACAGAAACTTTTCTGAAAACGGTTTGAGCTTATCTCCGCAAAATGAAAGCAGACAATGGAATTTTAGAAATGTCGCAATTTGACACTAGAGTGTTGCTATACAAATATTGTCGTTCCCATTCCTTTGTGCGCATTACAAGCACGCACACTCATTTTGCCGCTGTGTCCCTAGGAACGATTACACGATAGTCATGTGCAGCTTCTCTGCAGTTTTCTGAACAGAGTTCCGGTGGAGGAAATACCGCGATTAATGGTGGATGTTTGTGCTCCTTCATATCACGACTAAACTTTTTTTTGTTTTTTTTTTTTCACGCTACATTACTGTAGTAGACAAAGAAAATCACTCTATACTCGATAGCTTCTTTTTATTTCTAGCAGCGCTACCAGCTTCGATTAAGCTCTTTTGTAACAAATCATGGCAATTATGGTAAAAGCTATGAAATTATTATGGTGAGTCGAACGGTCAGGAAATAGGGCAAAGGAAAATTTTTTGCGACGGAAAATATTTTTAAAATACTGAAGCAATATGAAAATGAAAAGAGTTTCCACCCAACCTTTTTTATGTGTCGGTGGAGGTATTAGTAAACTTATGCGTCCAAGGATTAAACTATTTTACAAATCAGTGTATTTTTTTCTACATCTATAACCTTACTTTATTCAGGCCAATACTGAACCACAGATGGTCACGTTCCCCACTTGATCACGAGTAACCGAAAAAAAAGTGCATACAACAGTCTATCAATAGAGGAAAATAAAATGTATAATAATAAGAAAATCAGCCTAAGAACAATTTACGTATTATGATTAGACCAACTGAATAACGTCCGGATATGTTTGTTAAGTTTGTACCAGTACACCAAGTAAAAGGGTTAAGTTCGAGTGCACTTTAGACACAAATGAGAAGAAAAACGTATCACTTAGAACGGAACACAGAACAAAATCCAGAACAACTGCTGTTTACTTAAATTTCAGAAAATGGTTTTAACCATGAATCACTTTTATTCGAAGAGATTATCTGACTGCAATTCGGCAATGTGTCTTGTATAAAAAAGGACGACAAAGTTCTTCAAGCACTATTTGGTATAACATACATACACACGTACAAAAATGTAAATGTTTTTGATGGTAACGAGCGTGGGACAAAGAGAAAATTCTGAAAAAAATTCCCATGAGGAATCGAACCTTAGACCTTTGGATTCCGGACTCCGTGCTCCACCACTGAACCACAGAGACTTTATTATGAAGTCTAAACTTCGTAATAGACCTCGCTTACTGTAGAGTCTCTGTGGATCAGTGGACACAAGAGTGCAGCTTTCCGAACTGCCTAGACGTAAAGAAAGGCCGCAAACTGCCATATGCTTCTTAGAATGATTACGGATATTAAAGTGTCTACTGACTGGTTGGGATGCGTCTTTGTCATTTTTTTCTACGTCGCGAATTCGAAGGTGTTCTCGGAATCGGTCACCCAGTCGTCTTCCTGTTCCACGAATGTATAACTTTTTGCAATAAGTGCAAGTTATGCAATAAATGTCATTAGCAGAGGTGCACGTAAAGTGATCAGTGATCAGTGATCTTCGTGGATCTCTTGAGTTCCGACTTTTTCTCTACGTTACTTTTGCGTCGTGCGCAAGCGCATTCAAAACTTTCAGGTTGGTCACTGGTTTGAAATGAACTTCTGACAAAAAATTTATCTATGTTTTTCTCACGTTGGAAAAAAAGTAAGTGGAAGTTGCGAAAAGGTAGTACCAGTATCTAATCTTTTTGGAGTAATTTAAAATTTCTAAGAAAGTAGATTTAACTGCGTGGCTGTGAGGGTGAAATGTGAGATAGAATGGAATGCAATAGCTGTTTGCATTAATTCGTTTCATTGTCCACCAACAAACGTAATGTTTTCAAAAGCATCCATAAGCAGCTGTAAGCCCACAAAAAAATGTATTTAAAATTAATTCACGTCAAAAGAAGTACTGTCATTCTCAGGGAAACTAAATGACTAATTATATGCAGGAGCCCATGAGAAAGTCAGTCGAGCGTAACTTTTAGCTTTCAGTCCACTTTTCTGCCCGCTTTCTTTTCAAGTCAACCATGTTCCTTGGCGGCATTTTACTGCAACTTAGTCTGTTTCGTCCAATTAAATTAGTGAAGTATGCTACATGGTGATTCGAGCACTAAAATGTTTTAGCATTTTTTGACAATACCGTCTACCTTCGGCAATTTTTTGTTAACTTGACTCATGAACCCATAATCACATCACGAAATGAACTTTAAAAACAGCCCACTGCGCTAGTTTTCAATACTTTACTAGATGAGATGAAAACTGCGTACGTACCTTCTCAGTTTAAGAACTAGTTGTTGTGACGCATTCTTTCTTGGACAAGTGCGCGCTTCTTTTCTTTGCTCATGTCACCACTCATTAAACAATATAAAATAACTGAGATTGTACGAACGCCCTGATTGATCAAAAAAACCTATCGTTTATTGCATCGTTAAACACGTAGACATTTGAAGTTTATTCTATGAAAGCTATGGATCACACTTTCTATCGGTTTACCGGCGTAATAACCCAAACTTTTCTCGTATTCTCCCAACAATCTGCGTGTGTTATTATGCCTTAAAGTGATAGAAAGTACGGTCTACTGCTTAATCGTGACGTGTTTATTTGTATGTTTTATATTATCAAACAATCATGATTGACATCAAGGAAAAATATGGTGTTGTATAAAACATTTTGAGAGACAAAACTCAAAATAAACCTATAAAACATTATGTATAAACAATATCTGTAAACAGCAGAATATGATCGAAAAAACGCTAGAAATATAGGTAAATTTAAGTCATTTTAGGACAATTCAAATTTCTCTTCTAACCAGCACTTCAACAGATATAAAATGTCTTTCTTGTGAGCGTTACAGTGGAACAGCTGTAGAAGTAAAGGAAATGACCGGCAAAATTCTCTAATATTCTAAGCATGGTGTTGTTGGGCTCCACGTGGCCTCTATACTGTTGTGACATGACAACTTGATTAACGACGATGTGTTTGGAGAGTCTGAATCATGGAAATTGATATTATTACTAATTATGGTGTCAATTGCGTTAAAATGATCTAAAACACTGATTATTTACATGACCTTTCAGATAAAATTCATAGCACATGCTCAAGTTTAGGGTGACAGAAATGTTGCGAAGTTAATTATTCAGTGTTGCTTTGGTTATTTAATTGATTATTTGATAAATACAATGATGTAAATTTTTGGGCGCATAGTATTAACTGAGCGACCTATCTCGTTCAACGATTATATGTTTAGCAAGACACATATGACATCCACGAACTCTGTTCCGTGCCCACCAGGCATTAGGAAGAAAAAAGCACAGAGGCATAAAATTTTTAAATAAATCGGCTGGAAAAATAATATTGGGCAAAAGCTGGTGTTTAAAGACAACATGGAAAATTTCGTTGCCACGTGACGTTGTTTAGAGACGTTCGAGTTTTACTTCTAATCGGCTCATACTGATGCACTCTGGAGTCCAGAAGTACATTGAAAGTATTTGTTCCGGTAAAATCACATTAAGATAGAACGTTAACGCTAATTTCAATCTCAAACAGTAGTTTACTGCACAAAGACAAGCTGATGTAATTTTTTTAGCAAAATATTGAACAGGATATTAAAAGCCATGATGCCCACGCTTTCATTCCAGCGCTGGCCATATTGAATTTACCAGAAAAAAATCCAGCATCAAATGCACATTTAAAGACTAGTCGCTTTAGAGGCGACAAATTATGAAAAAAAAGAAAAAGGTTTGAATATCTCTGAGGAATCAAGTTTGCGAATTTGAATTAAGCATGTAATAAAACTCCAATGTTGTGATCTTACACGGGTGGAATCACGATACATAATTCACATCTCTTACCGCAACTTTGAGTGGGATATATCGAAGAGGAAGTTCTACAGAAACTTTTCTAAGAACGTTTGGAGCTTACCTCCGCAAAATGCAAGCAGACAATAGAAATTTTAAAAATGAAGCAGTTTCTATTAGGTGTTACTATTTCCCGGCATTCCATTGCGCGCGTCCTTAGAAACGATTACACACTGGTTATGTGCAGCTTGTCGACAGTTTAATGAATGGAGCTCCGATGGAATAAATCGCACGATTGGTCGTGGATGCTTGTGCTCCTTCATATCACGACTAAACCTACTATTTTTTAACGTTACACTACTGAAATAGACAAAGAAAATCACTGTATGCTCGATAGCTTCTTTCAATGGGGAAAGTTTGGTGGAGACATCAATTTCTAGAAAGTTTGGTAGAGATATCAATTTCTAGCGATGCTCCTAGCTTTGAATATGCTCTTTTGTGACAAATCATGGCAGGTATGGTAAAAGATATAAATTTATTATGGTGAGCCGGAACAAGGAACGATTAGTTATATCAAAACGCATTAAACCGAACATTGTTTACAAGCAATAATTTCCATTTTCATTCGACTAAACAGTCGAATAAAAAAGCCTTGATCCATAGGATGAACCATGTTTCTTTAGAAATCATTATTTTGGCGACTTTGAAACATTTAGGCAACATAATGCTTAAGTTTTAATTCAGTGCGATGAAGTTCAGCAGTCCGTCATTCTATCCATACAAAATATACTGCAATTGCTCTAGACGCCTTCAATTGAAAGAAATTCGTTTCTGCAATCGTACTGAACCCACTAGTTTGGTGGAGACTCATATTTAAACCTACCTGGAGGCTCTTTGAGGTATTTAGACTTTCTTCCTCGCATGCTTAAAACTGAAACACTGCTTTAACAAAGATTTACCTTCTATGACATTGCTATGATCGTCGTTTTCCACCGCGGCAGCCCTTCCTCTGCGAGTGAACCGCCTCAAAGCTAGCTTAAAGACGTATGGCAAAAATGTGTAAGCAATACATATCGTTAGCGTTAGCGTTATCGTACACCAGATAGTGTAATTCATTTGATATTCCTGTTCCTTCATCTTTGTTAACAAAACTTAGATGAATCTATCTTAGAAACATTGCTTTAAAAATAATCATTGACCCATGAAGACAATGCACCGTCTGATTAAGTTGAATGTTTACGATAACTGACTTTGAGGATCACGAATCCTTAGTCAGCGATCATTTTGATGAATTTCGCTTTAAAAATTGAAAAAAGGTTCCGCTAGTTTTGATTTTGAAAATATTGCGTAGAGCTGAAAACAAAATCAAACTGTGGTTTCCCATATGACAAAATGTTAAAATAAGTTGTGAGAACGAAGCACCACAAATATTCAAAATAAAATGTGGAAGTCGAATTTTTCACCAAAAGCTGGACTATTTAGACGTTTGAAAAATGCCAGTGAATGATACACGGCAAAGAAAGTCGTCGACGCCTATATTGTCCAGAAACAGGTAAAAGAGATTAGCTGCACTCTCATATCCTTGAGTTCCTCACCATCAACCGTCACAAAGACACACATCTTAATTGACGAAAATATATTTTCAAACTTCTGAAGCAAACAGAAATGAATATATTTTCCATCCAAACCCCTTTATTCCCCGACGGGACATCAGTTAGCTTGTGCATCCGAGGATTGAGAGATTTTCCAAACTTTTTTTTTTTTATACCTGATACCTTTTTCTGATTCGGACTAACGCTGAAAGACAGCCGGGAGGACACCTTCACCATGTGATCATGAATAACTGAATAGAGGAAAGCATACACTGCAGTCCATTTTTATGCGATTTCTGAGGGAATTTACAGTACAAACTTATCGAACTATTCAACAGCAATTCTTAATATTTTTCTTATCACAAGAAAATAGTTATAACCAAACTTTTTTTTCGTTTCATTTCAGCCGAGGAAAGGTCCGTCTGAGAAGCGGGAACGATTTAAAAGTGGAAGTGAATCTATAGAGTGGGCATTAGTTATAAAGTTTTACCATAAATAATTTGCTATATCTATCTATTAAATTGCGTTGTTAGTTTTTCAAAAGAATTGTTCTTTAAATACCTATTCAAAGGGAAGGATAAATACTCTAATGGCTGATAGACGATATAATCAACGAATAAATAGCAAGAATGATTGAACAAGTCCAAATATATTAATTATATGTATAACTTCTGTACATATCAAGAAAGCCATGTAATCAATGGTCGTCGCGGCCAACATTATTTAACATTTACAGTCTCGTTCCCAGACCTTTCACAGCCAAGCGGTGGTAAGGATCCAACATTTCATAACACGGTAGGATCTGAGTACGAGATTAGAACAGTTATTGAACTATGGAGATTCCTCTAGTTTTTTCATATGATTTTCCTCGTAAATACTTTCATTTGCTTCCCACACTGCTGAATTCAATTTTAAAATTTAAATATCAATCAAGGGTCTGCTTACAGCTTTAAGACGGTCACACTTTAGTACCAAAAAGGGCTTTTTTCTTTAAAATTTTAACCCGTACCTAAGTCGTCACTTTTGCGGAATAAAAAAGGCGTACTTAACGGCTTTGTCTCTAGTGTACAACTTTAATAGGGATACAAGGAGGACTCACTTGAAAAATTATCAGAAATTCTCTTACGTTATTAAACCGTTAAACGGTCTCTTGCTCAATCAAGTAACCAGCCAACTATTTACTTTGTGCTTTAGAAAATGAAGGAGGTAAAGACCTAATAGTTCTGAAAATTTCAGGTGGAGAACGGCATACATCTAACTTTAATACTGAATTAATGCCATGATAATTTTCGAAAGGGCCTTCACAACTTAAGATTATTAGACGTGAACAAGAATTGTGTAGAGAAAGATGTTTTTTCGTCTTGTCACGAGCGTAGGACAAAGAGAAAATTCCGAGTCCCCATGAGGGGACATAAGGTCATGTTTGTGAACCTATTTAAAAAGATAACGCTATCGACATTACTAATCCTAGCACTATGCAGGACGCGTGTCATTTGAACTTCGTAATAGACGTCGTTCACCATAGAGTCTCTGTGGCTCAGAGGTAGAGCATCGGAGCGCAGAATCCGAAGGTCTGAGATTCGATTCCTCATGGGGACTTATTTTTTCTTTGTCCCACTCTCGTGACATGACGAATAAACATATTTCTCCAATTCCTTACCGAGCTCAAAATTTACCATCTCTCTTCTATTTTCAATAATTGCTTAGATTATCATACGAATCATTGCACTGCTCAATTTTATATTTAGGCTGTTTATTCTAATTAATTAGCATGACATTTTTTCAATAGATAAGAATAGTACTTATTTTCCATCTATGATTTTTTGTGAGAATCAACAATCTAAGGGTTTCTTTTTTGTATATCTTTTGGAGGCAAATTGTCAAGTGTTATATTATTTGAAAAATGACGTCACCATACTTTATACCTTACATAAATTAAATCGAAAATAGCAACAAGTTCTAAGAAACAACCTGTTGGAATTAGGTAGAAGTGTAAAATTATACCTATGTCGATATTTCGGCGATTGCTACGTCAACAGGCGAGCTTTGTTTGAATAGAGCTGTAATAAATAGAAACCAGACAAGTTCGACTTAGAATCTTAGTGAAAGATATATCGCAATCTAGGGAAGGTACGAGGCATAACTTTTTTATTTGGGGGCAAATAACATATATTTATGGATCAATGAAAATAAACAAAGTTATCTGAATAAAAGGTGGCGAGACAGTTACTAAATTTTCGGTTCATTTTCATCTACTCCCTGTTGTATCTCATTGAAATATATCACTCCTACCCATTCCTTCTCATTCCTTGCATTGTCAAAACAGCATAATCTAGATAAAACTCATTCTTATTGAATCCTATATATATCTTAATTCAATTTGACATTAGTCGCCATCTGTCTGGAAACTGTCTTCGAATGATTGATTTTAGCAGGGACAAAAGAAGGGGTTTTTCCCTTGTGAGAATGAAACAGTTTACTTCCTACGGTCCATTGGGTTAATCCTTCATTGTACTCCTCATTTTCTTCGATATATCTCAGTTTATAACGATAACAGCTTAGTTCCAAGTATTTCGCTAGTGTATGTCTATACCTGACATTGCATTGACTCTCTGTAAATGAGATCTGTATATTTTTCATCATTATAGTAATTTGCCCCCAAGCTTAATTAACTGCATCCACTGTGAAAGAAATAACTATCACGTGCAGGCGCTTCAAAGGCCATTTTAAGAGCAATAATCTGAAAAAGTCGCTGATCCAGCGCGGCCGCTACACAAAAGAAATTCCAAAATATCTCGTGTGTTCATAGGGTTTGGACACGCAAACATGTTATGCTTCAAAGTTCGGAAATACTTCAGTTCTTATCCAGCGCCAATGGTACTTTTCTTCATAAGTTTAACAAATTAATTAGAAACTAGAATAGCCTATATCTAGATAAAGCCTCATGGATCTGAAAAAGCGACCAAAGGTATTCATAGTTCTAAAAGTAATAAAGCAACTACATAAGACTGTTAATTAGTTTTTGTGGTTTAGTTATTGGTGGTAGTCAAATGCTGAGTAATTGCTCTTTGAAATTATTTTCGGAACAATTGGGCCCCCTGGACAAGACTCATTCAAGCGTCTCCGCCTCTGGTAATCATTAAAGTGTTGACAAAAACATTCTGCTATGCATTCACGGTAAAATCTGCCTTTTTAAGTTTTTACTGTTATTGACGTGTATCTGTCAAGAATATAGAAAGATTTCTTGATGATTCTTATATCTAAAATCAGAGACAAAAAACCCACTTGAACACATGTTAACGGCTATAATTTTTCCGCGTTTCCACCATCATCTGCAAAACGATGAAAGCGAGACAACTGAAGATAGCTTAAAAGCGGTGACACGAAATAATTTGTGAACAAAGGCGGAGTTCGAAGGCGACACAAACCACTGGGACAAAATGGCGGATACGACCGAGAAGATAAGGATCGGACCTGGGTACAAACAGAGTCCGCTTGCGGTTATGCGTGCGGCTCACTGACGAAGCTAACAGACAAATGGCTTATAAAGGGTTTGCTTAGGAAGCGGGAAAAATAGAAGGTTATCAAAGGAGTGAATGAAACGCCCTGACATGCATGCTCTCCATTTTTCTCCCGTTTATCTTTTAGTTAGGTCTTTCTTGGCAATGATTATTCACCCAAGAAATTCCAAGTAACCGGCACAAAAAGTACTACTTTTGGTTACACAAATGGTCAAGTGATTAAAAGCGGCTCTATGACCCAAAGATGCGGACAAGCCATTTGTGAGAACTGCATGGTGCACATTTCAGACAGTGACCTAAAGCGAGAGCTGAGCCTAAGTACGAAATAGCACAGACGCTGGTCTTCTCTAATTTCAATTTACCCATCATGGTCTTTATCTGTAGAGAAAAGGGGACGTGCTCGTATGTCATGACACGGGGAGTGACATATCAACTGTGAGCATTTCACATGATCATTTTAGCCAGTAACTTGTTATAACCTTCTGACAATCAACAGAAGGAACTTAAAGCCACTACGTCCGAGAAAATAAGAGAAAAACCAACAAAAAAAACCTTTTTTGTGGCCAGCCAAAGTTATCATGTCTCATGTAGCTGTAATGAGGAAGCCTAACCCTTTAACTCCCATGAATGACCAAGACAGAATTTCTCCCTACAATATCAATACAATATCAAGCAGACAAGTGATGAGAATAGTAAAAAAATTTAACTGGGGGATTATTAGTTGATCCAATACCAAATTCTCCAAACTAACATCACAAGAACTATATAGCAGACAGTAGAATTGCTAATAAGGAGTTAAAGGTTTCAGGGACCAGTAATTATTTATCGCCTGGAGGAGGGGGTTGGAGGTTTTTTCTGGGGGAGGTGGGGAACACATGATTTTCAGGGGACACGGAGGAGGGATCAATCATTACTAGCAGAATATAAGGAGGAGACCATAAAAAATTTAGTTTCTCTTGTCACATTCACCTTCTTACTCCTCTCCTCTTTCCGTCCTTAGCAGCCTGGCCACGCAGGCTACGGTTTTCTGATAGCGTCAATTATTCATATCGTATTTGTTAGTATGGAGAAAACTTGTTTTCAAGCTAAATTGATTTGAACAAGCTCAGTAGTCAGTAGTACAGTTATAAAAAGGGAAGTTGCTGCTTTGCTTACTCTACCTTCGGCTTGTTTGTTACCCCCATTTAGACGAAATGATAGTCCACGAAAGCCTAACCCCTTCCCCCACACCGTCTTCTTTGTGGCCTGCCAAAGTCATCATGTCACATGTAGCTGTGCTGAGGAGGCCTAACCCTTTAATTCCCACGAGTGACCAAGACAGAATTTCTCCCTACAATATCAATACAATATCAGGCAGAAAAGTAATGAGAATAATGAAAAAATATTAACGGGGGATAATTAGTTGATGCAATACCAAATTCTCCAAACTATTATCACAAGAACTATATGGCAGACAGTAAAGAGAATTGCTGTTGAGGAGTTAAAGGTTTCAGGAACCAGTAATTATTTATCGCCTGGAGGAGGGGGTTGGAGGTTTTTTTCGGGGGGGAGGTGGGGATCACATGATTTTCAGGGGACACGGAGGAGGGATCAGTCGTTACTAGCAGAGTATGAGAGTTTCTCCAGTCCCATTTACCTTCTTACCCCTACCCTCTTTCCTTCCTTAGCAGCCTGGCCACGCAGGCTACGGTTTTCTGATAGCGTCAATTATTCATATCGCATCGGTAGCATGTAGAAAACTTGTTTTCAAGCTAAATTTTATTTGAACAAGCTTGGTAGTCAGTAGTACAGTTATAAAAAGGGAAGTTGCTGCTTTGCTTACTCAACCTTCGGCTTGTTTGTTACCCCCCTTTAAACGAAATGATAGTCCACGAGAGCCTAACCCCTTCCCCCACACCGCCTTTTCGTTTCGTTTTCCTCATGACACGCAGTGCTCTCACTTAACTGAATATCAAACTTTAAGCATTCAGACCAGAATCCAGGGCTCAGTTGTTTGAAGGCCGATTAGTGCTAACCCAAGGTTAAATCTTAATCAGGAGTTCTTTATTCCTTTGTTCAAATGCCTTTTCTGAGTCATTCTCTCTGTTCTTTTTAGGGTATCCAATAATCAAATTCTAGACAAAAAGAACTACATTACATTTTCTTTTATAGCTTCCAGAACTGAAATCAGATTTCACACTAACCCTGGTTTATCTTGAACAACCCAGCTCAGGGCTCCAACTTTTTAGGCCACCTTGTTTGGAGGAGTCATGGACAAATGAGATTGAACAATATAACTTTTAAGTTATCTAGTTTAATAAAGAGATTTAAGTTCCAGTCACGTTGAGGAACGGTCTGAATTATGTAGTTAAACTTTTAAAGTTGAATGTTAGTTTAACCTGGAGATTGGCGGGAACGGCAAACAGTAACAGTGAACTCATATTTTTCTCACTTTTCGTTTAATTCTTACAGAAAAATAGCAACAACAAAAAAACTCTCGCTTACTGTAATCCACACATTTGTGCAAAAAGGTTGAGAAAAGACTGCAAAACCTATAACTGTTGCTATTTGCAATTTGACGAAAAAGTCACGATTTTAACTCGTAATAGCTAACGAACATTCCTAGAACTGCGCTAATCACCGAAAGCAGATCCATTACATTACGAAGGCTTGAAAGTGAACGTCACTAAGGCTCTTTTTTAAGCTTTTTAAAACTCTCCTGAACCTTTGGTTAAAATGAATTCTCGACGTATAGGGCGTAAACATCGCAACAGACTCGTCCATCGTTGTCGCCTTCCGTCCAGTTCAAGTAATCTTCGCCGTACCACAAACGTAGATGTTCACCCGCATGCACTGAGTGACTGCCAGAGATGAAAGACAAAATGATCTCCGGCGGGGGAAAACGAGTTGTATCCGGGAATCTCCGACTACTTCCCTCTTCCAAGAGTAAAGAACTGACTCGGTGGTAAAATGATGCTATTGGATGATGTTTTTATGACAACATTGACGTGGTTTATGACAGAAGGCTTGTTACCGCAGCCCCAAAAGGACCACAGAGGGGTTGGCGAATTTACGGCGCAGGTGACGTAGCCATGCAGATAAACCAGTTTTACAGCTGCCAGTTTTCCACCATATGGAGCACGGAACTTGCCAAACTTGTTATTCTTTGCGCCAAAGCAGACTGGTGAGGTGTTCATGTTTTGCCAGTGAGCTGAGAGAAATTCGTTGAATAACATTATTAGCACTATTAGTACTGTGTACTCAAATTTAATCGTGCTTGTGCGTACTCTCTTACTTGTTGAAGATTGTGTCATATCTCATTATAATCTTCCTTTGCGGTTTCCTTTGCGCTGGTTACAATAGCAAAACTCTAATCTTAATCAAGAATGCTTCTCAATGTAATTTAAGAAGAGGTTGACAAAGTAAATAAACGCTCTGATACAGGTTCAAGCGCAGATAATTTATGTCCACAGTGTTCACTTTGCCTTCAAAGTTCAGATGTCGAATTTAATCAACCTTCGTTATTTTCTCCATGAAAACCCTATCCTATTCCCTCTAAAAATTGAGCAATTGTGATTTGCCAAACCCTTTTTTTCCATATTTAAGTCCCCCTCCACCTGTCCAACCAGTTATACTGTGGGTCGGTTAGGGAGGGTCGGCACGTGAACCTACCGTCCCACTTCATAGCTCATTCCGGACTGATTCGGTAGATTAATGTGTCTTAAAGAGTATTAACCGCAATTTATCATATTCTACATAAGTGCCACCCTCCCCCCTATGTCCTTTCACCCACCCCGTATTTAAATAGGGCCCCGTGATAATTTCCCTTATCTGTTTATATTCCTGGGTCCAGTTGTTCAAAGGGTGGATAACGCTATCCAACAGATACTTCGTTATCGAGAGGATTAGTGATAGCATAACGTATGGCGCAATCCAGCAGGTAGCGATTTATCTCGTGGATAGTGTTATCCACCTTTCGAATAAACCAGGGCCTGGTTAGGCAGAGGCACGATGAGAGTAGAAGCCTTGTTAAACATAAAAAAGGAAAAGAAAGAAAAGCAATTGGCAACACGATAACAGCGACTGAGGGTTCAAAGCAGGAACTTTCGCTCGGAGTCGAGAGCGCTGGCCACTGCGTCTATTGCAAGCCTAAATTACCCTTCTCTTCATCTCCAACCATTAAACAAATAACAAACCTGTGAATGAACTCAAAGAATATCAATACCTTCATCACCCCCTCCTTGGGTTAAATCAGAGACGTTGATGACGAGAACAGTCAAGACCAGCCATGCTGAATAGAGCTTCATTTTCGCAAAAATCTGAAATGAGGTTATGTAGGAAACAAGAATTACTAATTGTAAACAGACCCTCGTCTATAACGTTTCCAACTATCATGTATCTCCACAGAGTACTTCGCGCATATACGCTACATTTCCCTACACAAAACTTGGAATCAAATTTAAGGGATAGTGTGAAATTGACAACCGATCCCACCTCAAGCGTCATGAAGTACTGCGAGAGAGACGTCCACTATGATCACTGGTACTTCACTGTCTCTGGTTAAGTGAGGATCCTGCACTTATATGACGATAACATCACTAAAATATCTTTGGAAACGCAGGAATGTTGGTCCTTGTTGACTCAGGAGTCAGCTGTGATGGATATTTGTGTTAAGTCTTCAATGCACACGAGGCTAAATGAAAAGAAATGAGACCAGAACAATATTTCAGATTATATAACAAGCTTAATAATATGCACTTCATAATTGGTCGATACTTATGATATATCAGTGTACTGACGTGCGGCTGACATCAAAAAAAAGAATCTTTTTCTTTTTCCAAAACAGCGCATTTTATCAATATTCGCGAGATTTAACTGATTTAATTAGCTAGTGAGAGCTGTCACTCGAACTCGCCACTAATAAGACTTAAAGAAGGCAGCTTTTGGGAAACTTGCTGGGCTTAGTCACGTGTTATAAGCTGTGCTGGACGCCAAAATCGACTATTAAATAGGATGGAACTGTAATCAACGCGCTGAAAAATCACTGTGATAAACAAGAATGGGAAGATGAGTGATGAAATTGAAATTCAGAAACTAACGAGATGCTCGTTTCGGATGGTAAACTAAACTCACTGAATAAATTGAAAAAAAAACACAAAGCCGTTAATTTTGAATAAGAAAAGAATGGTAGCCTATTCCAGGCGTTCACCTAGTAATAGAAAGGAAATACGAAACGATGAGGTAGTAACGGCAGAGAACGAACGAGGAGGCCTGGGTCGTATCGCGTTATACGACCTGATCTAAACCTGCCTGATTTTTTCGCTCTGCCGCTGATATTGCACCTGGAACCGCATGATTTCATATTTCTTGTTGCGTTTAATCGTCGTTTTTCACTGATCTTTCTCCCTCTTAATCTGAGGTTAAGCCGCAGGTTTGTTCAACGACGATAAAGTGACAGGTCACCGAGAATTTAAGATGAGTTCATGATCAACTGTTTCGCCGAGTTAAACATGGGCGCCCGTATGAATATTCAGCCCTAACCAGCAAAGTTCGTAAAGCCAGGGTTATTTGAATATACTCGAAGGCTCTTGGTATTTCTAATCGCGTTAGAAATCATTATCACATTGAGGCACTTTTTGTATTTCTGTTCTGAGCAAAGTAATTGTATTCAATTTCCGAAAACTTTCATCAATTTGCATTTCTCAAAGATTGCCGGCTTTGGCAGCTTTTTCCCCTTGAAAAGTTATTATTGCCAGTTAAGGAATATCTCAGAGTAAGACAACTCCAGTTTCTTTAAACAAATGGTGATTTACAAGGAAAATACTTGTTGACAATCAATAATCAGCCAGAGGGGTGATAATGGAAGAAAGACTATGAAGAACAACTGAATATGAAGGGTTGGTTACCTGTTTAAAGAAGGTCTCAGTGGGGTTAAATGTTAGCCGTAAAACGAAAAAAATTAGGCATTAGGCAAAAAAATTGACAAATTATAGATGTCTGTCGCAAAATAAGTTAGCCGGAATTTATTTTTTTTAGTGAAAACATGGCGGAAAGAAATAAACTGTTAGCCTTAAGATGGCTAAAACCGCCAGCCTTTAGTCCCTCTTTAAACACATACCATGGGATGAGGAAGTAGAACCAGAACTTAAAAAGTTCAAAGGCCTTCTCTGTGGTAAGGCCATCCCACCCCATTCGTGAGAGAGGGTCGAAGAGTCGGGTAAAAGAAGAAAAAAAAGAAAGAAAGAAAGAATAGACAAAAGAATAATAAAAGAAAAAAGAGGAGAGTTGACCGAGGAAGCCTGAGGTCAAGAGATTTCTAATTGTGCTGTGCTAACCGTATTTTCACGATTAACGCCAGGCCCCCAATGAACGCCGGCCTCGAAAAAACGCCGGGCCCAAACTTCTGATTTTTAAATAAACATCGGAGGCGTTTAACCAATAAAATACGGTTCCCTAGCTTTCAATTTGATAAAAGAGTTGGAAAAGTAGGTTTGAAAGATTCCATTCGAGATCAGTCTTAAGTCTTAGGCATATTAAAAGTTACTCAAAATATGGTTGGATAATTGATAATTTTCTTTCTCAACCAGGTACCTTAAATAATACGAACACTTTGCAGCTTTTCGAACGACGAGGCCATTAGTTGTCTGCAGATTGATTGGAGATTGTCAAGAAACGCAATTGTAAAAGTTCGGCAGGTGGAATTCAAATGGATTTTAGGGATCTGTGCTATTCATAGGCAGTCACAGTCGGGTTTATATATTCTTAATTGCTTGGAGTTCACGGAAAACTGAAGGAAAACACGACATTTGCAGGAACTTTAAACTTGGTCTTTTCCTATCCAGTACCACAGTGCTCTGCCTTTGTTGTTAGTATCAGTCGAGTTGTAACATAGACTGGCAAGATGAACAATACATCTGCAGTGGTATTTGTTAACCTGTTGTTAGGAAATGTGAGTTTACCTATATTCACTTACCATGTCGGCTTCGAATTCCGGCTGTGGACCAGGTGGATTTGAACGGAGAAGACCAACAAACCTCTATGTACTTTCCTTATGATCTTTGATACTTTTCTCTCGCAGGTCTCGCTTACTTCTGCCGCGTTCATATCCCGTGAGACATTTAACGTCATATATTGGCCGGTGAAGCATCGATCATTATCAAAACGACAACACGGAATTGCTATTTTTGCAGTGTGGATACTCGCTCTCCTTATCTCTGCCACCTGGACTGCATCAAATCTCCTTCTCTCCCACTCCATGTTCATTTGGGGACCATATAATTTGCTACCCTCGTTTATACGAGGACGACATTTATTTAAAATCCAATTTATTTCTTGTAAACAATAATATGGTAACCGACCATTTTCATTTTAAAAGACAGAAACATGTTTTAGTGCTTGTCTAGAAAGTCATTTGTTATATTGTCCTCAATTTCAAAATTTGCATGTTAATGCTATCGCAATACATAAAGTGAGTAAAGATCTGAAGTCGGATATGCTTTCTCGACAGAACTGGTACATTGGAAAAAATCAGTGTCTGATTCACTCAAAATTTCCGACTGCGATCGAAGAAGTGATCGCTGTGCGCTTTTTGAGACCACTATTAGAATAATGAAAAGGTGGCCCAAACCCAGCTTGCCTCACGCTCCTGGTTGACCAGCCGCGGTCAACGGGTATCCCACACCAGTGGTAAGAAACAGGAAATGAAACAAAGACCGAAGACAAGTCTCAAGTTAGCATGTTGGAATATCTGCACAATGCAAGACTCCGACGAAGCTGACCGACCACAACGACACTCAGCACTGGTGGCACAGAAACTAGCCCGCAACCGGGGGGTGCGCTTTGCAGAGCAAGGGTCACTCACGGAGCACGGAGCAGGATACACCTTATACTGACAGCAGGGACAAGCTCACCATCATGGGCGACTTGAACGCAAGAGTGGGACGAGACCACACTGTATGGCAAGGAGTTCTGGGACGCCATGGAGTCGGCAACTGCATCGCCAACGAGCGCATGCTGTTAGAACTGTGTGCAGAACAGGGACTGATAATCACCAACTCCCTGTTCCAGCAGATAGCCAAATTCAAGACGATCTGGCAACACCCACGCTCCTGAAACACTGGCACCTCTTGAACTACGTCTTCGTGCGCCGTGTGGAAGGCCTACAGTGAGAACAAGAGAGGTACAGGTGCTTGAAACCAACAGGCTGCTGGCGAGGAAAATTTAGTTCAAGATAGAGCTCCAGCCCGGACAAGAAAAGGAGGAACTGCCAGTACGGGAAGCAGATCCCGAGCACGATGCTGAGAGAGGTTAAGGAAGAACTGAGCGAAGGCATCTACATCGGGTTTCGAACTGATGGAAGTGTCCCTAATCTCCGTCGCCTCCTCGCCCGAAAAAGAGACGACCGAGGAGCTGATCCTTGAACTGCACACACAAAGGACACTCTTCAAACAATGGTTGACCACTTCGCAAGGGCTGCTCAAGCATTCAGTCTGACCATCAGCCTGAAGAAGACAGAGGTCTCGCTTCACCAAAATTCCCCACTCGCGGTGTATAGCCCACCCCAGATCACTATCAACGGCCACCTACTTACATACCTTAGCAGTGTAATCTCCAATGACGCCATGATCACCAAAGACCTGGACCACCTTCTCGCCAAAGCCAGCAGCTCCTTTGGTCACCTCCAGCACAGAATGTGGCAGAGCCACCCACTTCGCTTAATGACCAAAGTCAGAGTTACGTGGCAGTTGTCATCAGCACTCTTCTGTATGCTGTGGAAACCTGGGTGCTGAGCCGAAAGCATATACAGCTGCTGAAACGCTTCCACCAGAGGTAACTGCGTCTATCATGGGAATACACTGGCAGGACTACGTCACAAACGACGAGGTTCTAGAGAGGGCTAGACTGCCAAGTATCGAGGCTATGCTGCTACATCATGCTGGGCCAGCCATGTCTCGGGCATGAACGATACCAGGATGCCCAAAGCTGAGTTCTTTAGCGAACTCGGCAAAGGTTTGCGTGACAGAGGTGCTCCACGCGGGCGCTACAAGGACCAGCTTAAGCGACAGCTGGTACAGGCTGGTGTTGACCACAAAGACTGGCAGACGCTCGCATCAGACGGGGTCGAATGGAGGTCAACCACCAAGCGCGCAGCTCAGAGGTTCGAGGACTCCAGAGTGAACACTGCTAAGGAGGAACGCAAGTGTTGAAAGGAGTCAGCCAATCAAGCAACGTCCTGCAGCGATCAGATCTTCCCCTGCCCCACTTGCTCAAGAATAGAATCAGTCATCAGAGGGCATGCCGACCCCAGTTAGAACTTTCTTCCCACTGATCTTTGGACTACGAAGAATCTGCCATCATCAATAAACGCCGTATCATGCTGCGTTTATTAACATTTCTGCTCTAGAATGCGGCGTTTATTCGAGGGCGGCCTTAATTCGAATGCGGCGTTTAATCGAATAAATACGAAAATTAATATTGACTTAGATAGTAGTGTGAAAGTGCTTTTTTAAACAATTGTTTAGTTGGTTTTTCACTAATAGGCTGAGTAATATCGCTCCAGATATATCTACCGATAATTGTTGTACAAACTTTCCCGAGATTCGATCAAGAAGAGGGAATTGAAAGAAGGTTGTAGGATACACTTCGAGTGTCATAATCATGCAGCTCGGACACTGACGAGAGATTTAAGTCTGAATTTTTTTCACCATTAAAATAGTCATAAAGAAGTAAAGATGCTCGACCAAATGTGAGGAACTTTTCAAAAGTCACAAGACTTCCTTTAGGTTACATAGTGACGAGTTAACGCTCGAAACGTCAGCTTTAGACACTCTACAATGGCCAATTTACATTATCAACTCTTCAACTCAAGAATGTAAAGCTGTCATTTGCTGCTCCCCGAGAAACTATTACGCTTTTCTCGTGCTCTCCAAACTTGCCTCGTGTATTCATAACTCGATATGGGCACGCTACGCACGAACCGATTCTTTATTTTACCCTCAGAAATAGCTCCCAGTTGTGAGAGAGACTCGCCTTATCCTCACTCAAGGCGCAACTTTTCGACGAAGTGGATTTGGAGTGTTTATCACTTCTTCCCCCTCCATCCCCTCTCACACAACGATGAAATGGTCCAACCATGGCAACCATATGAAGTTATGATAACAGAGGGCTGAACATAACAAAATTATCCTGCTGAAAAAAGACAAAAACAAAAACAGAAAAATTTTCAAAACTTCAAACCTTATCCCTAATATAGAGGACTAAGAAAGGTTAAACTAAACAATTCTATCAATATATAAACTGCCTCATAACTTTGATTTGGCTTGAAATCTTACATCAGATGATTGAAACCTTACTGTTTTTTTCTACGAATAGCATTGGAAGATCAGTTACTTTACAAAAGGAAATTTCGCTTGGATCTTCACCAGAATAGTCAGAGTGAGCTGAAGCCCTGAGACCTGTGGTAGCTTAAGAGACTCCGCTACGAATCAAACGCGCGTTAGGACCCTGGGTACTAAATCATGCGTGAATCACCCGTTTGAAGCCCCTGGGAGAGGAGGGAGAGGGAAGGAGGTTCTCCAGAATTAAGATGAAGGTAACAATCAAAAGATGTTACAGTTTCGATAAAACACGCAGGGATTTGCTTTGTTTCTGTGGCATTTAAGCCACCACTCCTGGAAATGTTTTAGCCTTTGAATTGAACATCCTGTTGTTACACCATCGCCTTCACCGTCATGAACGGATTATGGTGATACATCCAAAGGCACTACCCTGGAACTGACTTACAGAGGGTCTATAGGAAAAGTTCAAAAGTTCCACTTTCACACCACAAAGTAAATGCCCGCAGATTTCCATTTCTCCTCCAAAACAGTCACTAGCTGACGGCACTCTTCACCATTAACCATATAAATATACAATGTGTATGCACTGTATTTTTGTAACTAAGCGCATGCTCAGTGGCTTGTGCTGTCATTCCCCTTCACGAACATCCAGAGTACCTTGTACTATTCAAATGTCGAGTGTTTGGCCAGTAACTCCGCCTTAAACTCTAGGTAAATTATCCAGAGAACAGGTTTCAAGTATAAAATGATAAAAAACCTGAAGTTGACTGATTTACCAGTGCATTGTCTTCAAAAATTTAAAAGGAAATGTGTGGTGGCAAGAAAGGAGAAATACTGAACAAATCAGATCTTAAGAGTTATAAAAGTGAACAGCTTGTCAGGGATTATTCCCTGTGAAGCTGTCATCCTCACTCAAAAATGTGTAACAATGCTCATCCCTTCAAGGTAAGCAGTTGTAGCTGAAAAATTAGCAAACCCAACAAGAGATCTTGAAATGAATGGGCCATTTTCAATATACTGAAATTTAAACTTGGCTCCGAAGCTTAGGGAAAAAAACAAAAGCATTCAAATCGAGGTTGAGGAATGAATAAATCATTTCATTTGCCTTATTCCCCCTAGCCTTGGAACCATTTTAGAATTTTAAGATATCGAGAATGGCCTATTGTCGACAAGGCTCAGATGATTGTGTTGTTCACCATATTCACCAAACATTAACATTAACAATATTCCAGTTCCTTTACTTTAGAGTCTTTTTAAAACCTAAATCTTGCATGAAATAAATACACATGTATTCACTATCTATTAACAATTGATTCTGATACTACCAGTGAAAAATCTATTTAAAAGAGATCTTCCCTTCAGAGAACGTTTGAAACGCAATTCTCGGATCTATTCACCCACAGCAGGTACATGCAGCAATGACAATAAAAGCCCCTAGATTGGGAAATTTTCAAAAGAATGCATTTATACTATGCTTCTAAATTCTATTGAGGAATAGCTGAGTCAATGCAACACCAAATTACCATTCTGTATAACACATTGTTTTCTTAAAAAGGTTTCCTTATAATTGTTTACAATGTATGGAAACCATTTCACTCCTTATTTACAGATATAATGCATACAAGTACATTACAATGTTATAGATAGCTTTTTAAACAATCTAATGTCCCCCATTTGTCCCAGGCTCCATGTCACTGGCTGCGTCTTCAGCTTCCAAAACAAGTCTGCTCAGCTCTCCTGCACTATAGCCCAACAGGTTTTTCAGGTCACACACAAACTTGTAAACAAATCTGTAAGAAGAGGATACATTATCAGTTGGCCACTTTGCATCTGTACCATTCCACACAGTAAAACTAATGAACACTTTCGCCCCTAACATCTAAATATTGATTCTCCCTAAAGTATTCAATCATACATTATACGCCTGGTTGATAACTTTCTTTCTTCTTGTCACCTTACAGCTTGCATATGTAAAAATGCTACTTGAAGAAATTCCTTTTTGATCACTCCTAAGGTGAAAGGGTTGGGAATTACTACATCACGGGCGACGAGCCAGGAAAGAAAATAGTCCGAAATGTAAGTGGTCAGCGGTGAAACAACTTTAATACTTCAAGTAGAGATAAATCATTTGTAGTTGCAGAAAACAGTCGCTTTGCAAAGCCGAAATGTTACCAAGTTATACTTCGCTAATTAAAAAGTGAAGAAATTTTTCAAAAGCTTTGACTTTAACAATATCTTTTCCTGCTACAGTATATCAACCAACAGAGGCATCGGTGACACTGGGAAAGGCATCAAGAAGAATTATATTTACGTTAATTGTAACTTTGTTGTGTGGCAAAAAAATGTATCCTGACTTCCGGCCGTTGAAGGGGTCTTTAATAAGTTTGTACCCACCCATCGTTTACGAAAGCAGTAAAAGATATATGTACAGTCAACACTTCTGAAAACTTGCTTAACTTTTTCTTCGGCGAAGTATAGTGTTAACATTTTATGATTTATAACATTATTATTTACTGGAACTACTAATGATTTATTTCTCCATGCGTTATTAAGCCTATTTCACCACTGACCATTCGAATTTGACAAGTTTTTTCTAACCCGACCTGTTGCCCATAATGCAGTAACTCCCGAAAGGGATGATGATTTTCATAACCTAAGCTTCTCGTTTTAGGTTGCCTGTCGGAAACTGTAAGATACGTCAATTATTCTTAATGTGACTGACATTTATAAATGATTTCGTTTATCTATACATAACCAAACAAACATGTATGCGGCACGTGTTTAATCGCCCCATATGTGGCACTGTTCCAGATGCTTACAACGGGAAGATGAGTGTGTGTTTCTTTTCTAACAAGCCGAGAGCTGTGAGTGGGAGTCAACTGAAGCAAATCGTTAAATCAAGTGAATAAACCGTAACTTAATAAGGAAGCGTGGTACAGCTTTTTCACGTTTTCGACACAGTAGCGACCCCGCCAGGACAGCGTTGGAAATCATGGACAAACAAATTGCCGATCTTGAGAGAAAATTGAAGACGCTGAATTTTTGTTTGAAGAAGACAGGAGATGTCTTTGGGTAACCTTCAGACGTAAACGAAAGGAAAAAAATACGTGCCGATAAGCGCTTGTGCTTCAATTGTACAAGTGCGAAACTCCGAGCCAGCGATTGTGAGAGCAGGAATACTTGCAGAATTTGCAATGGAAAGCACCACACTTCTATATGTGACAAAAAGGAAAGACGAGGACCAGGTATCACTGCAAATTTAATCGGAGATTCCAGTGTTATTCGTCCGGTCGTGATTATAAACATGGGCGAATAATAATTAAGAGCCCTGTTGGACAGTAGCACCAGCCATTCCTATGCTTCTTCCAAAGCGATCAATTTAATTAAAGCCGAAAGCAAAGAGTACGAGTTTGCGCCAAATCGCCATGCTTACAGGCGTCGAAACCAGAACTATGCAAGTCTTCGAAGTTGTCATGCGTTCTGTGATTGGAGATTTCACACTAAACGTATATGTCACGAAAATCGAAAAAAGGGAACTTTTGACCTTAGACAACCCAAGGTATTCCGATCTCTTAAACAATCACATTCACCTGAGAGGTGTTACAATGGAGGATAGTGATACAAAAGCTCATTTACCTATGCACGTGATAATCGGCGCTAATGACTTTGCCAAGATATCAAGATACAGACCAGTGATCGTTGACGGGTCGGACGAAGAGGAGATATCGTAGCAGAGCGTACGCGTTTCGGGTGGACCATTATGTCCCCCGGAACAGATCTGGGCGATACATACCTTGCCGTAAATTTGACGGTTGATCACAACCAACTCTGCGCCCTAGATGTTCTGGGACTAGAGGACAGACCATCTACACACCAGAGCGATGTCCACGAAGAATTCAAGGAGCAGCTAGCAAGGAGTCCAGACGGTCGATACGAAACTGGACTTCCTTGGAAAAGGAACTGTCCTGAGTTGCCCAATAATTATGCGGACAGTGTGCGCAGAGTGAACTCTCCTCTACGGAAATTAAAGAGAATTGATATGCCGGACCAGTACGCCGACATTATTCGGGAGCAGCCGGAGGAAGGTGTGGTTGAGAAGGCACCAGCAAAGGTAACAGGCAAAGAATTCTACATGCCCCATGGAGCGGTAATACGCGAGAATGCAGAATCAACTAAGCTACGAGTGGTATATGACGCCTCGGCCCGTGCGCATGACGGTGTACCATCATTGAATGAGTGTTTACACACCGGTCCCCCGCTACAGAATGAACTTTGGAGTATTATTGTCCGCAATAGATTCCATCCTATTGCAGTAGCCGGAGATATGCGCAAGGCCTTCCTACAGATAAGAGTCAAGGAAGCTGAACGTGACGCACTGAGATTCCACTAGATTAAAGACAAATCGACTGAACAGCTGGAAGTGCTAAGGTTCACGATAGTGGTGGTTGGTCATGCACCTTCTCTTTTTCTATTCAATGCCGTGATACGGCAACACCTGGAAAGTGTGCAGTCCGAGGGACTGTGCAAGAAATCAAAAATAGTTTGTATGTAGATGATTTGATCACAGGAGATAATATATAGATTTAGCCAAGCCTAAAAGCGGACCTCGCATTTTTTTTTCCCGCACGTCTCAAGGGCACAACACCTTGCCCCGGCCAGGACTGGAACCCGAATCGTCCGACTCGGAGCCCAATGCACTGACCAAAGGACTACTGGACAAAGCCGTGGCGTTGGCGTGCCCGCGGTACAGTTGACCACGCATGTTAAAAATAGCAACTTGTGCAGTCGTACGGTCGTAACTCAAAATTTTTTCGGCTTGATGGGTTACTACTATTTTGTATAGTTATGGAGCTACGCTCTGCGAGCTCCGCTTCTAAAGTGGAAGGTGCGCGAAAGCTCAAACATCATGCGGTAGAGATCTTTAATCGCGCAAAGTTCACTTTGCACAAATGGCACTCAAACGTGCCAGAACTTGAGATAACTGTACCGATGACGAGCCTTCCTTTTCTAAACAGCAGCTTGGTGCATCATCAGTTCGTGGAGAGTGCAAACTACTGGGACTCAAAAGGGACAAAGTGGATGACAACTCAGCGAGGATGCCCCGTTTGGTCAAGGTTTATGACCCGTTAAGACTTGTGTCGCCGGAGGGGAGGGGAAACAAATCTATCGAGAAGCCAGTGAGATGAAGTTGAGCTGGGATATCCCATTTCCCGAGGGGATTTCGAAAAGGTGGCTCAGAAGGAAAAACAATGCACCGGATGATGTGTACTTTCCTCGCAGTCCTGTTCAGTACTATGAACCGAACGACAACATTAAACTACCTGCATTTGGTGATGCAAGTAATCACGGTGTGTGTGCTGTTGTGTATCCTGTGGTTGCACAAGTGCCAGGTGTGACACAGGGTCTGATTGCCGCCAAATCCCGCCTTTCCTGGAAAAGTCTGACGATTTCTCGTTGGGAGCTCGTGTTAGGCCCCATCGCAGTCAACTTGTCAACAAATGTGCGGGCTGCACTAGAAGGGTTCAATATGACGGAGGATATACAATGATGGCTCGACAGCACTGTAGCCCTAAGCTGGCTGACGATGACGGGGAGTACCGCTAATTCGTGGCTAACCGGGTTAAAAAGATCCAGAGTCGCCCGAACACGCAGTGGAGACATGTAACGACATCCGAAAACCCATCTGACCTGGGAAGTCGAGGCGGCAGTGTGAATGAAGCGGAGCAATGGTGGAACGGTCCGCCGTGGTTGTTCGACCCATCTCTGTGGCCTGCTGATATTATGACAAAGGCGACGGATAACAGTAATGCAGAGAAGGTTCAGCGAGGACTTTTCGCGCTCGATTTCGAAGCAAACGATGACTTTGACACTCTTCTCGAGAAGTTCGGCTTTCGTAAAGCCATGGGAATTTGTACATGGATCTCGCGGTTTAATCACATTTCTCGTCATCCTTCCGAAAAGATCATAGGACCTCTTACGTGAGTCGGGCGCCATGGTGGGGAGGACACTTCGAAAGACTCATTTGCTAATATTCAAGTCTTCATTCAACAGGTCGGTGGGTCAGGGTCTTCTAAACTGGGACGAGCTTTGCGAGATATTCCTCGACATCGAAGTGTCGCTAAACCATCGACCTCTTGGTTACGTGGAGGATGACCCGCAATTCCCTACACTAACGCCTAACTCTTTACTGTTTCTGAATGCTAACATTTTACCTGAGCTCGAACCACATCGTCATGAAGACCGTGACTTGAGGACACGTGCGAAATTCTTGAAAGCTACCTAAGACACAACGTGGTGTCGATGGACCACGCAATAACTTAGAGCTTTGAGAGAGAGAGGCATCAACTGAAACATAACACCAAACCTAACAGCTTGTCCGTAGGAGACGTTTTTATCGTTAAGTCTGATAAGCGAGACCGAAATCAGTGGCCCATGGGGGTGGTAGAAGAATTGTTCATTGGACGAGATGGCATTGTTAGGGCAGCGAAATTGAGAGCAGGCAGAGGATTCATAAATATACTATAAGCATTCAACACACATTCATTCCAAAAATGTAAATCAAAATTTTCATCATATCTCATGACAGAGACTGTTATGAGATCAAGTGAGAAATCCTTATTTTTTGCATTGAGTTTAACCAGCCGAAGAGCGGCTCCTTCCAGCCGTTAACTTGTAACCAAGTTTTAATGAAAATAGATGCAACCACATGTATAGATAGCTACATGTACATGTAGAGTGAAAATAAATTCCCACTTTTTCTTGAGGTTGCGGAAAAAATACCCACAAAATGTCTTCTTTACAAGTACAAACCTCTTTCCATGGACCTTATGAATCATGTCTCCATCGTAGTAATACCGTAAGGCACGGCTCAGTTTCTCATAATTCATGGCTGGTTTGTTTTTACGCTTGCCCCACTGTTGTGCCACCTGCTCAGGATCATTCAGTTTAAACTCCCCATTCTCTCCAACCCACATGATCAGGTGCCGACTGCCTCTGTCCGTCAGCAGTTCCAACAAGAACTGCCACAACTGAATCTGGCCATTGTTACCTGGTAGAGGTAATATTACCGAGTTGTAAGTACAAAAGAAAAGCTAGAGACATGACATGCACTCCCGCAATGCTAAAATTTGTTTCTATCCCACTCAAGAGTGAAACACATTAACGACCAAAAAAGGAAAAGCAGTTGCACCAAGCCTTCTTTCTTTTGGATTCTTCTGCTGCTCGAAAGTCATGACTCAATTTCGAAGGCCCCCCCCCCTCTACAGTTAAAGCTTTTCAAGGAAAAAACACCAACAACGATAACAAAACAAACAAAAATAGAACACCATGACACCCAAACTAAAATTAACTCTCTGACCCCTAAGTGTGAACCAATGTATAAATTCTCCTTGTTATTAAACATTTAGGTCGCGAGAAAAAAGGAAATGATCAAAGACTAAAGAAGCTCTTGATTGCTCAGCAAATTCTCCTTGTCAGCACCTAAGGAACTGTATAGAGAACAGTACGGCGAATATTCATACTAGTATTAAGGTGTAAAGAGTTAAAACTCCATTCAGATATTTAACATGAGCAGAACCAGCGAGACAAACATCACAGTGAGTTGAGCACAAATTTTAACAACTTGATTAGAAAGTTTTCATGTTAAAAAAGATTTAAATTTGTTTTGGTGGGCCTTGGTACAGTTACCTGATCTGTTGCCTGGACATGTTTTTCCATCAATACTCTTTGCTTTTTCTTCCTCTTCACCGCTCACAGCATCTGTTTCACGTTCACAGAGAATACCAAAAGACAACAGTTTAGTTTAATTCATGCTTCAACAGATTTCTAAATTTACCCGGCTTTCAGTTGGGTTTTAGCTAAGAAATTAGGCTGCCAACTGAAATTTAAAGCAAGGCAGCACAAAGATAGTGTTTGAAACTGAAGGATTGTGAGTTCGTAACCTCAGAAGTGCCTGTTGCGCTGTATTGAATATTTTCTGGCCAAAAATCCAACTAATGATTTTGTTTTTTCATCCACCAAATTTTGCTGGTAGTCAGAACTTGGCCAAAACCTTGTTGCTGGGTACAAAAATTTTCATAAAAGGGTGGTGGACATCTTGACATGGTGTTTGTTTAGCAAGATTCACCTGAATAAATAAAAAGCTAGGTCAATAATTATGCAATCTGTACACAAGGAATTGTATTCTACAGGGAGATTGAGAAAGGGTGCTTTTATATAGTTACATATATTTTCAATTTGATGGTTTGTTCATTCTCTCCTAGAACTTTATGGAGTACCCTGGAAAGTCAATTCCATTTGCACGCTCACACAGATATACCAGGACAATGATTCACTTTTTTACTGCAAATTACTCTTTCATACCTGCAGATGGAGATTTATCTTCTCCTAGGCTGTTCTGAGATGATGGTTGCAGAATTAATGTTGGGGGATCTGACCCAATTCCTGCCAAACCTACATTGAGCAAACAAAAAAACTATTAAAACGGACAAAATCAGTATTTAACATATAAGGAAGCAGGTAAAACAGAAGGGTCACTTCAAAAATCCCTTCAATTCAAGTTCATGTTCAGGGCATTGGGAAAATAGAGGCAAAATGTTAAGTCAAAGAAATTTTGTCTCTTACTTCATCTGAAGTTAACACTTGAAAGCCAAAATTTCAACATGAAAATGACCTAAAGCATACACCTACAAGCAAACTGATAAAGGGGTACTTGGGATGGAAAGGCATCAACTGGTGGAAGCCTCATCTGGAGCTCCTCATTTCAACCCAAAAGTGTTAACTCTTTGATAATAATAATAATAATAATAATAATAATAATAATAATAATAAGCTTTATTTCAACTGATAAGACTAATCAGCAATCTAATAGATTGGCTGGTATGAACTAGTGATCAGCATGATAAATAGTATCAATCAAAGGAGAAACCCTATAAAGAACTAAAGTATGAATTAAAATAACATAAAATATATAGGAAAGCTAATACTTATTTTAAACTACATAAATGATTAGATTTATCGTGTTCTAAAATATATTCAAAAACTATCGCCTTAAATTTAGATAATTTAGATTTACTGATTCCCAGTAGTGATTAATCAGTAACCTCTCCTTATAATACCAATACATTTTCTAGCATTCAGGTAACAAGAACACCTAAAATTATCAGGTTGAAGTTGCTATGTTGATCCAACACCAGATTCTCACAGCCAATTTACTAGGCTATGTGTAACAGCTAGAGAGGAGAATTAACAACCAGATCTTGGAAGTAAAAGGGTTAATAAAAATAACTTGCACAAGCTAAAGCATTTTCTTTTGGTCATAAACCCAACTATAAAAGAGCATAGAGTACCTTTGGACAGAGCCTGCTAAAACAACAACTAGGTGTACATTGTACATATGCCATTATTCTTGAAAGCAGTGCAACAGTAACAGTGATAGTTAAAAAATCTTACCTTTTAGAGAGAATGAACCTTGTGCTTGAGTGATTCCAATTAAGGATGCTTCATCTTTACCAGAAGAATTTTCCAAACCTAGTACAATTCAAAAGCATATTATAATAAGTGAAAAACAGAAAACAAAACAAAAATATTACCAACAAAACATAGAATCCCACACCTGAAAAAAAAAATTATTCAAGCAGGAAAAAGCCAAGTCCATTCCTATCTACATATTATTTGTATAGATCTACATGTAAATCTGGCTTCCAATTTCTGAACAGTGAACATCATGTTGCCACAGGGAAATTTATATTGCCATGTTTATTAGTGACAGAGTTAAAATAAAATATTTTCTTCTTTGCCAACAAACCTTACATGAAAGTTAATGGGGATTACAGAGTAATTGACACAGACTATCACATTAGGGCAATTTGACTCTTATGGGGCCTATGACATGTATGGTTGTGACATATAAAGCATTTTAGGGAAGAATAAATCTTTCATTTTCAATGTGCAGGAGATATCAGGATCAATTGCAAGAGTTGCTGTTTACCAGGAAAATCACTATTCTTTTCGTAGTAGTGGACACATTTAAAATACATACACATACTCAAACCATGCATGTTCTTGTAACTTACCATTCTTTATGACTGAAATCTGCTGTGCATGGACATTGCCTACAATTGAGCACGTAAGCAAGTTTTAGGTTGAAATTTATTTTTAATCAATATTGCACTACAAATTACAACTGAGTCATTCAATGCCCTAAGCACTTTCCTTTCGAGAAAAAATGCACAACTTGTTCTTAGCAGCAGTTTCATTACATTTTAAAATTCCTGGGCATCTTTATGAGCATGGCCTGACAAAAATGTAAAGTTACAATTGATTTCAGCTATGACCCATGTGAACAAAAGAAATTACTAACATTTGTGTAATCTGGTGCTTGAACCCAGGTCCTGCCTTCTAATAAAACCCTGAATATAAATTCAGTGACCAATCCAAATGGAGGGGTTGAGAGGATGGACCCCTCCTTCCCATCAGGCTCTTGGGTTCTTTTATCACTTGTCTAATACCAAAATTCTTGCAATGACAGGTTCCCATAATACCACTCTCCTGGCTATTCATGATAAATGTATCTTTAAACAAAATACTTGCACAGAAAGGGAGCTTTTGAGGAAAAAGTTTGGTTTTTTCTAATCAAAGTATGGACATCCCCTCCAATAAAAATTCCTTATATTTATGTCACTGGAGGAATGAAAAAAATATATATTTGATCACTCACTATCAGAATTAGTGCAACTGATGACAGGAACTTGTTGAGATACTGAGGCAAGCTGCTGACCAGGTTTAGTGTTGCCTGAGAATGTAATTGGAAAGAAAAAACATTTCATTGCTAAGCTGGTTATAACCATATAGCAATAAAATCCTTGCTGCTATATTAACACTTGAAGCTATAATGTGTCACTGTGCATTCACATGTATCAAATCCAAAGAAACTCTTCAGGGCCAGGTTGTTCAAAGCTGGGTTAAGATAACCTGAGGTTAGAGAGAAATTTGATTTCAGATCTAAAAGCTTGAAGAGCAAATTCAGTTTATTTCTTTTTGACTACAATTTGATAATTAAATGCTCTAAAAACAATGGGTAAAATTATTCCAAAACAGCTTTTGAACAGAGAAATATAGAAACCTGGATTAAAATTTAACCCTGGGTTAGCACTAATCAGCCTTTGAACAACTGGGCCCATATGTTTAGCATGTATGCACATATGGAACAGCAATAATGGCACTAAATACTATTGCCTTAAATAAAAACCCCAAATGCCAATAATATTCAAGCATAAAACATTGGACAGGAAGAACCAACTCATGGTCATCCACTGCTACCTGTGAATAATCAATTTGAAATAAATGACTTCCTTTCATTTCTCTCCTTAACAGGGCGTGAAATTGCGCCTAATATAGGCGCCAATGCGACTAAATTTTTCACTTTGGCGACCAAATCCTGAAAGTTAGTCGCCAAATTGGCAACTAGAACGTTTCATTATAACCTTATAACCAGGAGATATAGAGAATTTAAAAAATTTGCAAAGATAAATCCACGGCAAACTTCCTCGTTAAGTTTGTTTCCAAAACGTAGCACATGCATCTCGATCGATAACTAAACGCAATCTTGGATTTAGATAAGCCTGAATGTTGTATATCATCCATCCTAGTGTCCACTTTGTAGCACGTTAAAGATATTTTCCCTAGCTTAATTTTGCAGGGCCTATCTAGAACGCTGACAGCGTAAGAAAGATTTTGTTTGTCTTTGAAAATGGCGACCAATTTTTTTTTAATTGGCTACCACTTTGAAGAATTTAGGAGCCAAGTGGCTATCAGAAAAAAAAGTTAATTTCACGCCCTGCTTAATCAATCCTACTGAACTGCATGTAATACTTTGGTTACCTATCTTCAAAATCCAATTTTATAAGAATTATTGAAAAGTCACATTGTTTATAATAATATTATTTGACAGTCTGGGTCAGCATGTGTAATGTGCAACAAACTTTCTAAAAAACATTCAAAGTATAAACTTATTTGTATATATTAAAAAGAAGATGAAGGGGAACTGTTCTTTCAGAAAACACTTGACATACTTGGAGCTAGCAACCATAAAGAACAAGGAAACTAGAGACCTTATCCTGTTTAACAATTACTTTGAATTCAAATTATTCTAAAGGGACAGCACTTCTCCAGTGTAAGTTAACAATTGAACTCTTTCACCATTTAATTCCCATGAGTGAGTGAAGAAGGAATTGAATCTCCTTACAATAACAACACAATTAATAGCGAGCAAACAAGTGATGAGAAAGAAGAAAATGTCAATTAGAGGATTATTAGTAGATCTAAAACTAAATTCTCCAAACTAGCATCATAAGAATTGTATAGCAAACAATGAGATCTGGGAATTGATGAAACACCACTTACATTAGAAGAATGAAAACAAATTAATTTTTTTAATACTTGTTTTTTAGTATAAGTATAATCTGTACCTTTTCCTGTGGCGGATCCTGATGACCTTCTTCGCTTCTTGGGAGGTTCTTCAGCAGTAGCCACTAACGGAAAGACAGCTTGGATCTCCACACTGCTCATCTTGACTTCAGGTTCCACAACTGGAAGAGGTGGCATACCAACTAGGAATCATCAACCAAAAAAAGGCAAATTGAAACAGGAGAAATTAGTCTTGACCTTTACCAGAAAAATAGTCTCTGCAAATACTGACTCCCAAGATTAGACTAGTGACTCCCTCTTCTAAGAGCTCTACTAGCAATATTTTGCTTCTATACAAACAGAGTACATGTATATGTAAAGCAAATAAGTTCAAGAACTCATTTCACAATGTAAATATACAGAGCAAGGCTGAGGTGGAATTTACTGCATGTTGGCTGTTAATTTGTTGATGGAAGAAAAGCAGGATCACCTGAGAAAAACCATTGGTGTAAAGAAAACACCCAAGAACAACCCAACTCACATGCAGAGCTAGCACTGGAACATATGAAAATGTCCTATAATTACAACATTTCAAATCTTTTTGTAGTGCCAGTTTGAATTACATAAATCACATACATGTACATGTGAGCAACAACTTGGGCAATTTGCTTTGAAGTGGTGAACAGTTTTCAGTAGATCTGAATGAAAAGTTAGTAGCAAGTACAATGTATAGTCATAAACATTAACATGTATGTGTACATGTATGAGCAATAAATCAAAGACATGTTGGAGTAATGGCCCACATTCAGATGTTTGCAAGCAAGCTTGGAAAACAGGGTCTTCAAATCACAAAGTTTAGGCTCCCAGGTAAACTTCCCAAGAGGAAAATTGTGAAATGTTCAACACACTTGTTGTCTTTACCATTTTGGTGACAACTTATTCAAGGAAGAAAAAAGTTGAACAAAATAATTTTAGAAAATAAAGTAACCCTTGCCACTATTTTAATTCTATAGAAAATTACCCAGCAGGCCCCCAAATCAAGTGTTCATAGCTCAGATCTGAGCATTGTGAGTGTGTGAGCCATTGACTGTGCATCAAATAATTATCATTAATGATAATAATACCTTGTGAGGCAGTTTGAATACTGGTGATTTCTATTCTTCGATTTTCCTCTGTCAAGAAAAAAATTAGATCTCAATAAGTGATGGATAATTGCTGGTAAAAAAAGTTAAACCATGGTAAATAAGATTTCATGACTACTATCAATAAAAAATACCTTTCAAAATTATAACATTAAAAAAAAATACACAAAAAAAAAAACGATCGTGAAAATTGGTATCAATCAAAAACTCACCATTTAAAATAATGAGTAAGGTAAAAATTTGGTCCAGACCTCCATTTCCCAAACCTTGATCCTTCAGAATGCTGTGGACGGTTGTCAGCTGTTTAACAGTTAAAGAAGAAAATACAATGTAAATATTTTTTTTGATTTACATGACTTTGTATGTACATAGAGACCATGATTGATTCTAGGAGGTTTTTTCCTATCTTTTCACCCCTCCCCAAAAAAAAACTGTCCTTACCTTTCCATTTTCTCCATAATTCTATTCTATTAACCCTTAAGTTAGTGATCAAGACAGAATTTCTCCTTACAATATCAACACAATGTCAACTAGATAAGTGATGAGAATTGAGAAAATATCAACTTGGGGATAATTGGTTGATCCAATACAAAATTCTCCAAACTAACATTGTAAGAATTGTATGGTTGACAGTAGGAGAATTACAAACTTGGTCTGGGAGTTAAGGGTTAAATCTTACCCATTATCTTCCAAGATCTGATTATGAATTTTCCCCTCTCACTGTTACACATTTCCTTGTAAATTAGTTACATGTACAAGAATTTAGTGTTAGATCAAGGTAACAACTTCTACTTGATAAGTTTAAGTATTCTCATAACCTGTTTGCTGGATAATGTATGGGTATTTAAGAGTGAAATTACATGCCAAGCACTTCTGGGAGTTAAGGGTTATCTATAGAGTTAAACCTTTACAGCTGTAATGTTGAAAACATGTACATGTATTGGCCAGGACAAGTTGGTGTTTTACCACACCATCTACTTAATTAAATATCCAAAAAGCGCAAACTGGTTTTAAAAAAAATCCAACCTATTTATTAATAAAAACAGTATGCAAAAATTTAGTTACTTTGGAGTACGTCAATGCTAACATCATATAGAAATTTCCACCTCAATCTTAGAAGAGGGATTTTCATATTTTAGACAAAGCATTATGTTTAATTATTTGACTCTAATGATGACTTCTGCTTGGGTTGTCACAAAATGTTGCCAAAGGTCAGTCACCCCCACCAACAATAGTCCTCCTAAGGACTCCCCTCATCCACAAGATGAGACCACATGATTAATTGCTGAAAATTTTTCTTGTTATTCACTGTACCTCTGTATCATTGAAGATGACTGAATAATCAGTAAGTTGCCTCTGCAGTTTCTCTCCCAACAACTTCTTAATATCTTCTGCAGAACTTGCAGCATTACACTGCAATTGCATGGGGCTACCTAGGGTTCCATTATTGGTATCCATGGTAGAATCACCAGGGGCTGCTATTGTAAGACGTCACTGTAACAGTAGAGAGAATAATGATAATATGCAACACTATTTGATGTCACTTAACACATGGTGGCTGAACATGTCCACAGAACATTTTTATTAGGTAAATTAAAACCAACACCTATGTTAAGAAAAATTTGACCAATCAGAACATTGAAAGGAAAATGTCAAAATGAACCAGTAAAAACTTATGACAAAGGCAACACAAATGCATAGCGTGATAAAAGACAAGTAAGCTGGAGCTGTTGAGGTCTCTATGGTGACTAGAACAAACACTTGGTTACTATATTTGCAATATGAGTTGTAATTTCATCGCCCTGTGTTTTTCAGTCATGTAGCAAGTTGTAACAGTTCTTTGACTTGGTTTTTATGAGCTGTAGTCAAAGTGAGATGCATCAAACATTAATTATCCCATTAATTAAAAATATGAACATAAATGTTCAAAGATAATGGGACCAGAGAAGCAAGTCTGGAAAATAAAAAAATCCAGATAATTGAGATCTGGATAATCAAGTTTCCAATAAACTGCAGGCAGTTCCAAAAAATAATACTTAAGAAATGCTTTGTGGTTTTCTTCTTTTATTCTGTACAAACAAATTCCTTCCCCTTTGGTTGCCTGAGTGCAAAGTGTTGAGATGGAGTGAAATCTCTCCACAAGACGTGAGATCAGCAATTTGAATAAGCAGGTCGATCACTATTGACCAAAGTGTATATTTCACTGCCAACTTAAATTTAATTTCTGGCATCCCAGTTTGTTTTTCTACAGTAGCTCACCAAATGGCAACTTTGAACAATTTAAGCTTGGAACCCTGACACTTGTATAAACTGTCACTGCAAATAATGTTTGTTCTTACATGGAGCCACAAGTTTGTTAATAAAAACCAATCACAACCAATGCACTCTTGGTGCTTCACTGAAAATTAAATTGACTGTGACAGAATTTCTCCTTACAATATCAATGCAGTATCAAGCAGAAAGGTGATAACAGTTAAGAAAAATATCAATAGGGGTATTTTTTGTCAATCCACTACCTAATTTTGCAAGCTGAGATCATAAAAACCTGTATGGCAGACAAGAAAGAGAATTATTGATAGATCTTGGAAGTGAAGAGGTTACTATTAGTGCTTTGAGAATATTTCTATTAATTTTTGTAAAATATAACACAAAGTTACCACAATTGCAAATCAGAACAAAGGAAAATGTATATTAAGGACTTGATAAGAACTCAAAGTAAAAATTAGTAAGCTGCCTGAGGCACAAGAAATGCTAGTAACCAAGTCATGCTTGGAGTTACTTTCCATTATGACTGGTTGAGAAAGTAGAGTAAGTTTCAGAACCAGCCCCAGACTACTACACTGTGCTTTTGACACTCTATTGAAAATTGATAAATTTCAGGCTCAGATTACCCAGACCTGTTTTTCCTTGAATAAGAATCAACACTCTTATAACCACCCAAATAAGCACCCACCTCCTAGGCAAGCACCCCTTCAAACAAGTGCCCCCTATTGCTTGACACTTTCTAAAATAGAAGGGGTACAAGGAAAACCTATTTCTATTGCAAGTTAATTTATAATTTTTTAAGTTTCAACTATTGCAGAATCAGTGCAGGAGAATAATAAGTGCCCCCTTAATTAACCACCCTTCCTTAAGTTAAAGCACCCCCTCCACCTTTTAGCTAAAAAAGGTTAAAAAGGCATCTGGTGTTTATTTGAGGAAATACTGTATTGCAATCATTTAGAGAGATTTTGGTAACTGGACTTGTCCCTTGCATGCTTTGTCGCCATGGTGCACCAAATGTAATTTTTGCAAAATCATGAGTTATTGAAGCAATAGACCACACTTTCTATCACTCTACTGACATAATAAACCATGCAGGATGTTACAAAAACACAAGAAAAGTTGCAAAAGAGGTCTACTGCAATTATAAAATAAACTAAAAATGTTTCAGTTTTCAATGGATTTACCAGTATTATAAATGATATGTTTTAGACCAATCAGGGCATTTGTTGTGTCTCCTTTATCTTATAAAAGGTAAGATCTGACAAGCTGAGTTAACCAACCCACGTGACTGCAAAGCTCAAAGGAGAAGGCTTATTTCTTTGCTTACAGATTTTTCCTCTTTAATTCCAAAAAAATGTTCTGGCGATTTATAATTCATAATTTTATGAAGCAGACACCAAACCCTCAGTATTTTCCTGCCACAGGCCATGGAGATTTCCAAATGCAGTGTTTTTTGTTTTGCTTTGTGTGTGTTTGTCACATGAATGCCACAATTTAAACAAAGTAGTAAGGGAAATAAAGTTGAGAACGACATGAAATGCTCAACATCTTGTTTTGACTGGAGACTCTTCTTTAAGTCATAGGACTAGATTTCATAATTAATCGAGAAGAAGGAAAAAGGTTATCTGCAGTTTAAACCTGAATTTATGCGAAAGTGTAGATTCTTGACGAGGAAATCCTGATAATAATGAATGAACAAATCAATGGAAAGTAATTTCCGATCTCGAAGTCGTGCGTCACTGAAAACAACGACGGCCTTGAAAGCGACCGATCATCAGACAAGGTTCACGACATTTTTTCCCATAGAAAACCGTTTCAAATTGACTCTAACGCAGAACTGTAAAATAATATTTTAACTAATGGTCAGAAAAAGGACAATGCAAGCGCAAATTTCCCGCCATAAGATCAGGTTCGAACTTCATGCTTTTTTCCGATCTGAACCGTCTTTGACTTCCTTTGATTGCAAACTAAAGTAAACAAGAATACATGTTCTTGAAACTATTAAATCGAGTTAAACGAAAACGAAATCACCTCAAGCTGAACACATAAAGTTCGACTTACGGTACAGATCAATAACATTTCAATAATACCTGCAACTTTATCGTCCCCCAGGCAGCAAGACGCCTTGAACTTTTCCTGTTTACTTCACTGATCGGGCAGTAACTCGCTCTCAAATACTTCCTTCGTTGCTGGGAATCGCGACAAAATCACTGCAAAAGCACAGGATATCGTTATAAACGAGGCAAGATATCGAAAATCTAAAACCGTATCGTTGGCTTCGCAGTTTGTTTACAATAGAGGAGAGAAGAACACGACAGAATCCTATTTCCGCTCGACTAAATGCAACGCGTTGCCTGCGAGAACTTACTTGAACGCAACCTTCCGCCGGAAACACCTTTGCAGCCTCGAATTCTCCGCCAAATCGTTCCTTCTATTCGACGAAGAGGCGAAAAACCGATCTCCTCATATGAATATTTTGTTAGTTTATGCACAAGAACAAAGTAATCGTTCCCTTTCTTTTCCGATTTCCTTCCCACGTAAAAAAGTTTGAAGAGCAACGTGCGACACCTGGCGATAAACTGGATGTGACGTCACATCAACTTCCTTCTTAGAATAATGGGGCCCAGTACTTCACGGCCATCGTTCAGAGATAAATATTGGGATAAAAAGAAAATTTTACATTGTAAAATAGTTCTTTTCTCTCCTGGCGGCTGGGAAATCCAGTATAGGGAAAATAAAATTAAAGAATTTAGACTAAAGCACTACACCTTAAATATTCTATTCGGTGAACATTTTAACCTAAACGCGAAAAAAATTAGTATTTCACAGTCATAACTCTTTACGAGTTAAGATAGTGAGACAGGGTAAGAGGTGGATCAATTAGCAAAAACACTATCCCATCTAACAATATAGATACTTTCACCTTCACCCCCTACCCATATTTTGAAAAAAAATTATGGTTATGCACTTTGAGCTTAGAGTCCAGGGGAACATGTAAACTAAACAAACAAAAAACTAACAGGTAGCTAATTTATATCTCTTGTTGAATATTTGAAATATTAATTATATTTTAGGTTATTAGTAATTTTAATTGTTTTCTTATATGGATTTTTGTTCTGTTTATTATTATTTAGATTGCTTTTATTTTTTATTTTTTTGACCTATAAAATTTAAGTTTTTATTGTAACAGGCATATGATTTAAAGGAGTTTGATCTCAGTTTTATTTCACAAGCTGTGGGTTTATCAAAGCCTCCTACAAACACTTTTGTTTACAAAAAAATTTGCTTTTTACTTGATGAAGAGTTCATCTAGGCAGAGACAGGAAGTAGCATGTGGTTCAGTTGTGGCCTCACCTCTGTTAGCCACAGCATCAGTCTGCAGTTGTTTACAAAAAAATTGGCTTTTTATTGATGAAGAGTTCATCTAGGTGGAGACTGGAAGTTGCATGTGGTTCAGTTGTGTCCTCACCTCTGTTAGCCATGGCATCAGTCTGCAGTCTTCCACAATGCTGGGGCTGCCAAAAAGAACTCTTATCACACACCTCGGGCCTTACATTATCTTAATTATCTTAGTCATCTCTCCTTTTCCCGAAAATTTTCGGTCAGTGCTCGTTTTTTCTGGTTGTGTTCTAATCATTGAATAGAGGTTATCCACTTATCTCTTAACCCTTTTAACTCCCATGAGTGATCAAGACAACATTTCTCCTTACAATATTCAATACACTATCAACCACAAAAGTGATGAGAATAAAAAAAAATTTCAATTTGGGGATAATCAGTTGAACCAATACTAAACATTAAAAGAATTGTATGGTTGACAATAAAGAGAATTTCAAATTTGACCCAAAATGTTTTCCTTCTTTAACCCATTTTTTTGTTTTGACAAATAACAGGAAAGATTAGATCAGAAACTATGGACAGTCCTCCATGTTTGAAAGGTCTCTACAATATTTAAATGCTTAAGCAATTTTTATTCAGTTTCCATCCAAAGTTACTTTCCCCCAACCCTAACATGGTAAAATCCAACCAACAGGCCTTGTTGACTAAGTTTGACACAAATCAAAAGACATTTTTTTAAATCTGCATTAACTTACTTTAATTGAGCTTTAATTATATTCATTACTTACAACTGTATTTGGTTTACAGACAAATGAAAGCTACTCAGTAGCCGAGGGGATAATGATAATATACTTGGGGAGTTAATCAATATGATTAACCTGAAACCAAAACACAACTATTTACATATAAAGTACTTTTTATGCCAAAGAAGCAGAACATTCACTTCTTGGCATCTACAAACCGAGTCATCTTCAACTAGTAAAACTACAGTAAATTTTGATAAACTGAAAACTTATCATTACTTTTGTTGTACATTCAAAGAATTACCGAGGTATGCCATGAACAGAAGCCACACATATGGCTTCTTTCCTACTATACTGTTTCAAACTTTTTTTAAATTAACTATTGTTTTTGTCTTCCACTGTTTTTAACAACAAATAAGAGCAAAAACTTTAAAAAACCTTAATTAACTTGCTTGTCATTTTTACTGGGATTGTTCTCAGCATACCCAGTATGCAAAAATGTTTGTTTGAATCTCTACTAGTAAATTATACAACCCTACAAAGAAACCTCACTTAGAAAAAACTTTAATAGAAAATTGTATAACTTGCTACTAAAATTGCAATTGGGGGGAAGGAATCGATACGATTCATAAAAAAGAGGCTTATACTACCACTTTTTCGCTTGATACAAGCTACTAGAAAAATCACCGAAGCAATACACGTTTGGGTTATCAACAAAAACAATGGGAAAACTATTGGATGAGCAAGCTGAAGTCAAGCGATCCAGCCATCTTTCCTTCCTCAACAGAGGTGGTCAGAAGCAGATCTTCGACTTCAGGAGACATCACAGGTTCTCCACAGACAGAATCTTCTGCAAAGTCTTCACATTTGTTCACCATTGGGTCATAGCCAAGGATCTTAGGGATGTCACACATGAACTGGTAGACATATCGCTTTCCATGGACCTTCTCAATGATGTTCTTGCCATAGTAGTAGCGGAGACCACGGCTCAGCTTCTCATAGTTCATTGTGGGCTTGTTCTTTTTCTTTCCCCACATCTTGGCCACAATTGCAGGCTGCAGGATCTTAAATTCGTAGTCTTCTTCCTGGGTCCACTTCACCAGGTGCGAGGTTTCACTGCCGATGATGAGCTCAAGAAGAAACTGCCATAACTGAATTGGGCCATCACCTGATTAAGCATAAAGAAACAAACTCTTGAATAAAACATGCATATATTTGTGCAAATAGAGCCACAAAGGTAACTCAGTTATTCAGCTGATGGATTGCATATTGATAAAAAACTAAACAAAACGAAACTAAACCAAATCAAAGAAACAAGTTTCTGTTAACACCCACCTCGATACTTGACTGGTGGCTTAGGTCCACGCTTACTTCGCTTCTTTTTCTCAGGTACTTCTAAAAGAACAACAACACATGATTTAGCATTCTCATGAGGAAAAAAAAAAAGACCTAAAAATCAATGTCAAGAGCATTTCTTAAAGGAATGAAAATGATGCACTGAAGCAGTATCAATATTCACCTTCTTTGACCACAACTGGTTGAAGTTTCTCAGGTTCACTGTGAATTGATGCAGGGGAACCAGAAGAGCTCATTCTATCCAGAATTTCTGTGGTAAAAATAAATGAAGTGATTTAGATTGCTAAAAACATGTCAAGAAGAAAGCAATTTTATAGAAGCTAGCTTTCTCTTTACACCAACTCACCATCAAGGTCACTCAAATCCTCAGACACAAATCCCTCATCTGTGCTGTAGGTGTTGTAACTAGCTTCACTGATGCTAGGGCTGTGAGGTGGACTGGCTGATGAGTAACTGCACTCTGATCCACATGGACTCGGAGATTTTGCCTCCATCTTCAAGAGCACTGGCGATGAAGGTGGCTGGTATGTTTCCTCAAGGGAGGGGTTGTATCCTTCATCCTGAAAATCTTCAAAGACTGACAAGTCTGGCATTTGGTTGGTATCAATATCTAGAAAAATAGAAAATAAATAATCAGCTTTGATAGGCCTTCCAACCTACGAAGAAACTGAGAGAAAATATAACTCCTAGCAAGTATGAGGGTACAGAGATTGTTCGAAATCTCAAACCGACGCTCACAAAGGTTTGCAAAATGACACTTGATACTTGTAAATTGATTGACAAGTGTCTGTCATAAATTGTCATCATATCATTCTTGCAGCCAATCTGCATAATTGATATGCAAATTTCCTTATTGCGAAATAATTTCATGTGCCTTGAGGGCATTGAACCCACGCCTAACAGAAGACCCAATCAGATTGTGCAACGAGTTAAGTTTCGCAACCAAAGTATGCAAAAATCCTATTACAACAGAAAGAGGGCAGAATAATGCTTTAACCCGACAGGAAATACAGAGAAGAAAATACGCATATACCTTGCATACCTCGCAGGGCGGCTTTGGCCAATTCGACATTAAAGGAGGCATCATTTGGTTCGCCGTTGAAAATATCAAGTTCGTCTTCTTCGTAGCCGTAACCTGAAATAAAGGCAAGGAAGGTTTTAAAACAACATACAGTGGAAGCTGTCAAAAATAGCATGACATGATTGCTTTCAGTTTTGATGCCTTCTCAGAGAAAATTTTCGGGCGTGTCGAGTGAAATTCTCGCTATAGCTCCCAACATAATAAGATCGATCTTTGGTACCTGGCATGGTTGAGGCGGAAATTTGTTGTTCGAGCAGCTGGCTCGGAGCGGCCAAAAGGAGACGTTGTTCGAAGCCAGGGGCGGGAGTCGCTTGAGGCACGCCAGGTTGATTAGCGAGGAGCACGCTATACTGGTGGTTCCACTGATTTATTTCTGGATTTAACTGGTTCATCTGTAACGTTCCCAATAATTCGAACATCTAAAAGGAAACAAACAAACCATGAATATTCTGCTCTGAACGTGGGTGTTTGTTTGGGCAGATGCGCATCGGTGATGGAATTGACAAAACTGACACTGCCTCTGTAATATGGTTTTGATGAAGATGCTAAATTGCACAGCTTCAATTGGGAATATTCTGAGGTGTGAAAACAATTATTTATAAACGCCTCTCGTGACAAATTTATCAGCGCAGAGTAAAAGCGAATCTAATTAATTTGGCGTCGATTGAAGATCTGTGCGTTGATTCTTACCTTAAGCTGGTCGAGTAGCGGCGTACTTGTGAGAATGTTTGCCATCTTTTCTGATCGATCGTTCTAGAAAGAAAAGAGAGGACTTTAAATTTCATAACATTCGAAACATAGTAAAACTCAACGTAAGCAACAAAGTGCGTGGTATCCGAGATGACACGCTTTCGAAAGAGGAAGTCGTAGGGTTGAATCATAGAAAGCGCTGCTAAACAACGAAAAAACGTTGCAACATTCAGAAAAGGTTTCTTCATCCGAAAGCCAACATACCTTACACGTTTTAGTCGTGAAAAATCGGGAAAGAAAGCGTTTCTTGTAAACGTTTTTTTACGTTTCTAGATCACCGAGGCTGGAACCTTCTCGTTACTTCGAAGTGACAAGGTAAACTGAGTGAAATTGTGAAATTGCGAGGGTGTTATGCTGTGTTTGTCAGACACTACATGAGGGAATTTCCCTTGGCCAAAAATAGAAAAAATTCGGAATCGTGATTGGTCAGTTAAAGCAATACGTAATGCAAGCCAATAGTGGGTCAATATTATTGACGTAATAGTGGGCGCGGAGGAAATACCTTTGTCAAACTGACTAATCAGAGACAGTATTTACCTCGGCTACTTAATCTGAGAGCACGTACATGCATATTTTTTGGGTAATGTGACTACCCAACCATATTTTCGCTTTCAATCCTGATTGACAGTGCATGAGAAATGATGCCCTTTGAGCTCAATTTCTCAGAAAAGGCTAAGAACTGCATTTCAGCTCAATTAATTCTTGTCGTTCTAATTCTTCTTCAAAAAAATGTATCACGACTCACAAGGACCCTGCACGAATCGAATATTTCGGTTCACAAGAGTCACAGCAAATAAAGTGCCGTGCAATACTCACTGAAACACAAATTTGGAGGAAAACACACGCTAAACACGTGGGAGGTGCAACTCATTTTCATCTGATTTGCAAATTGAAATAATGGCTTCGAAACACAGTTTGAAATCGCAGGTCTAGAAAATAAATTACAACAGAAGCATTTTGCCTAGGAAGGATTTTCAGAAGTTTTAACCTTTTTGCGCAAAAAAATTTTCTTACCCGACGTCTTTTTCTAGGAACGACTAAATATAGCATTTTACTTCACAGAAACTCGAAACCGAAAATCGATTCTTGAAATATTCATAAAGGTGAAACAACTTCCTTTCCTAGAACACCGTGTACGTGATGTGAATTACAAACACCTTTACTCAGAAAGGGACAAGAAAACAAAAAAAAAAAAGCTGTCAGACATATGTTGACCCTTGGGCCATTCGCTTATCCGAATTCGACCCATCCTCTGGGAGGGTGGGGGCACTTTGGTCGATGTGTAGTTTAGCTAAAGAATTGAAGAAATCGCTCATATTTAATCAGAATAAGACCATCTTATAACCCACAATTATATATGGATCGTTTTTGGAAAGAATTAAAATAAGATTATGGGATGCATATGTAGTTCAGACTCAGGGCTGTAGTGTGGGGGAGGGGAGGGAAGGGGGTCATTTCTCAGAGCGTGTTGTTTTGGTGTGTATGTTTCGCCCGCTTCTGTGAATCTTCAGTCTATTAGAAACAAGTTTGTTTATTCATCCGTCCTCCTGGCTTCCTAAATTCACATACATGGCTTTAAAAAGGCTGAGCATGATTTTAGCTCATGCCTCAAGTTCTGTGCTTATTAAAACACGTGATAAAGCATCAAATTAAATTTTACTATAAAATATTTACCTTCGGAGATAGAGAGATGGAAGTCTGATGTTTTCATGGCATCAAACACCTCATGGCTCCCTTACTAAGCCAGTAAATTCGAGATCTACACACGTTTTGAAAATTCGAAGCTTTAATTTCGAAGAACGACAAACGATAGCGCAGACCTCCCTCCTCCATGCCATGTGGTGTATAGTCTGTGACACGAGGGCTTCTGAATCTTATTCATATCCCGTCCCCTCCCCCAGCTGACACGAGGGGGTCCCCAGCAAAACGAAGCACACTCGTTCAATCTTTTCGATATTTTACCTGTTTGGTGGCTTACAATGTATTATTGCCTCTCATAGACCTTCGAATTCCGCGCCTAATGCTCTTCCACTGAGCTAGTGCCAGGTCCCTATATGTAGGTTCTAACAAGACAAGCGTTCTAAACACGGCTAAGATGATCGTTGTCGAAAGCATCGTTTGGGTAAATAGAGAACGAAAGATAGTCAATTGTAAACACGGTCCTGGAAAGAAAACTGCAATTTCTTTTTTTGTTGCAGGCGTGAGCCTAAAAGAAAACCTGAATCCTTTTTTTTTTTAAACATTGAACCTAACACCTCTGATTTCCGCGCTTTTCATTCGACAAAAAATGCCGAATTCTTACAGCCATAGAGAAGAAGCAAATGGTTTATGAATAGATAAGGGCTATTCTTAGCTGGTCAAGATTCAACAGGCTCATAGGTAATCGAAAGGTTTTGTTATATAAAGAGCATTATGGATAACCTTTAAAATGTTATTCTATATCAAGTTTGAATTGATTCTTGAAGACTGAAAAGTTCTCCCATCTTCAAATTTCCCTTTATTATAAGAGTGTATCCCAGGCGGGGGTGGTGGGGTTTTGGGGGTTACAGTACGAATAACGGGGGTTTTCGAAGGTGCTTGAGATTGTGGATTAAATTCACGGGGGATACTTCCGCTATTAATTGTCCAAACAAAAAGTGCCATCATATTCAGTAGTCAAGTTCTCAATCTGTGCGTGCGAAATCACTATCACTCTCCCCACCCCCGTACACATACGGAGAGCAGTTTTGTCCTCTCCTCAGGTTTCTCTCTTTTTAATCCGGTTCGATTTGCATGCCAAGACCTGGACTAGACCTTATAATGTTTCGAGGGAACATCAATCATTATCTTACACAGGAGCCATTAATGGGCTCCTGCTTACATGAAGCAAGAGTTTATTTGCATGACAACTGACCATTTTCATAAGATAATGGACTTTCTTTTTATTTTAAGGCTTAAATTGCTACTGCCCAGCAATATTTCAGCTAACATCGTTTGACTCAAGGATGCAAAAGAAGACAAATAAAAATGAATATTACTTTATTGGACTTTAATTGGAGGGTTTCTTTCTTGTTCAGTGGCTACCTCATATATTTCGCAATGTTGACATCACGATAAAGAACTCTTCGTTGCTTTACTTCAGAACAAATTTCTTTAGATAGATGAAATAGACATTCGAATAACCCCACAACAGCTTAGGCCTCCTTTGTGAACCAAGGGAAGTGGCGAAGAAGAGAGATTGCCGTTACAGCAAGACCGAATGTAATAGAAAACCACGACATAAAATGCGACACAACAACAGAGCAACAAAAACTGACGTATAGAAGATTTTCAGCGAAACAGAACGAGTACGATCTAGTGAAACATTAGTTTGTTTGTTAGTTTTTACTGTTACATAACGCACATTGCACGTCCCTTTTCTTGAGCTTTTCTTTTCTTTTCTTTTCTTTTCTTGAGAGAGAGAGAGAGAGAGAGAGAGAGAGAGAGAGAGAGAGAGAGAGAGAGAGAGGACGCGCGAAAAATGGCGTTCGCAAAATAAGGGGCCCGGCGCGGAGAAAGATGCAAAATGTAGCCGTTTGGGAGTGCCGCAAGCAAGCACTGCGTCTACACCCGTCTCAAATTTCTGGCGTTCGTTTTTTTTCCTGTCTCCCCAAACTGATAGCCTAGAAGAGGCTGTTACACGCCTATAAAAGTGGAGCAAGGTTTTCTCGAAAACAAGGCCGATCAAAATATCATACCTACACTCAATACCAATTCATTTTGGGATCAGTTTTATCGAAAAAACTTTTTAATGACTGTAAATGAAATGTATGAAAATCATTTATGTGAACCGCGGACAAAGAACTCTTCGATACCGGTGCAGAGGTCATGGGTTTAAATTCCGTACAGACCTGAATTTTTTTAAGGCCTTATTTTCACTGCTGCTTAAGTAGTGTTCATTGCTAAGAAATCTTTTCCATATTCACAAAAGGTATTTGGAATTTGCGCGCCTCTCCAACAACTATTGAGCCAGGCTTGTCCCAATTCACCTGAAATGTCATTGGGAAGGTGAAAACGCGTAGGATTAACATTCAGGAGACGTTCACGAAAAAAAAATATTCTGAGATTAGGTTTTCTGACTAGAAACATTCTAAGAGGGGGGTATATGGTTTATGCGTGACGCATTACTAAGCCCAAATTTAATGCGTGACGCGTAAATTTTACAGAAAGGTAAATTTGAAGTTTTCCTTTTTAATTCGTGATGCGTGAAGTACTGTTTGAGGCATACGTCGTGTGAACTTTTCTTAAATTCGTGCGTTTTCATTTCACAGTTACAGCAACAGAATGAGAATAACAAATTGTGTAAAGAGGGTAGATATTACTCACTTAGAGATTAGAGAAACATGACCATCAGCCGAAAGACTCTAAGTGACCAATACCCTATTGATATGGAAGAGGACGTGTACATGAATTGGTATCAGAAGGCTAGACACAGCAGAGTCCTAAATTCCAATTGTAGAGTGAAAAAAATAGTTAGATGAAAGAACGAGCGAATGAATGAATGGATGAGTCAGCGAATGAATATATGAACCAAAAAATAAATGAATTGGGAAATCAATAAATGAGCTAATCAATAAATCAGTGGATTAGCCATAAATGCATGAGCAAACGAATGAATTAATGAAAACCCGGATGAACGAATGAATGGAAGGACGGAAGTAATTTCCGCTTATTAAAGAGCACATGAGTTCGCTAATTTTTTGCCTTCCATCCATTATTCTACTGTTCATCGACAAAAGATATGTTTCCTTTTATTTTTTTGCCGTTCGCCTTCGGTTATAAAAGATACATGTGTTTCTTTGTTTGTTTGTTTTCTGGCTGAGAGCTGGTGCAAGAATTGTTTTTACTAGCATCAAAATTTATTTTGGTTATCATGTATTTTTTCTCGTGGTTCTTCTTCACAGCTCTCCCACGAATTTCTTTCTTATATTTTTGTGACCTTTTTGCTTTAGAGGATCACGCCACCGTTATGCTGAGCTAGACCCCAATCCTAAAAGAGAAACACACAATGGCCTTTTAGGGAAACAAAATGAACCGCTTGTCACGCCAAGAAGCTTTTGTCTTCGTCATGAGCTAAAATTAGTCACAGTGTACGTGCATATATGCAATTGCTCAAGGACACCAACAGGCTACTTTGCATAAGTTTGACATTCACGCCATGCCATGAATGCGTGATACTAAAAATGTAAATTGTCATCATTCCGATTTGGTTTCAAGGAGCATGGATTCCGTACGTATTTCGTTTAAGTTGTGCAAGTTTCTAATCCGAGTCATCTAAGATTTGAAAGAATTTACGTTCCCCCAGCAACTTGTGCAGCATTGATAACTGAGATTGTAGAATAACTTGGATATAGGGTCAGTTTACATGACAAGATATTGCGCAATCGACATATGAATAATCAACGCAAAACAAAATTTCTTGAGCAAATTCAGCTCTTGCTTTCCCTTTGATAGACAAACTGCAAAGTGTCCATAAAATCCACGAATATGGGCGGCAAAGAGAGAGCAAAAAAGAAGTAAATAATTGAGTGAAGATACGAAATAAAATTTATCATCCCCCAGGCTATTAGACTTTTCGTTTTCTTGCCGCTCCAGTTCGACTTCAAAGTACATAAACCTGGAAAGAGTCGAGATGAGTGGTAATGACATGTAGTTATCGTCAATAGCGTTCTATTAGATGAAACATACCATTCTTGAAATTTCAATGGCCGTTGACGTGCGATTTTCACATAATACAGCAATTAAGTTATTGTCTTGTTACGCCCAAGCTTACAAATGACGTCAGTCAAGATTTGTCACGTGCTCCTCAATTACCACATTTATAAAAACAATTATTCACACGATGTGGAGTTTAGTTCGTTTATTGTGTTTGAGTGTAACACTCGGAATCGCCGGTATTTTTGCTGGTAAAGTCTACCAGCGTTCGAAGCTCTTACTTAGAGAAAGATGAATGTGTTCAACCCAAATCGAAACATCCAGTTAACCAGGGTAAGTCTTCGGGCACGGTGTAGTCATTGATACCAGTGTCAGCGCCGAACAAAAACCAGTTAACAAATTTGAGACCAGTAATAGGAAATAATTACATTAAGAATCTTTTTTTCCGCATTGGTTTGTTTACTCTAAATTTTTTAAGAGATCTTTAAATCATATGAACGACCACAGACCTAAATTTTCGATTAAATCAGCAAAGATTGATACTACAATGTTCATAATTGTTACAGGTTTTCTCGTAAAATTAACTTTACAGAGGAACTAAATGGCGTGAACTCGACAGTGTATTTCAGTTAAAGACGTAGTTGTTGTTGTCTCTCCTTAGATAAAGAATTTTCTACTGGACAACGTTGGATATCAAGAATTTCTATCGCCTGGTGCAACGGTAGTGAATCCGGTGCAGCCTTCTCGCATCGATTCCCTAACGATGGGCACCTCACAAATAGCTCCACGGAAAAGACTGCCAGACTGTCCTCAAGAAGGTAAGATATTTAGGTTTATTTTACAATTTATTTGTTATTGTTGTGTTGGCTTTTTCTTTTTCCTTTTTTTTTAATACAAATTTTGGGTTCTTGGTATCTTCGCGTGACCGTCGTTGGATAGATTCGGTCTTCGAGAAAAAGTCACGCGACATTTTCAAGAAACTGTCAAATTGTCCTGATTCGCTTGAATTAAATTTTTTCAGAGTGCTAGGGGAATCACTTATGAGAGCCAAAAAATCATTTTCTATATCTATTTATGGGCTTATCCAGTACAAAGTAACATCAGTCGAGTGTGAAAGTAATGACATCATGATATTGTAAATAAATAAAGAGGCGGAAACTGCGGTCAATCGATGAAATGCGTAATTATACAGAAAATATTCTATGACACCGGTAATCATTCGTCTAAATAGTGGAAGTCTAAAATGATAAGGTTGTGTGATGAATGTATGATGATTTTCAGGATATCGAGCCTTCTTTTTAATTAAGTCTAGTGTAAATTATGTTGCGCAATATTCACGCGATTTATTTGCCTCATCGCACGTTCCCTCGATGCTTTTGTGATGAAGATTTGTTATTTCCTGAATATTGCGAAACGAATGTTTAGACAAGAAGAAACATCCTGCCGATAAATTGACGTACGTATCAAATGTCTGCATGATTTAAATCAGCCAAACATTGTAAAAATTCCTACAAAAAGTCACAGGTTCGGCGATCGCTTGAAGCAAGATTTGGAATATAAAAAGTAAAAAAAAATTGTCACAATATTCCAAATTATGCAACATTTACCCGGTAACATGCGTAATCTTCCAATTTATTTTGATGTTATATTCCTTAAGAATTTTCAGAGGGAGCCCTGTTCTTTCAGTAACAAAATTAAAAAAAAAAAAAGACATCTGTAAGATTTCCGAGTAGCCTATCCCCCATATCTATGTACCTGTGAACTGAACTTTTCATTACATTGCTCTTCATTTCAGAAAATACAGAAAATCGGGCAGCAAGCAACAAGCATCGAGCAAGAAAAAGAAATCGAGGTCCAAAACCAAAGAAAATGTACGACGGTAAGTTGACATTTTAAAACTTTTGCCTGAGCTAAGGTCTTACCAGGTGAGATGTTAACATTCCCTCACTTGAACAGATCGGTAAAACAACGAAATACAACCTCACAAAAATTTTGTTATTTGGATAGTGATATAAAATGCCAACTAATTCCGAAGTAGAAAGACACGCGTATAAGATGTGATATGATTCTGTCGGTTTCGCGACCGAATGTTTGTACTCAGGAGTATTGATATCCGTCAAGGAAACGATGCTCTAGTGAAAGGGAGGGAGGGGGCGGTGAGAAACTTGTTTTGAACTACCATTCCCTTAAGGAGGAGAAGTGATTAACACCCGTTCATGGAAGTCCAAACGTTATGGTCAGCGATTGAGGATCCTACATGTTCCCAAGGTTAGGTTATCTTTCTGTGGGCCTCGTTAAGAATCCTTTATTCTTTCCTCAGGCAATGGACCAATTCAGCTGTGGCAACTAATTTTGTCAGAGCTCGTTTCTTCATCGTCAGAGCCTCTTGTGGAATGGACTAAGAAAGACAAATACGAATTTCGCATTTTGCAGCCTGATAAACTGGCGGCCCTATGGGGAGAGCAGAAGAAAAAGACCAATATGAATTTTGCAAAGCTTGCGCGAGGTTTGCGGTATTACTATGGAAAGTCCATTTTGGAAAAGGTTCGTGGCCAGCAGTTTACCTATCAGTTTGTTATGGACATCGATGCAATTCTCGCGAACGATTCTGATGGCGAAGCTTCCGACGGTGGAGGCAGGAGCACGCCTGATGTTTTTTGTGAAGCACCGAGAACTCTGGAACAAAGGGAGGGGTATGGGGAAACAGAGACACAACTCACTGGTACAAGGGTGGGTGGATATGTGGGTGTATGGGGGGACTTTGGATGCCCAATTGAGGCATCGAGGGACACTGGGGGTGCTGAACAGGGTGTTATTGACATAGAGGGGATAGTGCAGAATGCAGGAGAGACATTTGGCTGTAAGGGGGAGAGTTCAAGGCTCCCTATGGGGATATCAAGGGATACTGAGGGAGGAAAAGAGGTTGCTATAGGCACTAAGGGGGTAGAATGGAACTTAGGGGAAGCTTTTAGGGGAACAGGAGAGGGAAAGGTGAGAAAATCGTGGGGCCAAGAGAATACAGGAATGGGATGTGATACCACAGATAAAGATTTTGGAATTGTGCCTGGAGGACTTGAAAGCCTCCCTGGGGGGTGTGGGGTCATTAAGGGGGAGCTAGGGGAGATAAAGTCATTCGATTTAAGTGATCTTATTGAATCCAATGACACAAGTAGCTTCTATGAAGCACTATAAGTATGTCTTGTATCAAGCATAAATTACTTTTTGTTTTTGCTTACCTCTTGTTTCAAGAGACTTTTTAATGTCTAAATTATTGACATGTGTCTTAGGTTAACTCTTAAAGAGTAGTATTCATTGCAATTCTCATATTACCAGAAGCAATATTTAAAATGATCTCAATTTTTAGAAATGTTATTTCAGTGTTCCAGGAACATATGTTTTCTACAGCAATGAAGTTTGAAAATTAATACTGACAAACCCAGTTTGTCTTATGTTTTAACATTGGATAGATCCCTTTAGCTTTCAATCTGTTTCTTTGTAAATAGCTTGTTAAATTCAAGCAAGGAAACAAAATCCACCGTTTAGTGCCATTACAAAGTCTTTCTATTGTACATTTGAATTTTACCTGAATATTTTATATTCTATTTATAAATATGTACATGTATATTTTATTTATATTGCTATGATGTGATAGGGTTTTGAATTTTGTGTATCATGTCAAATTCTGCTTAATCATTGACTGCAAAAAGGAAACTTAAGTACAAGAAGAAAAATGATTTTTTGGATGGGTCTCATTAAAAACAGCCAAACAAGTTTGAAATCTGTGATTAGGAATCATAAATCTTTGTTAGCTTTCTCTCCTGTTTTAGGTGATCCAGGCATAAATTTTAATACATTTGGCATTATGTGTCAGAGTTTATTCAATCTAAATCAAGTGTTTTCCATAAAAATTTTAAATATGTACAATAATTTTACTTAGTGACTCATAGAATGCATGCTTATTATAAATGGAAAAGGATACAATTAAATTAATTTTTATTTGTTACTGGTATGTTGTTTTTATACTCATTATGTTCTCATTTATGGGAACATTTCCTCACCAAGACTAATTAAAAAAAAAAAAAATTAAAATTCAGGTTGTGTTACTTCTTGCATGCATAGATGAAGGCATCACGGTGTTGCGGAAGGGGGGAGGTGCTAAGGCCAAGAGGGTTAACCCTTCAACTCCCAGAAGTGACCAACATGTAACTTCTCCCTGTGATGTCCATATATTTTCTAGCAAACAGTTAACGAGAATACTCAAACTCATCAGGAAGAAGTTTTAATCTTGATCTTACACCAAATTCTTATAACTGATTTACAAGGAATTGTGTGGCAGCAAGAGGAGAGAATTAACAAACAGATCTAGGGAGTTAAAGGGTCAATGCCAGTGTTAAAGCAACAGCCAAAAGGAAGGAGAGGAAAGGGAGAGGGTCTTGTTGCCTTCCCCACCTCATCTCCCAATTAGAGTAAGACTGGACTGCCATCCATTCTTACTCTAATTCAAACATGGCCGGTGAACTGAACAATTGCGAGCTTGTATTGTTAACTTCCCTTAATGAGACACCTGTACTGTAGGCTAGTGATCATCCATCCAGTTTGTCCCCTTACCACAGATGATGCTCAAGATTGATGTTCAGAGGACTTTTTCCAGTAGGGATCATTTTCAAATCTTATGCTACTAGAATAAGTGAACTGCAGAGCAATTATCTTTTTGACTTTCAAATATACCATTCGTTTCTCACTGTAATCAGTGCTCCGGTTGTGTAGTGAAGAAACGTCTGGTGAATTTTTTTGGTTTACTGAGTAAGCCATTGACAATATAGTGTCCTGCCTTCCCTTTGGGGACGTTGGAGCGCTTTACTTAATGCAGTTGAGGGGATCTTTTCAATCATTTGCAACTCAGAGCCCTTAGAGAGGAGAAATAAAACTACTTCAATTCCACCAAAACCACCAAACTGCATGCAAAATTGATACAGAATTTATTGCTGAAAGAAAAAGAATTGTTCTCAGCCTGATTGGTTAAGTTACAAAAACATTTTTATTTGGTCAAGTGTTTTGACTTGAAGCCTCCTTATAATTAGAGACATAATTGTGCTTACATGACACACTTAATGAATGCATGTCTATCAAAACATCTTCATCCATTGTACAATGTAAAAATCAATTAATTGTAACATTGTGCTTAAACTCTACTTTGAAGGACATGAACAAGAAATGTTTCAACAAACTAAATCACAACTTCCACCAGTTTCTATGTGATAACACATTTAATAAGCTCCAAGTTGTGATAATGAGCCTCCCTCTAAAAGTATGAATTGCTGAAGGTTTCTTAAATTTATAGCTCTGAGATCAACAGCAAGGCTTAGATTTGAACATGAATGGTATCACTGACAACAATCATTGCCTGGATAATTCTGGCAATTCACTTATGCATGTTTTGTTCAGTTTTTTTTTTTTTTTTTTTTTTTGGATAACCTACAACACAACTATCAAATCAGGTTTTCACGAATGGTTGCCACCATCACAGTTGTTTTTCTTTAAGCATCCACCAATATGCTGAGCTGGCACTTCTTTTACAGCAGAAGTTTCAACAAGAGCCAACATGTTAACAACTGGCGAAATTTGCCATATCTGTCAATTGAAACTGATATTTCATGTTCCAGTTTGTTCATGTATATAACCTATGAACTGTCTCTGAAACAGCTTGCTCCTATTGTTCTCATTTGCCTTTTGGTCTGTGCAGTAGCTGGGTAATTGTTGTGATAATAATATTCATGCAAATGTGCTGATTTATCCCAAATTGCACTCAAAATCAGGTGATTACCAATACAAACAGCATAGAAGAGTTTTTTAATGAGCACCTACACTTTTTTCGTTTAAAGGCCATTTCATCTAAAAATGTCAAGTTCAACACCATGTCCAGAACTGCATACAGTTATAAAAATACCACATTTGGCCAAATTTCGTCAAACCAAGTGAATGTTCATGGCTTTCAATTGTTGATTTTGTCAAATTTTAGTCAAATTTGACAAAGCAAAATCAGCTTGGCAGAAATGACAATTTTGACGAATTTTAATCAAATTAACTAAATAGTTTTAAGTAAAAGTTAAGGATCCTTGTTGGGGCTGCATTTTTTGCAGAACATTTTTTACTTTTCAGCATTCTCTTTTGTTTGAGCCACAACCACAAAGCTTAACAAGCTTTAAATTCTGAATAACTCTTCTACAATTATCTTTCTAAATTTAACGTAATTTCACATCAATTTATACCCTTCAATTTTTTAACCTTTGATGATCTGTTACTATAAATTAAAAGGTGATAATTAACATACAGAGCCTACTCCATAAAATCAACATCAATAACAGTCAGTTGTTAAAGTCTGGAATTTTGTTTTCCCTAAAGTACTGTAACTTTTACCTCTATTAAGCGGTCACCTCCATTAAGCGGTCACCTCCATTAAGCGGTTTGTTGTCTTCACCTGTATTGAACGGTCTTAAAGCGGGACCACTCAAACACTACTAAGAATAATCTCCAACTTAGTTTTAGTCCATATTTATCTCCCAAAATCAATGTTGGCACTTTGAGTTATAAAACTCATAAACGCATTGCAATTTACCTTGCTTTGTAGGATGTGAGCACAACATAGCAAAATTTATCGCATTTGACCCGCATTCTGTGGAATCTGTATTTGGCGGTCACCTCGCCTCACCGACGGTTCGAGTAGACGCTATCAGAAGCTGGGCCATGACTGGCACTTTGAAGCCCTTTCCGAGAAGAAAGGTTCACATTTCTTCCCGAATAACAAAACTAGGTCTTCCACGTGTCTGTGATCTGAGTTGAGCGGCCAATGGATGACCCTCTTGATTTTCATATTGGTGCCGACTATCCCTAGTACTGTTCGAGTGATTCCGCTTCACGTGACTGTTCAATACAGGTAATTGAATGCCAGAGAAAGAAAACCAGACTGCTTGAGTTACAGTCATTCTGAAAAAATGAGGACAGCTCGCAGAGGTCACAAGAATCCCAGGCAGAAACCTAGCATAGCTCAACCCTAAAGAAAAAATAAATAAAAATGAGTTCATGAGTACTAGCAGTGAGGCAGACATCCCAACAAATTAAAAGACAATTTCCATTTACTGGTTTTCCTGAAGCCAGTAGGTCAATCACTACAAACTAAAACTCTCTTGACGTATCAGCTGTTACACCATCAGTCTTTCCTTTTCCTGTCTTTTGAAAATGTTTCATGAATCTGGGGAATATGACACGATTGTTTACCTGTTTGTGTGCGGGTGGGCGTACAATTTGAAACCAAAAAACCGGAAAACCAAATTATTGCAATGTGGTGTTTCTCAGAGTACTCGGTATATGACGATTTCAAAGCGATCAAGGTGTGTAGTTATGCGAACCGCACTCCACTGCGGTTCGTGCATATGTATGAGCATTGTTTTCCATCATCAATTTCGACCCAAATCTCTCTCGGGAACACTTACTCTCAAACGACACGAGTAGAATAATTTACGCATATGTAATGAATTACACACTTTGATCGTGTTGAAGTCCTAATGATGTAAGTGTAACCACCATCTTTCCACCATTTCTGAAATTTTCTTTTTAATCCTGTTTTGGGCCGACATTATAACAGTTGCACAAATTCTACACGCAGGTGGTGCTCATTAACTCCTAATCCACTTTACGCCATAGCCGCAAGAACAAATATATCCGATTGGTGCCAAATGGCCACCCAAACCCTCAAAGAGGTCGTTTCCTGGCTTACTCAATCAATTATGCATGAAGCCTAGAAACATCAAAGTCTCATTGCACTGAAGAACCGCTACAAATTTTTCAGCTCCGGCATCACTGATTTTGTGGCGACTCAGCTGCAAATAAATCAGGCTTTGATTTTTTTCAGTGCCTGCGCTAGAGTTCCTGCACCTGAACGATCAGTTTTGCTATAACTTAAATCTAAAAGTTCAAGAGTGCCACTGACCTCGAGAGCCTCTGCTCGGGGTATTACATATGATGAGCTGATTGATAAGTTACTTAGATGTAAATGGTCATCTGAGTGCTACGTGACTGAAGAGCCTTTAAGATAGTTTCTAATGATGAATCACCAGTAATACTCGGTAAGAATAGGCCCATCACCCCGCAAGTATAAATGAGTCAGAGAAGAGTTTGACTTAAGAGAGGATGTCAGCATCCATCGAACAAACTTGAAATATTGTGGCAAGTCGCCCAAATTTTGTTTTCTCTCCTACTTTCATATTTTGTAGCCCAATATGTTCTAATGATTGTGGTGTAGTTTTTTTGTGAAAATATATTTTAGTTTTCGAGAAATTACCTTTTTTCGTTCGACCGCTCAAATATGCAAATTTTCACCGTGAATATTACCGGAGTTGTGTGACCTCATGTAACGAATGTACTAGACCTACGGTATTTCTGTGAACATAATCCTTTGTTTTATCATCTAAACTTAATCCCCTGTCGTTATTGAAGCTGGCAAAGAAATATTTATTTTTTGGTGAATATTTTTGTCCGACATACTTTTCCTATGTCGAAAAGTAGCATCAAAACAAAGAAAGTTTTAACAGACCGATATGACACAATCTACTGAGCTTCAAGCTTTTAAAAGACCAAAGGATGGTTATAAAGTTACTGTAAAAATTTCCTTGTGTATTTGTGTTGTTCTATCTTGAGACGAACTCAAAGTCCGGCAAAATTTACTTGATAGCGACTATGAAATATACATGGTGCGCCTACTTGTCGCCACTGTTAATTAGCATAAATCACTACAATTTGTAAAAAAATCTAACATAACACTCTTACCTTGTTTATTTATGACTTTATTAGCCGTTTCGATTGTTGTATTACGCCTGGGTATTAATTTTTGACAGGAGCTCAGGTTTTGCGTTGTGTTTTCCCCTCCCTCATTTATATCATAAGCAAGTCACGCAATAATTGATACCGATACAAGTAAATATTTACCATGTATAAAGATTTTTGTTTACGTTGAATTTAAAATATTAAAATATGTGCTTTCTTCACTAATCGTTGTTTCAGCGGCAGCGAAGCAGTTAAAAGCGGGTTGTTGCTTCAACGCTACTGAAATTTTTAGTATTCAGACAGGCGAGCAAAGCGTGATGCTCTGGGATAAAAACTTTTAGGAGACCTTTTACATGATATCCGACTGAGTTTTGTACAAGAACGAGTTCATAACGGTTGCCACATAATAACCAGCGTAAAATTTATTCAAAATGAGTCATTTCTGAGTGAGTTTATTGGGGTTTTCATTACAGAACGAAACACTCATTCTGGACGACCTTTTCTACCTGTACAATGTAAACGCGGCACGGCTCTCATATTTGTATGAATCCTCTGTAGGAGCGAGGGAAGCATCGAAAAAGACAGTAAAGGACATACACACTTGTTTTAACAGGCTAATTGTTGCCACTGCCACAAGGAGGAGACTTAAGCACCTTTTATAATTTTATAGCGGTCGTTTTCGAAATTTCAGGCGCGCACCCCGCCCTCTTATGTAAAGGATCCCCCGGTGGTGCTAATACGTTTAGCACACTTGACTTTTAGCAAGGACAAATTCTGATGTGATTTTGGCGAAGAGAAACATGTTTTGTCAGCGTCTAGTTGCTAGTGCGGAAAGGGCCCTTTACCGCAGTGTGCATAGTTACGCGTCCCCCCAGACGGCGGAAAGCCAACAAAGTTGAGAAAACTCCGCCTCTGTCTGAATTTTTGGTAGCCTATTGACCAATTCCCAATCGAAACTTAACTCTGACGTCACGCGTAATTTTGCTCACGGTGGTAAGTAGCCTACATACCGAAGCCAAATCGAATTTTCCAGACATCTTGAGCACTATGTGTGATACACGCTTGCCGATTCCCCTATCAGCTTTTGGAATCGCCTTAACCCACCTTTATCATGGCCGGACGTTTCTTTTGGCACCCTACATTTGCTATTGGAACCACGATTCCACCCAACACCAAGATTTGATGTGTGTGTGGGGCAATTTGTAAAATCATCAATGTGTTTTGGCGTCTCGAAGATGCCGGCACGCGACAAAACAAGATCAACTTCATTTTCTGGATCTGAAAACTTGCAACTCCGAGAGTGACATGAAATGTCTTTTTAACAATCACGCAAGGGAACGACTTGGTCTTCTCGATAACTAAACCCACAAGTTCCACCAGCGAACGTTTTAACTAAATAGCAAATCTCCATGTTAGCATGTAAGATGAGACGCTTATAAAACAGATCAGTTAGCTAAATCAGTATGTAGCTTGTCAATCAAATCGACTACTGTAACCATACTTTGACTTTAGCCAGCGAAGGAATCATTGATGGATCTGGACATTTTAGTTTTCTGAATGCAGTAATTCCTGAAAGGTTTTTCTAGATGTCATGCAAAGAGGAAAAAAAACCCATCTCTTGGTATTTTGGAGGTTGATTCATCTTTGAATTTCTGTGTCACGCTTGTCACGCAACTGATATAATAAGTTAGAGAAGACATATAAACTGGAACTCAAATCTGGCTAGAATGTGGTAGAGCATAATAAACGTGATCATCGAAACAGCTAATAAAATCATAAATAAACAAGGTAAGAGTGTTATGTTAGATTTTTTTGCAAATTGTAGTGATTTATGCCAGCTAACGGTGGTGACAAGTAGGCGCACCGTGTATATTTCATAGTCGCTATCATGTAAATTTTGCCGGACTTTGAGTTCGTCTCAAGATAGAACAACACAAATACACAAGGAAATTTTTACAGTAACTTTATAACCATCCTTTGATCTTTTAAAAGCTTGAAGCTCAGTAGATTGTGTCTTATCGGTCATTGTTAAAACTTTCTTTGTTTTGATGCTACTTTTCGACATAGGAAAAGTATGTCGGACAAAAATATTCACCAAAAAATAAATATTTCTTTGCCAGCTTCAATAACGACAGGGGATTAAGTTTAGATGATAAAACAAAGGATTATGTTCGCAGATATACCGTAGGTCTAGTACATTCGTTACACGAGGTCACACAACTCTGGTAATATTCACGGTGAAAATTTGCATATTTGAGCAGTCGAACGAAAAAAGTAATTTCTCGAAAACTAAAATAAATTTTTACAAAAAAACTACACCAAAATTATTAGAACATATTGGGCTACAAAATATGAAAGTAGGAGAGAAAACAAATTTGGGTGACTTGCCGCTGTTTGTTTGATGAATGCTGACATTAGCTCTTAAGGGCTTCTCCCAGCGCTGCGAATGACGAGTCACTTAAAGTAATTACACAAATACCTAGGAGAGTCAGTGAACTGTTATATCGGAGAGCGTGTGCTATAGCTCTTACCCGTTGATCACCCATGTGATGACGATGCGATGAGCGAACCCATTCTCCACAACCCAGTATCTGAGTATCAGCTAGAAATGAGTCATAATGTGATTTGACTGGAGAACTTTTCTGAGTGCTTCTGCTTTCTCACCACCGATGTAGTTATGTCTGATATCCAAGTCCTTAAATGATTTATGGGACTTTAAAGCTTCTGCTAAAGCTTCAAATCCAATATGTGTTATCAGATTACGAGCTACGGACAAATGAGTCAAAGTGTGATTTGACTGGAGAACTTTTCCGAGTACTTTGGCTCCCTCATCACCAATGTTGTTACTTTCAATATCCAAGTTCTTCAATATTTTATTGGATCTTAGAGCGTCTGCTAAAGCTTCAAATCCAATATGTGTTATCTGATTTTGAGCTATGGACAAATGAGTCAAAGTGTGATTTGACTGGAGAACTTTTCAGAGTACTTTGGCTCCCTCATCACCAATTCTGTTATCTTCGATATCCAAGTTCTTCAATATTTTATTGGATCTTAGAGCGTCTGCTAAAGCTTCAACTCCAATATGTGTTATCCAATTAGAAGCTAAGAACAAATGAGTCAAAGTGTGATTTGACTGGAGAACTTTTCCGAGTACTTTGGCTCCCTCATCCCCAATGTTGTTACTTTCAATATTCAAGTTCTTCAATATTTCATTGGATCTCAGAGCGTCTGCTAAAGCTTCAACTCCAATATGTGTTATCCCATTACGAGCTATGGACAAATGAGTCAAAGTGTGATTTGACTGGAGAACTTTTCCGAGTACTTTGGCTCCCTCATCACCAATGTTGTTACTTTTAATATTCAAGTTCTTCAATATTTTATTGGATCTTAGAGCGTCTGCTAAAGCTTCAACTCCAATACGTGTTATCCGATTATCAGCTATGGACAAATGAGTCAGAGTGTCATTTGACCGGAGAGTTTCTCCGAGTGCTTTCGCTTGCACATTGTTGACTCCGGCACGAGACATATTTAAATGTGTAACCTTTGGATTCGCCTGAAGAGCTTGAGTTAGTGATTTAATGCACCGGACATCTGCAAGTGCTGCTGAAGCTGATACTTTCCAAACTAATTCTTTCAGTTTGCGGTTGCCTTTAAGATATTCGTAGAAAACGAGTGAAAATTGAGAGCCCCAGGGAGAGGAATCAGCAGGGAGATAACTTTCCTTCATTATCACTTCATCCTTAGGAAAACAATGAGCTAGCGTACGGGCCATTTTAATCTGGCAGGAACTAAGTTTATCATTACCTTGTTCACACTGAGCAATAGCATCAACTGTTTTCTCAAAAAAGGAAACCTCATCAGTTTCTGCAAAGTTTCTATCCATCGCTCTCCATCTCCCCTCATCCCATCTAGTATCTCCAGGGACTTCTATATCATGGTCATTTAAAAGGCCGAAGAGCTCCCCTCTACATGATTTGTCATGCTCGTCATGAGGATCGCCTCTAGAGTCATCTTCAGAGTGGCCTTCAGAGTCGTCTTTAGAGTCGTCTTCAGAGTCGTGTTCAGAGTCGCTCGATTTTAAAGGTTGCTTTGTATACTGACGTTTTACCGATTTCCTAGGTTTTTTACGCTGAAAAGAAGCCCATAGTCTCGAAACCAGGAAAGTAGCTGTTTCTTCACTTTTATCTGCTACCATTGTGATCAAAAATTTCCACACCTGCCAGTACTTATCAACAGGACTAAGCTGAGTCAGCAGGGCCGTCTGGTCCCTATCAGCAGTTTCCAATTCAAGCGACAGATGGAATGCGGCAAAGAATTCCTGAAAAGTCTTGTGGATAAATGCATAAGTTGGCTTCGGTCTGATTTTGCTTACACTGGCTTCTCGAGAAAGAAATCCAAGCCGAAGGAATTCCGTTGACTGACTCTCTAGCTCCCCTGGAGTGAAAGCCAATTGATCTTTCAGCAGAGCTTCAAGAGCTAACTTGCCCAACTGATTCAGCTCCTGCATGTATTTGTCTATGGGACTTCTGTCGCACAAACGGATTTCTTTCTTAGAACAATATCGCCTCAGAACACAGTCAACAAGTTCACGATACAACATGGTTTTGTTGTGAGGCAATATTCCGCCAGTGTCTTCAAAAACAAGACATAGAAGAGCTGTGTTCAGTGCATTGGCAGTCAATTCCCTAAGCTGTGAGTCGTTTTTTATTTTCCTGATTAGTTTCTCAGCAAGCCTTGATTTGTCGTGACAACTGAAATACTTCTGGATGTAACTGTCTGCATCTTCTTTAGTGTAGCCTTTAATCTCAAACAGTGCGTCACTGTGTAGCCGAACATTTATCCCTACTTCGTGTCGAGCTGTTATAATGAGATAAGTTAAAGGTAAAACTCTTCCTTTAATTAAAGGCAAAAATTCTTTAAACAGGTTCTGCGGTAATTCATCCAATCCGTCAAGTACCAGCAAGATTCTAGATTGATAATGGCGAATGAAATAGAAAAAATTTTCCTTGTCTTTCTCGTTCACATCAAGTGGTAGTAGCTGATCTTCAATAGCATCCTCAATTTTAGCAGTCTTCATGTCACGACACGTCAGCCGAAGAAGTATGTCCACTTTAGGAAAAGAAGATTCAGTTGGAATGTCCCCCACAGACCAATCATATGCAAGCTTCTGACAGCAAGTGGTTTTTCCTATCCCAGGTTCCCCTTCGATCAACACTACTCTTGGTTTTTCACGTTCACATTTACATTCACATTTACATTCACATTTTTTATATGGTCTCAAGACCTCAGTCATTTTGACGGAGTCTTCTGTCAACTTTGCACGTTCTTTCTTCCGGCAAACGATAGTCAGTCTTGTAAATATCTTAGAGAGTTGGAATTGCAATTCTTCCTCACACCAAGGGAAGGGACACAATACTGTTCCCTTGTAATCTCGTCTAATCAGCGCCACAAGTTTCTCAGGGTAATCTGGAGAGATAAAATAAAATCTACTGTGTTAACTTAACAGTCATCACTTTTGCATATAATAATTATTTCAACACGTAACACACTTATGCGATAAAATCTGCATGGCAAAAACTCCATTTGCCAGTTTTCGCCGCGTAAACAGGGGCCCGCTTGTGCAAAAGATAGGGCAGTGGTATAAGACACTAGACACAAAATCAAAGAATACCTTTGGCCCACTTGTGCATAAAGTACTTAATCCAGAGAAGAACCATGGTTATCACTTATAATAACTGGTCTTATAGCAATACAAGGTTTGCTCTTATCATAGAAGCCAAGGTTCCGGAAAGTCGCGGAGATATCCACAATTATGGTAAACATCCAACTCCACATAAAATAAACGCATATATAGTCAACAAAAACAGCACAAAATAGTATCCTGCGTTTATCGAATTTCCTTTTGCAAAATTTGTCAAATTTAGCTTCTGCGATCCAAATCTTTCCTCGCCTGCGCAAACAAAATTCCGCTATTTTCTATTACTATGTCACGTTTCGCCTCACAGTTGCTCAATAAATGTTTGCAATGTAACGCAATCATCTTTGCTTACACGGTTTTCTCCCGCTTGCAACTGATAAGTTTTCTGCCTCGGAATGAAAAGACCTCAGAACGCATTTTATGAGACTGCTAGTATTTTTGACTGATTTTAATTGAAGATATGTGGAAATGAATTCCACAAGTTTTCTTTAGTCAGAGAAGCACAGGGTTATCTTCGTCCGCTTCTAATCGATCCAGTGGCCAATGTTTCAATTAAGATAACTGAAGTTAATCACGGTTCTTGTTTTATCTCAGATTATAAACAATCGAGGCAATTCACTGCATTAGGTTTCCGCCTGAACTCAATGAATTTTTGTTCACTTGGAAGGTGATATTTAAAGCAACGATCCTTAATGTAAACTGTAACAGAGCATCTCTATCGTTTTATGCGCGGATAGTACTCCAATATGGTTTCGTGTTCGGACGTCTACAGGACGACTAACTACTACTGTCTACAACTTATCGAGTGAGTGACACATTTTCATAGTGGAATTCTCATAAAAAAAACGAGTTAAAAAAGCGTCCGTGACCCCTTCCTTCAGACCCTCCACCCCCCGTTTAGCCTCTTCAACGCTTTCAATCACTGGAGAGGATCAAAAAAGCGGCGGCGCAGAACAGCGAGAGGACAAATGGAAAGAACTGTTTCGCTGACTACCACAACTGTAGAATGCGCTTGCATGCAATTTTTTTCGCCTGCTCGCCTTTTGGCCTGGAAAAGGCTAGCTTCCTCTCCCATAAAAAGTCCTGGCGACGCCCCTGACCAAGATCGACGTTACTTCTGCAGTACAATAGCTGTTTTACTATGCACGGTTTGAAATTAATATCGTTCGATGTAATTCACTCTTTCTCTCATTGGCTGTCAGCCCCTTTTGTGACCTTCAAATGACGTTCTTCTCTTACGTAATTATGACTAAGTTCGTCCATTGAAAATAACAGATGTCTCCTCTGGGCTATCAGAGAGTTAATCTCGGAAAACAATTTAGAAAAAACTCAGTAATCAAATCATAAAATTTTTATTGAACTCTCTAATTGTAGGATATCGTGATTTTCATTGTCTTTAAAAAAAAATTACCATCCGAAACTGAAGCGGGTGAGGCAAATAATTTATTGATACAGTGTTGCGGTGTTTATAGCCTCCGGGCTAGATAATTGTCGCAGTATGCTCAATCCCATTCAACAAGCGCTGATTACTACAGTAAGAGCTTACGGAGTAACGAAGTAGTAGGAATCACCAACATACGGAGGGGAGGGGGGGGGTTAAGAAGAAGGTGCAGAAGGATCATTGTGAAGATTTGTGAAAGATGGTGTCCGCCATTTCACATCCGTTTCTTTTCTTTTTTTAATGCCAGTCACGCCTTTAAACTTAACGCGTCCTTTCAACACAAAGGGGTCTATCTCTTATCTCGTGTTGACTCTTTTAAAAACTCACCAGCTGACTTAGGATTTTCTGCGCATTGTGTAGTAACGTGTGGTTCTTCTGACTTTGTTATGTCTTGCACTTGATCTGCAACAGACAATCCGTGATAAAAACCTTTTACCTTAAATAAAATCAGATGATTGACAATATCTGATGGCATTTTTTCCAAATGGCTAAATGGCACTGTTAGAAGGTTTTAATATGATTCACGAAGTATCAGCAAACTTTATGTCTTTGTTAACAGCTGAAAGGATCGTAAATAATCCCCCATACAAATCTAACCCTGACACTCCATCCCTTAGCCCTAGCCCCTTTTCTTCCCCTCCTGTATAAACACTCTTCTGCAAAGTACCCTAACTCTTTCACGAGCGCTCGCATTGCTTACTTTGGGGTCACACGTCAAAAAATTCTGAGCGAAAAAAGTTGTTAAAAATTTGACTTCAGAGGATAACAGAGCAATGTTACGGGCCACTGTTGAGCGATGACCGACGTTGTACGTGAAATTGTAGCATTGTAGTAATTTGCACTTGATTTGTTTCCATATTGTGTCCTCTACTTTCTTCATTGTGCTGTAGAGCAAATCGCATTAACACTGGTCCCACGGCAAACCGTTTCATATGTTCCATTTTGTGTCAATTCCTCAATGTTTTGAAACATTTCCTTAAAAAATATGAAGTTTACTATACACAAAAACTGTACAGTTTGTCTCTGAAAGTGAAGCATTATAATAACAAGAAATGATATTAATAGTAACAATATTATTTTAATAATAATAACATTAACAAACTTTGCTCTACATGAAAAACTGAAAAGTGCAGTAATAACACTTCACCACAAATTTCACTAACTTTGAGAGTGATTTCTTTCTTGAAAAGGGTTGTCTTGAGTCACTAAAGTTGAAGGAAGAGGGCACTGTCCATATTCCATGGATGAATGAGATGAGTGATCACCAGAGGAGCCTTTTAGAGCTAAAAGAGACACAACATCAGTTAACTACAGCTCTTTGTCCTGGGAAGGACAAAGGAATGGTTTTTAAAAATATCATGGCCCATTGGTAAGCTTTCCAGGGCATACAAGTTTGGTAGTCATTTGAAAATGAACAAGAAAATTTACATCATTTAACATCTAAATATTACTTTCATTATGATAATAGTTTATCACTTCTCCCCTGAACTGTTTGGAATGGCAATCACCTAACACAATAGAGGCTGGCCTCTTATCTCCAGTTGCAATAACAGGTCTGCTTCCTAAACCTAACAGTGCACAATAGCAAATTAACTGAAAAGAATATGCTTCTTTGAAGATTAAGTATTTATTAACTGACAATTCACTTAGTTAATGATCTGTTTGTTTATTTTCCTTTGAAATTAGTGATAGATCATACTGATTTCATACGGAAAATTAGTTCTTAAGCAAGATAATTGCCTCAGAAGGGTGAATATTGAATTATATCTCTGTCTTTCTCCACCTTCTGATATAAAAAGCTTCAACTTTCTCAGAACAACCTCCTCTCACTGCTTTTGTACAAGTATGTGCATCTACCATAAAACAATTTCTGCAGTTACAACAGCTCAGTGGATCTGAAGAATTCAGTGTACACTCATCTGTAGCAAAAGATTACTCTCCTCTCATGTCAGCTCATAATTTTTTCTTTTTGAAGTATCCCTGTGTCTGATCAAGCTAAAAACTTTCATTTTTATCAATATTTTTACTTCTTTGACTTTTATTACTTAGCCACTTTTTGCAATAAACAATTTTTTTTATCTATAAGAGATCAGAACCATTTCTTCCTTTGTTTGGCACAGCCATTTCCTTTTTTGTTTGGCTTCTTTATTAAAACAATAGAATTAAGAGAAACTTTTGAAAATATCCTCCTAGCATGACTGTGGTAGTCATTCACAGTCAGCATTGATCACTGTGTCAAAGTTTGGCTTCTACATGGTGGCCAAAGCTGTAGGTTTTTGAAATTCCCTGATTGTTCCTTCACCTGTTGCAACCATGTTCTAACATCCAGCATTTAATTTCAAAACATACAGGGGTCTCAATGACCTTTTCATAAGTGGCTACTGATTGTCTAATAAGCAGCTGTGTCTGGAAAAGGGCCATAAGGCAAACCCCAAACAAGGGAGCCTCTCTACAGGCTAAGCAGACAATGGTAAGAGTCTTTTAAGAGTGGTTGACTGCTGGTAGCTAGCTTCTATTGAAACCAGTGGGAATCATTTCTGGAGATGTACAAAAACTGCCGCCACACTTAAATGTAAGATGGAAGTCTTGGGTGTACAGGGCTTTTACTGTGGCTAAACATCAATGTACATTACATTGATGTTTAGCCAGTGTACAGGCCACTGTTGACCTATGACCACCACTGCACATGAACATAGCATGATTGAGGTTAGGGTGAAGGTAATGTGAAATTGTAGCATTGTAGTAATTGCACTTGATTGGCTTCCCTATTGTGTCCTCTACTTTCTTCACTGTGCCATATAACAAATCACATTAACACTGGTCCCATGGCAACCAGTTTCATATGTTCCCCTTTGGACCAATTCTTGAATGTTTTGGAACATTTCTTTAAAAGCAATAAAAATAACAATACACAAAAACTGTACTGTTTATGTCCCTGAAAACAAAGCATTATAATAATAGGAAATACACTAATAATAATAATAATAATAAACATTGTTTCACATGAAAAATTAAAAGTGTAGTAATAACACTTCATCATAAATTTCACTAACTTTGAGAGTGACTTCTCTCTTGAACAAGGTTGGCTTGAGGCACTGAACTTGAAGGAAGAGGACACTGTCCACATTCCATGGATACAGGAAATGATTGATCACCAGAGGAGCTTTTTAGAGCTAAAAGAGACAGAACATCAGTTAACCCTTTAACTCCCAAATCTGATTGTCAACTCTTCCCTCCATCTGCTAAACATTCCCTGGTAACTTAGTTATAAGAATTTGGTGTTAAATCTCAACAACAACTTCTACCTGATAAGTTTGAGTATTTGCAAACTGCTTCAGAAGGTTGAGTATTGAGTTACACCTCTGTCCTTTACCACCTTTTGGTACAAAAAGCGTCAACATTTTCAAAACAACCTCCAATAAGTGTTTATGTACTATATGCATATCTACTACAAAACAACTACTGCAGTTACAACAGCTCAATACATATGAGGAATTCAATGGACACTCATTTGCAGCTAAAGATTATTCTTCCCTCATTTGCAGCTGAAGGTAATTATTCTCCCCTCAGGAGCAGCTCATAATTTTTCTTTACCAAGTATCCCTGTGTCTGATTAGGCTTAAAACTTTCATCAATCTTTTTACTTTCTTGACTTTTATTAATTGGCTAGTCTTTGTGATAAACAATTTTTTTCTAATCAGGAGATTAGAGCCATTTCTTCCTTTCTTGGCAGAGCTATCTATTTTTGTTTGGCTGATTTATTAAAACAATAGAATTTAGTGAAATTTTCGAAAATATCTTCTTAGCATGATTGTGGTAGTCATTCACAGTCAGCATTCACCACTGTGTCAGAGTTCTACATGGTGGTCACAGCTGTAGGTTTTTGAAATTCCCTGCTGCTAAGCAGACAGTGGTAAGAGGTCTTTTAAGAGTGGTAGACTGAGTCCCAATTCTGAACTAAGAATCTGCAAGCTAACCAAAGGGTCAGAACTGAGAGAATGGCTCATGGCTGGAGGAAGCCACCACCCTGAACTTCCCATGGTCCTAAGGCACCCACACTTGCAGACAACCACTTAATGACCACTCATGTCCCCTCAAGTGTGAAGATGACTGCTGGTAAAGAACACCTTGTTAAAATTTCATTTGATTATCAAAATAAACCTCTTTGAAACTTCACTTCATTTTTTGCAGTGACACCAAAATGTTAGGAATCAAACTTTTGGTGGCCAATTTTACCTTCTGGCAACTGAAATAAAGAACCCATGTTACCACTTGCTGAACAAAATAATGAAAAACTAAGTTTTTTGACTCTGATTAAGAGTACTTAGTATCAATTAATTCACTTGTCTTAATTACAATGATTTTACCCAAAAACTAATTAATGCAGAGGCTAGCCTACCAAACATGAGACTGTGCATCTTCTCTACAAGACTTCCAATGGGCCCTTCCCAACTGTACTTCTCCAGATATTTTTCACGCAAAAACCTTGACTCCAAGAGTCGCACCTCCCTCTTTTTGTGTCGTACCTCCTGGATTTTTTCGGCCCACTCTTTTGGATCTTCGGATTTAACCACACACTGTGATCCTGGAGCCACCTCCTTCAGAGCTTCTCCAAGTCCTGAATTACCACTGACAAGTACAGGTAAACCAGCAGATAAGGCTTCAAGAGCACTGACTCCAAATCCTTCAGTTTTGGATGGCATTATAGCGAGATCCACCTCACAGAATAAGTCAGCTAATAATTCTCTGCTGTCACAAAAGCTGCAGATAATTAGCTGATTACGATCAATACCATGTCGAAGCAACTTATCTGCTATTTCACCTTCTTTCCCTCTTGGTGCACCAACAAACTTGAGTTTGTAGGACTTATCTTTCAACTCAGCAACTGCTTGAGCTGCAACATCAAAACCTTTCAATATGAAATCTTCACAGCTGTCACCACTTCCAATGACTAGAACACTGAAAGTGCTTCCTTCTTTAGTGGCTTGCTCAACATTCAAAAATTCAGAGAAAATGCTTGGAGTGAGATCAAAGATATTTTGGTCTTTTTTACTACCACGAAGGTAATGCTCGTAAGCATCTGCCACTTTGGGTCCAATTGCTATGATTTGATCAGCCATCTTACACAATTCTAACTCTGCTTTTTGCAGTTGTCCACCTTGTGGAATGCTTTTGTACATTCCAAGTTCTTCTGGAACACTGTGAACAACTTGGATCCATTTGCAGTGGTGATGTTTTCTAATGAACTGCACTTGTTTGCCAAGACTTACTCCATGTCCTACTACACAATCCATGACATGTCCATCGGGGACATCCCAGGTTGAGAACCTTGTCAAGATCTTTTATGATCATGAAAGATCTTGGATGATCTTGTCAAGATCTTTATCTTGGAAGGATCTTGCCAAGATCTTGGCAAGTTGAGACCACTGAAAGATCTTGCTAAGATCTTACCATGTAAGATAGTAAAAAATCTTGCCAAGATCATTCCCTTGCGAACTGAATTCCCAGTTTTCTAGGAATTCCTAGGAATTCTCAAAAATTCCCAATTATGCAAATGACCCTTGCAAACTGAATTCCCAGTTTTCTGGGAATTTCTGGGAATTCCTAGGAATTCCTAGGAATTCTCAAAAATTCCCAACTATGCAAATTAACTCTGATTTAAAAAGCTTGGAATTACTGGGAATTTCTGGGAAAGGAAGACTCCAGTTTTGTGAGGACTTGGAATCCCTTGGAATTCCTAGGAATTCTCAGCTTTACAAACTACCTATAATTTAAGAAGTGTGGAACTCTTGGGAATTTCTGGGAATTGAATTTGAGGCAATTTTAATACCCTGAGGTCCACATAAATTCGAAGAAATTCTCAATACCTTGAATGTGAAGGTTTTAAGAAAAAGAGTTTTCAGAGGCTTAAAACTTTGGCTCAATAAAAGGTATGCTATACAAAACTTACCAAGAGATATACATACATGTACATGTTTATAACTTAAAGATCATGAAATTCATTACTCAAACTAAGTTTTAGTAAATCTTTACATTAATATGGATTTTCTCATGAACCAGCTGTCAGTTATGTTAAATGGAAATTGCCAACTTCCACAATAATTAACAATAATTACATTGTTATATTACTTCCCTAACCTACATTACTGGTTGCCTTTGTTAGAAAACCATGGAACAGTCAAGCTCAGTTGCCTCAAACGCTGTCAGAGACTTTTTGTTGACAATACTTTTAGTAGAAATTTCATGCCTTAGACAAACAAATTTAACACCTAATTAATCTTTCTTTTTTCATGATTGTTGTTGCTGCTATTTTTTTCAGTTTTTTTACTCTATTTTCATGACTAATTGCTGTAATTTGTTTTGCTGTTTTTATTCTTACAAAACATTTTTGTAAGAGTTCCAATACTTGTGGATCATCCACACACTTTGCAAACATTTGGCATGCAGACAAGACAGAGGTAGTCAATGTTCCCTTTGAGGAAAAACACCTTTTATATTACGTCTTCAATTTACTTTATTTGAAACTCTGATCTGAAAATATTTGTCAACAAGACTTGTTAGTAGTAAGAAGTACCAACCAAGTTTCCTTTCATAACTTAATTTCTTAAATGTCCCAATCACTGGATCTCCCAAAAAAATATTACATCTTTTTATTTTTGGTGCAAATGACAAGTCCTTCTTTATATAAAAATGAAAAGTGCTAGTCACACTTCAATAATAACAGCTCTTAAGTTTACTTGTTGTTCTTCTCTGCCTGTCAGCTATCAACAAAATTGTTTTATACTTCGGGCAGTGCATAACTATTTGTGGACCAGAGTTCCAACGCACCTCTGTAATCGCATATAGCTACTCCTGTCTCTTGTACAAATGTTTCTCCTTTGTAAGACGCACTCTACTCTGTTGTCAATACTGCTTTAAGTTCAGTGGAAACGACTGACTGAGGAATCGAGATGGCGCTGTTGGAACGTGTTGCTGAATGCTTGCTACGGTCAAGCTGTGTAGATTTAGGTACTGGTACACTCAGGGATCATCTATGTATCTCTTATACTTCCAAATGTGGTATCCTTCTTTTATAAATATGAGGGTAAAAGACAATTTGTAGTCGCATTCAAAACTGTGATTGGCTTGTGTTATTTCTCACCTTTGCCATTAACACAACTCAAGTGAGTTTCGAGTCTTTGTTTCCTCGACAACTTTCGGCCACAAATCGTGCATTTGTAATACGATCGATTCTTGTCGATTATTTCTACATAGAGTGAGCTCACATCTTTATTTATATCACCAAGCTATCCATCTTCTAGAAGCAGAGAACTGGTCGGAGAAGTCAGAATAAAGTTGGGCGCTTTTCCTAACACTGCAATCGGCAAGCCAGCGGATTCACTTTGCTAGCCAATGACAAGTCCTAAAAGATCCACGTGATCATGCCCGTGATCGGAAACAAAGAAGACTCCATTTGGCGCTCATCTTTGAATGTACTTTTCATCGGTTGATCGCTTTTCTCAACTGTTTTGCTTAATATAACATTTCTAAAGATAGCTATTATTGTGGTTCAATGGGAAAACGAGAATAGCGTGAGTGTTGTAAAAGAGAAGAAAGTCGTTGGCGCCGTGGAGTTAAAAGAAGGGACAACAGTTGACATATGGACTGGTACAAACAAGGGTCGAGTGGCCATCTGTAAAGCTACGATTTTGAAAGTTTGTGGTGAGTAAAAATTGCGATATTCGTTACGTGATCAAAATCTTATAAAAGAATAGATGTAGCGGGTTGAATTAAGCTTACATAACGCTCGGCGCAACTGAAACTAGAAAAATTCTGAGAATCGAATCGGTCACTTGCATGCCGCAGTTTCTTAAGCTTATGCTTTACAATGAAATAAACCTATCAGTAAGGTTTCAAGATTCCTCTAGTCACGTTTGGGAACATTCAAGATTCATAACAAATCTTAGTACATAAAGAAGCCCTCCTTGGTAAAAACAAAATAATGTATTCAGCCCTTTTTTAGTAAAATCCATGAGAGAGATGTACTAACTCCAATATAAAAGTCACTCAATATAACAGAGATTTCTCAATTTGAGAATCCAATGAATGCCCTTTTCCTCATAGCCATCTTAAAAGCCTGGTCTGAGCTTTAAACATACATATTTTAATTTTTTTTTTTTTCAAATTCAGATGTCAAGGAATCCAGATACAAAATGGTCAAGGTTCTTGTTGACAACCTCATTCAAGGCCAACTCATTGTGAGCCCAGGAAAAAAAATACAAACAGTACAAACAGCAGCTAAGTTTGCAGTTTAGGATAACTTCATTCTAATTTATTGTTACAGTTACAACAAGATTTTAATCAAAAAATCAATTTTATTTGTCTGTAATTAGCCCCTTCACTCCCAAGAATATAACTATATAAATATAACTTAAGATAAATTGTATTTTATGGAAGAGAATCAACAGATTTTATTCACAATTTGTGTCAAACCAAATTTAATGATTGATTAGAACTATTTTATATGAATAGCTGTAATTGAGGATTAATCTGTATGAAGTTTTCAAGAAAAGAAAAATAAATCAAATTCCATCCTAATATTACCACACATTGATGTTAGTAATTAATCAAAAATATTTTACATGTAAGCCTTAATTAAGCTTCTAAATAAATTTCATTGAATACTTGAATTTTAGCTGGGTTTTTTTAATTTAAAGTATTTATTTTATATCATTAGCCTCAAATTTTTGCTTAAAATTCCCAGTAATTCTTAAACATTCCTAAAAATTCCCAGAAATTCCCAGAAATTCCTAGGAATTTTTTTAGATTTACAGCTTTTCAGGGAAAGCCATCGGTTCTCTGAGTTGGAATTCCTAGGAACTTGGAATTTCTGGGAATTTTTGGGAATTTCTAGGAATTTCTAGGTTTTTAGAACCACAGTTGTTATGGTTGGGAATTCCTAGGAATTCCTAGGAATTCCCAGTCCGAATTTACCATGAAAATTCACACCTTTATTCCTAGGAATTCCTAGGAAAATCCTAGGAATTCCTAGGAATTCCAAAAGCCATTTCGCAAGGGTTGTAAGATCTTGTCAAGATCTTACCATGATCCTGCATGATTTTACAAAAATTTTGATCAGATCATAACCAAGATCTTGACAAGATCATTAAAAGATCTTGTCAAGATCTTAGCAAGATCTTAAAAATATCTTTCCAAGATCATTGAAAGATCTTGTCAAGATCTTAGCAAGATCCTGCAGCTTCTTGCAGGATCTTGTCCAAGATCTTACATGATCTTACCAAAGGTCTTGCCAAGATTTTATCAAAGATCTTGCCATGATTTCACCAAGATCTTGTCCAGATCTTACCAAGGTTTTCAACCTGGGATTAATCAGCCAGTCAACTGGATTCCAACCAATCACTTTTTCGGCTTCAACAAGCTGCACATGATAACATGCTGCATCATTCCTGTCTTCTTCACTGCATTCTGGAAGAAAGACGCTAACTTCCACATTAGAGTGTTTAGCTAACTGTATGGCGAGCTCTCTGTTGATGGTTGATAAGTCTCCATCAGTTGATGATCTCCACTCTCTGCTTAGCAAAGTGACTTTCAGTGCCCTGTTTTCTTGGCCTTCCTGTGTGGTAGAGGCTACACTAGGAATGCCAAAAACCTACGAAAGCAAAACACGAGGTCTTAAAAATAATCAACAAGTTTCCTACAATGAATATGGAATTGCTAATACATGAACATGGTACACAGCTGTGCCTACATGAGGATTTTTACCATTATGATAGTAGCTCCTTGGCGAGGACTTGCAGCAGCAATATGCTATAAATCAATTTCTTTCTAAATTTGCAGGGGGTCTCTGCTTATAATAGCACAAAGTCAGATACATGTATGAGATGCATCATTTCAAAGTTTCATTGACTTCCTGACTTCTATGTACATAGACATGTACAGTAAGATGTAACTGTGCACAGAATGCACATAACAAATATGTTCTCCTATAAGGCTATTAACTTCTTTTATTTTTGAAACTCTGCATGTACTGGTAAGTGACTATTTTATTTGCTGGTTGTAAAAAATGTAACCAATCAATATATCATTTAATTTTCAGTTTTGGAAGTCTAATGATTTCTTAATAGAACCTTTAACAGACAGTGGAAGTTACATCACAGTGCTGCTTTGGCAGGTGTTTCCATTATGGTAAAAAGGATTAACTACACAAACCTACAAGATGATTCAATTATCACATTATTGTTACCTTTGATAGCCCAGACATCACAGGAGACCTTTAGTACTGAATATTGAAGCTACATGTAAAAAAAAGAAAAATTGTGAATTTCAAGTCATTTTGTTCACTTTACTTCATTGGACAACATGGACTAAATACAGTTGGCAAATGAGAGAAAATTAAAAGATTAAGAAATACAAATGAGTATTTAGTGTAAGGGAAAATAAAAAATATAAAAAAATGGAACAGTATCACAAATGAAAATTATAGAGGGAAAACTATGGGTGAGGAAACTCAAATAGCTCCATATAGTTAATGTCAATAAACTCTAAGGGGTGTAGCATCAAGAAAGCCACGCACTGGAAGGAAACTTTTACATGATAATTTTTTTGAGTAAGCAAATACCAAAGAGGAAAAACTGAACCAGTATTACCTTGAATTCTGTCTTATCCACAGAAAATATCCCTTGCATGGTAAGAATCCCACTGAGATCTTGAGTCCCAACATGACTCTCTTACCCCTGAAAGTAACTGTGTAAAAAATTGTTCCAATGAGATGTAAGGAATTAACCCTTTACAACCCAGCATTAGTATGCATACTCTCTATACTATTCCTTAATCATTTCCCGAGGTGCTGTTGTAGCAGTGGGTTAATAAAGGAATACTGATGCAAATCCCAAATTCCTCTCAAACCCAACGGCATTTATTTTCTGTAAATGAGCTTTACAGTTTGTTAGACTTGAAGTACACAAGACAGAAGCAAAAACCTCTGAAGAACTGAAACATGAGACCCCCCAAAAAGGGCTCCCATTTCAAAGACTAAATTTGCAAAATCCTACAAATATTCTTTAACCAAATGACCATATTGTCATGCAATTCTAAGTCACACAAGTCCTACTTCACTCTGTTACACTAACAAGGGGAATTTTTTTTACCCTTTACACCCAAACAATAATATTGATATTCCCAACACTGATCTCTCCACATTTCCAGTAGCAATGACAAGGAGAATTTGTTCAAGACAATCTGGAGCTTCTGAAATTGGTGACAATTTCTATTATTCTCATCACCTTGACATTTGATTTAAGGGTGATACAGTAATGAGAAATTAGAAGCCAGTCACGCTAAGGTTAAATGGTTAATAATCAAGAGCTTCTTCAGTTTGTGATCATTTCCTTTATTCTCATGACCTTTATGTGTGATTCAAGGGTGATATTGTTAGGAGAAATAAGTTACTAGTCACTCTAAGGAGTTAAAGGATTTCGTCAATTATTTGCCTGAACTGTAATAATTGAGATGTTTGTCCTGCAAATAAATGAAATCACTTTCATGTCATACAAGATTAAGAGTAAAGCCTGTTACTGGATTAAAGTAACAGGCTTTTATATGCTACACTACTTTTATGAGCTACAAACATGGGATCTGATAGACATGCTTGATTTTATAATTATGCCTCCAGTGCAGCGAGAATCATAAGCTCAAATTGAAAGTGGTTGCAGTTCAATTACGAGAAGTGCCATGGCTCTTTTTGCCTACTGCAAGGGAGTTAGTCCTTGCATTATGCTCCCAGTTATATGCAGCTTACTTCTTGGTTAAAATATACACTGTAACCAGCTGCTGGTTAGAGTTCATTTTCTAATTTGGAAATTGAGCAATACTTGTTTCTTTGGTTAGTTTTGAAATCATAGATCAGTAACACATTCTTCTATGGAATGATATTTATTGCTCAAGTTATTGTATAAAAAAGTACACATTTTGATAATAATGCCATGAAAACTGTGGATTCATTCACACCTGCAATGTAATGCAAGGACAAAATGACGCATTTTTTAATTTAGGCAAATTTAAACCAACATGTATGAGTACATGCATTTCAGCAAATAAAGACCACAATTCCTTGGTCTGTCAGTGTAATAATGTGCATACAAAAAAAATTTCAACATGCTGAAAGAAACCGTTGGACCATTTTCAGAAATTTCAGTGATAAGGAGAAGAAAATCTCATGCATTCGATTCAGTAAAAAGACTATAATATTGTTCAAAAGTAATGCAGACACTTGTTTACAAAATTTGCCAAAATTCCTAGCTTTTCTACAAATTCTTGACCACTACAAAATTTTGACAACATTTCTATGAATTTTTGAAGCACATACAGTTTTCACAGGCCCTGAACATTTGGTGAGATAGTCCTCGAGGGTATTCATGTGACTCAGAATTAATAGAGCAAAAATTCATTCTCCTCTGTGAATTTTGTTACCAAAATCCTAGCTACTGTTTAGTCTTCTAAAAAATATTTGGTTGAATTTGTGGTTTGTAACTGTGTAACGTGCGAGAGAAAACAGTTAAAATCAGTTCCATGGACTGAATCATGCCATCCTTGAGTCTTTGCTCCACATTTCCCATGTTTGTGTCTTTGTTATTGAAAGTTAAACACCCAGAAGCTTCACAGATTGGATAGAAACTCACTCCTCTGGTCCTCTATGTATAACTTGCTTTAAACAACATTGAAAAGAGTAAACTTCTGGATGTAAAACTCCCATGGAATTTTCTACTACCATTCCAGTCTCCATGTGACTTATGTTGTTTGCAGCGATGGCAACACTCAGTGTATCAGTTGTCTATGTATTTGGAATCATTAGGGACCCATCAATACATTCTATTTTAAGCAGTTACCATGGCAACTGCCACAAATTATTCTCAAAAAAAGATTAAGCTCCTCCACTAGATGCCAGAATTTATGCAAAAATTATCAAGAGAACAGAAGTGGCACTTTTCCAATTTGTTATTTACAGCCGCCTCTCATTAAGTATTCTGTGTTGCACAAGTTGAAGTATTTCACAACCTTTATTTCACACACTTTACTTGGCATCTGCTTCCCAAATGCTTTAATCCTAATTTACACACTCTGAAGGTAGAGTTCATTTTGTTTTTAAATTGAGAAAAATAAATATCTTTAAACAAACACTGTTTTGTGATATCTGGAGAGCATACTGCAACCAGCAATATGGGTGATTTATAATTGCCCTAGCACCAAGATTGAATAAACAACAAATGCATTTCTCAATTGCAAACATTTGACAATTACATTTACTGCCAATGACATGCACAGGTCTCCTATGTTTGGTGTCAAATATAAAGAGTCGTTCTCATACCGCGTCTTGGTGAATGAAAAGTTCGGGAACACGTTTGGAGATATTCCGTGTTCGTTACATGATGTGTAAACAAACTTGATCACTCCGAGAAGTCGATTGTCAGTTCGAAGCGAAATTTCGAACACTATTGATCGAAAAGACGCTTTCCACCGCGAATTTTCACTTCGTGACGAGAATTCAACGAAGAAGCGTCCTATTCAAACGAAATGTCGCTTAAAAGGCCTCGAACTTTCGATCGAATTTTCACTTGTACTTTCGACGAGAGATCGCTAGAACGAATAATGATATTCGCCGTATTCCGTTTGCATTGCTTTTGCAAAATACTGTAAAAAAGCTAACACTCCATCAAAATGCATTCCACATGCACATCTGGTCACATTCAACAAGACATGACTCACTACAAGGCTCGAATACCCTGATAACGAACATTTCTCAAAGAATGCTCATTAAACTAGGCCAATTAGAGCGAATCAAAACTGAAAGTTGTTGTTTCATCTTAGAGCAATGACTGAATTAAATGCTTTAAATTAATTTACATTTATTTTTCAGTTTCAGTACTGTGATCTGACGTTAAAAGTAGTGACGGTGGAATACTAAGGTCTGCAATGTAAAAGTAAACAAAGTTTCCGAAAAAGAACGCAAAGTGCAATAACAAATTACAGAACTTACCTTGTGTTGAATGCGTGCGAGGATAGAAGTAAGGATTCATTAGACCTTAACTCTAGACAGCTCAGGTCTTAACCAAAATCGACAATATACATTTTCGCTAACGTTGCAATTACGCTCAAAGATGTTCTCCTCTTAACCTCTCGCGAGGTGAGTCGTCATGCAACGTTTAACACGTGATCAAATGCGCGAATGGATGCGCAAAAGCCAATACCCTCCCATTACACCCGCCATTAGTGCCTCGTTATCGCGTGTTGCTAACGGAATGGGGAGAGCAACAAACGGGACGATTACGTGACGAGCTTTTTAGCGGGAAAGTCTTGCAAACCGTGTCTTCGGAGAGTAAGTAATTTAGGCATTAAAAAATGATAATAAATGAATAAATAATCACAAAAGATAAATAAATAAATAAGACTGTCAAAATCAGCTAAAGCTTATTGATATTTGGCTCCTTTTAAATTTTTCAAAGTTTCATATACTGACGTTAGGCACCAGTTTGGGGAATGACCATGATTATGATATACGAAATAGAAAAAAAAAACTACCCGTTTAAAACGTGTCGTGTTGTGATGAAAGTAAATTTAATTTCTCTGGTGGACTAAAGAGGGGTGGGGTGGGGGAGGATGGATTTGGTCGAGCCTCCTAAAACTGAGATATTTCACGTCAAAAAAATTGCAAATGTAATCAACTATAACTCCCTGAAGTGATAAACATGTTAATTCTCCTTATAATATCCATACATCATCCACAAAAACAGGTAATGAGAAAACTCAAAGTTATCAGGCAGAAGTTGTTATCGTGATCTAACATTAAATTCTTGTACCCAATTCACAAGGAAATGTGTAGCAGCTCGAGGGGAGAATTAACAATTAGATCTTAGGATTTAAAGGGTAAATGAATACAGTAAATGATAATGTATCTCTCTGGAAAGTTGTCTATAACTTTTTGCATTGCAGGGAAACGTGATTGGCGATCATTTCAATGTTGCCAAGGAATTTTTTTCTTGGATGGAAAAGAGCAGCATTCTGACATAATAAAGTGAGGCATTGTAACACACTAACTCGGTCTCAAGATGTCGGAAATCGCATTCTTCGAGGCCTTCAAATTTAAAACTTTCCAGGGTAGGATGATTCGGGACTTTGTTTCTAGGGAGGTGCTTGGAAGAGGAGGAGAAAATTATTTTGGTTTCTAAGTGGACATATTTTCCGAGCTTGTGCAAACTGTTCAGAAGCCGGTTAGGTTGTCGAAACTTAGAAAACATTTGAGTTATGCGCAAAACACCGACCCTCCGTCCGTGGACAACGACGATGGACTACATAAAAGGAACTACCTTAAAATGGACTACCGCTACATAATGATGACTTCTCTTTTTCCACGCTATTGAGAACAAATTAAAACACATCGTCCTTTTAAACAAGATATAAACATACAATTTACTTTTGATTTATTATCTAGTATAATATCCTCCTTCCCTCTCGATTAAGGAGTCTTGGAGTCAAGAAAAAGGTTGAAAATGCCCAGTTCACATGCTGCAAAGATGTCATCTTTGTCATCTTGAACGGATTGGTACTGATAAATAGTAAAAGATACTTAACCCTTTTTTTTTTCTTTTGTAAAAACATTTTTGTAAGAACGGTTGAGCTAAGATTAAACAAAATTTTAAGAACATCCTTAGACCGTACCCAGGCTGAGAGTTAGTAAAGAACATCTTTATTTCGCTTTTTCTTTCTGTGAGAAGAAAAGAAGTGTAAATTCATGTTATACAGACATTTTTTTTAACACTGACTTCGCCGTTTTCTTATTGCACCGACGATACACTGAAAAACAACTCAGTTAGTAGTAGAACTTTTTCTCTACTAGTAACACTTTTAAGAACTTTTTAGGAACGTTTTCAGGTTCGAATTGCAAAAAAGGAACGTTCATCCTCAGCCGCAAAAATAGACGTTCTTACAAAAAAAGTGTACAAGCATAAAAGATAAAAATCGAGTCTACTGGAACTATAAGATATTAAATAATTATCTGATGAAGCACGATATCATGCAAAAACCAAATACAGTAATTGTTTTATGATATACTTTTTTCCTCTCTGAGTTTACAAACGTTTGAGCACTATACCTGAACAAGGGGCTTGGAGACCAGGCTGACTTTGAAGTCGACATGATAAATGCAATATCCGCTGCATTGTCTAACAATTTGCGGAGAGTTTGTCCATGGATACAGCTATTATAAATCTTGCTTAGAATTCCAGCCCCTGGCCATTGACGTGATTGAGTGTTACTCCTCTTTCTTCTGTTTCTTGGTTATATTCAGGAACTAACGGACCTCATCCTGGTTTCCTTTAACACGAAGCGAATAGGTGTATTGGTACTCCCACCCGGGTGGGTAGCTAGTCCATCGTAAGGTTAAGCCCCCGGCATTTCATCAGGTTTCCCTGTCACCCGACACAGAATCCAGTACGCGCATGCACTGACCACCAGGCCACTGCACGCGTCTCCCACAACTTTGAGCACTAAAAAAGCATTTCTGGCACAGCCAATAGCATTTAGAGGCTCCCGTCGTTTGGGTTGAACTCTCTGATGACATTCGAGGACGGCGAGGTTACAGTGTTGTTGTTTTGTTTTTATTGCCTGATGAAGACTATTTCGGGAGATCATGTACCTCTTAGGGAAATCCCATGAAGCAGTAGGTGATAAATATTTATTTATGCAATTTGTTGGTAAAAAGAAATAATTTAGATTTTGGAGCAAACTTTCCCTCTTAACGTTTGTTTAAACTTGACTGCTGGGAATCAGCAAAAGCTGAATACTTAAACATCAATTCTTACACTCTTGCAACAGGCAAGTGCAATCTGTTTCCTGTGGCCTTAATGATACATCATCTATATCTTCATTGTACATCATTATAAAACTTAAGGGGAAAAAAAATCAAATATGAAAAATTCATTTTTTCAGTGTACTCATCAAGGAATCTTCCATCTTCTGGCTTTTCAGGATATATCCATCCAACAAATTCTAATTTTGTAAGGTATACAAATACGTGCTTATATTAGGAAAGTGATCTTGGAAAAATTTAGCCGGTTAGAATTTTACTTGAAAGATTTTACCTTAAATTACTTTGGCTACTTACATCTCACTTCAGACATTAAAAATTCATCAGAACACTAATGTTACCACGATCTCGAACTTTCCTGTACTGAAATAAAATAAATGGGAGATAATTTTAATAGTATAATCTGAGTCTACTCTTTCATTGAGTTCTGTCCGAAGATAAATTTTGAGTGGCGCTTTTTGCAGGCTGCGAAAACTCTTTCAACTCCTAGGTAACTGATTTAGTTTCATGTTTACTTTGAGACAAACCTTGAATTTACAATTTATAGATTTCTAACATCGTTATATTGACATACTGTCATGCGTAACGCGATTTGTTTTACTTTACATGTAAGTCACTCTACTCCAGGGTCAGAGCAAAACTTTTAATAGCCGGATTCTATATGAAGAGATCTTAAAAACTCTGCAAAACTGTCAGTTCTTCTGTCATATATATATCTTTGGTAACGTTGATGTTGATATTGAAATTGGCTCTGTGAGATGAGATGACGTCTCTTCAGTTCTGTGATTCAAATGCAAAACGCTAACAGACAAGAAGACACTCTTTCAAGAGTACAGTGCAGCTTCTGGCATAAGGTTTGACTGAACTTATTTTGTTAAATGATTCACTTTCATAACACTAAAATCTTATTTTCAGTTGTAAGGTCAAATTTAAGGAATCAGTTTTTCATTCGAATTCATTTATGGGGTTCGCAAAACAAAGAACAAACAACGTTTCATCTCGACTATGGTTACATGAACATAAAGGTGTTGAATCAGTATAAAAGACGGAAGCTAGATGAGTATCCAAGTTTGCTCGCACTGGGAATTCATCTACTCGAAATCCGCCCCACAGGCTCATTTATTAGGTTTAAGAGTCAATTTTCCTTGATATTAATTTCCTAATGTTTCACTTTCCTGTTTGTCACTCAGCTCCCTTAGAAACTGGTCACTTTCGACGAATTTGTTGTTAAAGGTATATATATTCGTATGTCTCTGAGCTATTCTAAGAGATGGAATTGCTAGAAAAAAGTTGTAATTTTCGATATGTTATCGCAATTCTGGAAATCAGCCACTTCGAGTTTGAATGGAATTTTATTGGGCTCTATCTCAGATGTAATTTTGAAGGGTATTATGCTATTAGCTGAGGTGAACGTAAATGTCCCGAATTGTCTTATCTGTTTTCTCATTTTTTGTAGAAATGAAACGCACATTTAGAGATAAATTTAACTAAAACAAGTAAGTCGTCGAAATTTCATTTTATGTAATTGACGTTTCTTAAAAGATGTCTGTTTCTACAAAACAAACTTAAACTACAAGAAAATGATATTTTTCCGATTTGCGCACCTTTTTTGTCGCCTCACTAAGTAAATCTGTTATTTCTACTGAATACCCGGTGAGGTCAATTACACATATCTTTAAGACGATTTTTTTTTCGCTTAAACTTATTAACAAACCAGTAAGTCCATTTGCGCAAATCACTTGTTCTTGTTCACGCTCTGTATATTTGCCAACTGCTAACCACTCGTTTTGAAAAGTGAATCCAGCTGCAATTTAGATGGTTAACCAGATTGCGACAGTAACAAGATCTCTCGCGTTGTGAGTGCTCTTCTATGCTTTGCATATTCTTATTCTTTGTGATACAACTGCGTGATATCAGCAAATTATGCGCATTTCCTGAAAATAAACTTGACGGAAAATTATCCACTTATATTTTTGTAAAATGAAAGCTACATCCCACGTTGCGTAGACGAGTAGCGAATTTGGTGCTGTTCGAATTTGTGTAGAGGCTCTCGCAGATCCTTCCATATAAGACAACTTTAAGGGCCTCTTCAACCTGGTTTGGTTTTCAGAATCCTCCAGTGTGTTCGTATGAGGTGGCAAGGGCAGGCTTGATTACCAATCGCTGTTCTGGAAACGAGCCCGCGTTTTCCTTCGTATCATTCCTTCTCGGAAAGATCGAGGAAGGGATTCGAGAAAATGGAGGAAACCAAACCTGGGAGACTAAAGCAATTAGGGATCAGTCATTCGTTATCTTCTAGGAGGATCACATGGTTTTCAGGAGAAATGGTGGGGGAATTAGTCGTCGCTGATAGAGTATAAATAGCCTAGGTGAAGCCATACCCTCCCCTCGCAAAGTGAAACGGAGCCTTGCTTCCGTTTCATCTTGTGGGGGGAGGGTGCGGCCACACGTAGGCTAGAGTATAAAGGGTTGACTATTGAAAATTGACCCTCACTGAAGAAGAATGATTGGAATGCAACAAAGCCTAAAGGGGTAGAGGGAAATTTTATCGTAACACAACCAAAATTTCAGACGCTTGTTTTTTTCGTCAAGAGATGATATAAGAAGATTGTTCAAACTGGTAATAGAGTTGAATCTTGTTAGTGATAATATAAGAGAAGTAAGGGTGTTCTGAAATCCATCCTGAAAGCATGCGACATCCCCAACAACACCTGAGGAAGCCAAGCAGTCAGACGCTCAGGGCAAGGATCAACCTGCCGAGCTGCGGTTAAGAATTTTGAACTCTATTGTACCATGCACGTTCAAGGTTCCAGGACTGACCGCAAAGCTACCCGTAACCAACCGCATCCTGGTATTGATTGCATCTGCCCAGAATGCTAAAGAATCTTTCGCTCTCGAATAGTAGATTAGTAGTAGATAGTTTATTCTGATTAAAATCGCAGCCAAAGCTGAATTAGATTAATCGTTACAATAGTAAAATCTAATAAAAGTATAAGAAAAGTATAAGAAAAATGTACACAGATTAACTACAATTACTATATATGAATGTATTCATGAGTCTCTTCGTCTTAGCCAGGGGAATATTAAATTTCCTCTTTCGTCTCAAATTGAGTTCACAGTTGTTCTGAGGAGGCAGGAGCTTATACAGTTTATGGTCTGAGTTACAGGTGATGGAATCAAAAAGCTTAGTTGTGATAGACTGCCTACGTTGGGAGAGCGTCTCCAAGTTGGCTTGATTTAATGCGTCACTATATGGAACAAACGGAAAAATAATTCGCATGGCACGTTTCTGTAGCTGTTCTAACTCAACAGATAAATATGCAGGAAGCGCGTTGTGAAACACCGGGCATGCGTATTCCATTACTGGGCGGATACAAGTCCTGTAAAAGATTAGCAGATCTTTGGTGGGAATATTCGCTCTCTTCAGTTATTTAAGAAAATATGATCGACTTGCAACTTTTTTACTTATTTCAGCAACATGACAGTTCCACCGAAGGTCGGAAGAAATGTTTAACCCCAACAACTTAACAGTAGGCACTACCTCTATTTCTTTCGCGTTGATAACAATTGGAGCAAAGTCCGCGGCTGATTTAGCGAACGAAATCCGCAGTTCCTTACATTTCGATTTATTTGGCTGGAACTTATTTTGATTAGACTTAGCAATCAGTTCCTCCACATCAGATTGAATACGACTACCTTCTTTCTTGTGAACACACTCAATAGTTGTGTCGTCCACGTATTTCCACAAATTCGTATTGCTGGTGTTGATGTCGTCGATCATAAGAATAAATTGGTTCGAGCTTGGTTCCCTGAGGCACCCCTGCCGGTACATTCCTCCATTCGGACAGGCTATCTTCGCCCAACTTGACTCTCTGCGTACGATCTAAAAGGAAGTCGATGATCCAAAACGATACGCCAACCGGTATGTCCAAGGCGAGCAGTTTCCCAGCGAGAAGCGCGTGGTCCATCAAGTCAAAAGCCTTCCGGTAATCGAATAAGACGACCTTGACGGTGGATCCTGTACCGTCTGTGTGTTTGGCCCAGGAGTGCACCATACTGATTAATGCATGTGTTGTAGAAGATTTTGGGATAGCCCCAAATTGGTTGTCTCCAATTTTCTTGAGAATTGATGGTTGCAAGTAATCCGCAACAACAAACTCCTCTGCCACCTTAGAGAGAATGGAAGTTAACAAGATGGGACGCAGGTGTTTATTTACGTCTTTAATTGGTTTCTGCTTTGGAATCGGCACGGTATCAGCAGATTTCCAAGAAGGTGGTAAACGTCTTTCAGCAAAAGAACTGTTAATGATATCAGATATCGTATCGGAAAGGAGATCTGCATTTTCCTTTAGCAACCATCCTGGAATACCGTCGGGGCCAGACGCTTTCCTAGGGTTGATCGACACAAGCTGAAGGTAAACAGCATGCGTAGAAACGACAAATGGTTGCTCGGTGGAGTGGTCTTGCGACAGCTGGAAAGATTCAGCAGATAACGGTGTAAAGTCTTGCATTGGGGAGAGGAAAGTATCATTGATCAGGTTGGCCAGGTCCAAGGCACTGAGAGACTCCTCACTTATGTATTGTAATGATCTCATTAGCTCTTCCGAGTCCCTGACGGCCGATGACATGCCGCTCAGTTTCTTAACTCCACTCCTCCAAGCAGACGGTTTGCACTCCTTAAGCTAGCTAACTTTGGAGTCGTAGCACCGCCACTTGCAGGTTCACTCGGTTCCGCAGAAATCGAAACATCGGCTGATTATTTTCTGCGAGTGCTCTTTGCCGCCGTCTGATTAGATCTTTCAAACCTAAATTAATCCAGGGCGGATCTCTAGAGTGGATCGCTTTGGATCGCAGGGGCAGTACACTGTCCAGACCATGTTGGATTATTGACTGAAAAATTGACACTTTCTCTGCACAGCCATGTTCGTTGCCGACGAGGGTGTACGCATCGACCTCTTGGAGGTAGGTGCGTACAGCAAGGCGATTGCTAGGTTTTAAGTCCCTTGTTTTGATTGTTGATCGCGAGTCAGGAAGCTGGGATCTATCCTTTGGCTGTACCTCTATGGTCATGTGATTTGATAGACCGTGGGGAGGACGTTGGATGGGGTCCTTGTAGCACTCTCTCAGATTCGTCAGGACAAGGTCCAGTATTTTATCGCCTCGCGTGGGGAATTTGACAATCTGTTTTAGATCAAAACTATTCTGAAGACGCTTGGTGTTCAGCCGATTGAAATCTCCAACAATAAGCAGACCACTGTTGGGAAAGCGCGATTCAATGGACGGCAAACTCTGCCACAAAATCTAAAATTGCAGGGTTATTGTTGTTTGGTGGATGATAGATTATTCCTAACACAATACAACTGAATCCCCTCGGGAGACGAGCAGGTCGTAATTTTAACCAAAGCGCTTCAAAAGATGGGTCTTCTAAATCTTCCAGGATAGTAAATAGGCTTGATCATGCAGCTACCGTACAAAGAATTCCAGTGATCATCTGTAACCACTTGGGTATTCATAGCGAACAAGAACTATACAAGTGTTCTTTGTGTGAGTGAGGCTACTCACAATTGGAAACTTAAGAAGACACTTAAAACTAGAGCACTCACTGAAATAACAAGGAATGGCATAAGTGTACGCAATGCAGCAAATCCTTCGGTACTTCGTTTCAATTACTGCGCCACCATACTAGAATCCACATTGACTTGAAACCTTTCAAGTGTACTCACTACGTTAAATAATGTGATGACCGCTCAAGCTTAACAGCACATCTCAGACTTCACAATGGTGAAAAGCCCTTCAAATGTAATCAGTGCAAAAAATGTTTAAACTCCTTGTCTAATTTGAATACTCACGTCAGGAAACACAGTGGTGCAAAACCTTACAAATGCAACAAATGTGATTTATGTTTTACTCACAGAGGCAGCCTGTTGCATCACAACATATCGTTTCATAGTGATATGCCACAGAAATTTTTAGAATGTGGTAAAGGTTTTTACCACTGACTGTGGTTTGAAGAGACACTAATGTCATCAAATCAATATCAGTGCTGCAGCAATTCTATAATTGATAGCATTAATTCAAGGTCACATTTCATAATCAAAGTGTTCTGTGAGCAAACTCGTGAATTGACAGATGACTTACAGGATTTTTTGGATTATGTTTAATGTTATCTGGTTTAGGGAATTTTGTGGTTGATTGTCATATTTAGAGTACGAGCAGTAGTTCAGTGTTCGCTAATGTGGCAAAGAAACAAAGTAACGTTGGGATAAGAAGGCATTACAATTGAAATGATCATGCTGTTACATTTGACAAGGGTGGATGATGTCATGTGTTTTAAACATATATCATTTTTGTTTCTGGTTCAAAAGAAAAGGTTGGAAGTAAATGTGGGTGAAAAGTGAAATTTACAGTCTATCATTGTAAATATTGGAAAATCAAGGCAATACTGTCTTAGTGAAAACATTAATGATTCCCTCTTTATCACGAGACAAACAGGAACGAGTTTTGAGTGATATAACCAAGCCCAGACTGCCACCGTCATTTTGGATTTCCGCCTGGGTAGATTTTGGTCACGTTTTAGGCAACGTGTAATCAAGAACACGATAGAATTTCATTTCAGGCATATTTATAAATTTTTTGTGGGTTATAACTTTCGCATTTTAGTGCGTAATATTTATTTTGAATCTTCAAATTATCTTGAAACTTAAAAGAAAATTGTTCTTTAAAAATTAATTGAGAATCGGTAGCCAAAATTATTTGTTTAGGTGTTATTTGATTTTCGTGTTAACCTGTAATTTCGTCAGTCGCCGGCACCTTTTGCTGCTTCACACAGAAAAAACACACGATACGAAATGTAATGATCGATTTTGTTCCCAACTCACGCCATAACAGAAAAAGCTCTTGAACACCTGTAAACTCCGAGCGCTTCGGAGTAAGTGATATTTTTAATGAATCTTCGGATTGTTTTCAAGTTGAAGGATTGTCAATTACAATTTTATGAAAAACGAAGGTTCTCTTATTTTCATGTGAATCCTCGCACGCCTGCCAGTCGCTGGCACCGCTTGTTGAAACTGAAACGAGAAAAAATAAACTCGTTTAAGAATATCCTTGGCTTCTTTTTCACCCCACCACTATTCTTAGCAACAAAGGTCGCCATTTCGTTTGTTTATTACTCGCCAAAAACTATCAAATGCACGCAAAAGCCTAAAATCGAAAAAAAGTTTACAGGAATCGACCAATCGAGCGAGCGAGCAAATGCCATTCTCCACATCATATCTACAACTCACTCTTGCGCATGCGCGCAATTCACGAGTTAAAAATCCACGGGTAGGTTAAGGTTACTTAAAGCTTTTACAGAACTTTGCATTCTTTTTGATATCTCAATTCATTGCAAGATAATGATTACAATACCAATTACCGATGGTTACATTAAAATTTTCATGAAAGAAAATCCATTCTGTCTGATTCAGAACCTTCTCAACCCTTAAACTCCTCAGTCACTAGCATCTACTTTCTCCTTACAATATCTTCCCTGAATCAAACATCAGGATATCATGACAAAGGAAACTATTGATTGCTTACCTAATTCTCCTTGTTTGCACCTCAGAAAATGTGTAAAAAACGGTACGGAGAATAATCATACTCATGTTAGAGTGGGAAGGGGTAAATAAGAAGAAAAGTAAGGGTAACTATGAATTTCAACAAAACCCTGATAGTACTGTAAATTTTTCATTTAGATTTTTTCCCTCATTTGTATCTTTTCACCATATCCTAGTTTATAACCTCCACTTTAAATTGTTTTGGAGTCCAAATAATCATTAGTGGTGTCAAGGATCATCTTTGATTATAGGCAGGTAGTTTAAGTTGTAATGCGAAATTTGGCTCGTAATGATGATACCAAAACATTCAATTTAGCAGTTTCTGTACTTTTTTCCCTTTCTATGTATTTCTAAACCTTACCTATATGCATAAATGGTTTATTTTTGTTATAGGTTCTTCCAACCTAGCAGAAGTTTGTATCATTAGAAGGTAAAGGGTAACTGTTTTCTTTGGCCGTGTGGCTTTCAGCGATTTAAAGTGGAGTTTTCTTGTAACGAGTTTCATCACATCCCTAAATAGGATGCTTGTCAATAAAAGGTTGACTATCTTCAAAATTTTGCTATTTTTTAACAAACAAGCTGCCAGCACTCGACCATGGACCACCTGGTAGGTCAAATAGATGTTCATGAAGCATCCTTGCCAACTTAGAAGGCATGAGGATCCTGCCTGTGAAACCACAGGTAGCCCAAGTTCCAGTAGTAGGATGATCATCTTGCGTAAAAGGCGCCATGGCGAAAATATAGGTGTTTGTATGGGAACATTTACGACTGCTCATAGGAAGTAAAAATGCAGTAAAATTCTCAGTGAAAAATATCTCACCTTATTCTCCTTCACTTATGAGCAGGAAACCTAGAAATGGTAACTCACTAAAATTGCCTCGTTTCAACACATTGCTCAGACAACAAGCGATGCAGCATACAAGTAATTATTGCTTAATTGCTACGTCATTGAAGCCCTGCCTTGAGGCCAACCACACACTATATGACTAGGCTCAACTTGAGGCAAAATGGGTAACTCGTCAGTGAAAAAATTTCCGCAGATTTGAGATCAAATTCACTGCAAATATTCATGTATTTCAGATTTTCAGCCAGCCATCACTCTTGCCAGTGCAAATTTGCAGGAGCAAAAGGAACCACTAGAATCTAAACCTCCTTTCCGAAGGTTTCAAGGACGATTCATCAGCGTGGAAAGTCAAATAAACCTCCCGCGTGAGCTAATTTGATGAATAGAGTCCATGAAAAAGTCTTAAATTTTATTTTCAAAACAATTTGTACAGCCTAATGAATAGTCAAACCTTTTTGTTACAAGAGGAAAAGTCCTAGCGATGCGCGCGTTCCCTGAAGCGCTTTTAGATTGGGTGTTGTAAAACCAAAAAACAAAAACCAAAGTATTCAGAATAACAGGTCCATTAAAAAGAAAACATCTAAGTCTAAATCGCAACAAGAAATCTAAGCGCGGGAAAATGCGAGTGACCAGGTCTAAATTCTTAGTAAATTACATCAGTACAAAAAGTATACGCTAACTGATACGCCCTCATCAAGTGAAGTTTGAATGATTACAGTTTCAGCAGGGTGGCAGTGTTTTTTAGAGTACCTTCTTTCCATCGTTCCTAAAATTGAAATATTTAAATGAAGTCCTGTTTTTGACCAACAAGCTGACGGTGGACAACTTCTACGAATAGGTAGGACTCATCACTTCCTAATCCACGTCACGCCATTGTTGAGTCCATCTTCATCCAAATCCTTGAAGAGCTCTTTTCCTGATTTACTCATAGAATTGCACTCCAAGTTTAGAAACATTAGAGTCTTATTGCACTGAAGAACTTCTACAAATGCTTTAGCTCCGGTATCACCGATTTTGTTGTGGTTCAGCTGCAAATGCGTCAGAGTTTGGTTTGTATTCAGTGCCTGTGCAAGAGCTACTGCGCCTAGACAGTCAATGCTGTTGAAACTCAAATCTAAACGCTCGAGAGTACCGTTAACCCTGAGAGCCCTTGCTAAGGTTATTGCACATGGTGAGCTGAATGACGTGGATTGAAGATCTAAACGGGTCAGCTGAGTGTTACGTGACTGAAGAGCCTTAGAGAAGGCTACTACTGCTGAATAACCAAAGAAAGGAAATCGAGTAAGGGAGACCCTCTCACCCCTGAGGTGTAAATGAGTGAGAGAACAGTTTGATTGAAGAGCCTCTCCAAGGGCTGACACTGCCGATTCCCTACCCGAGTGTCCACTAATATCTAGGTAAGTAAGCGAACTGTTACATTGAAGAGCGTGTGCTATAGCTCTAATCCCTCGATCACTAAGCCCAATAAACTTACGCGGTAATCCACCACCCATATTTAAGCACCTTAACGTTCGGTTAGACTCCAAAGCTTGCGAAAGGGCCACGGCTCCCCCATCACCAATGCAGTTATATCCGATATCCAAATCCTCCAATGCTTGATTGGACCTTAAAGCGTCTGCTAAAGCTTCAACTCCGATGTGTGTTATCCCATTATCTACTAAGCACAGATGAGTCAAAGTCTGATTAAACTGGAGAACTTTTCCGAGTTCTTCGGCTCCCTTATCCTCAATGCAGTTGTATCCGATATCCAAGTTCTCCAATGTTTTATTAGACCTTAAAGCATATGTTAAAGCTTCAACTCCGACGTGTGTTATCTTATTATAAGCTAAGCACAGATGAGTCAAAGTCCGATTTGACTGGAAAACTTTTCCAAGTGCTATCGCTTCCGCATCACCGACTTGGGTTTGACTCATATTTAAATGAGTTAAAGTGTGGTTTGCCTGAAGAGCTGGAGTTAGTGATGTGATGCACGAGCCGTGCGTTAAATGTAAGTGCGTCAGAGTATGACTTGTTTGAAGGACATCTGAGAGAGCTGCTGCGGCTGATACGTCTAATTTCCAATCTAATTCGTTCAGTTTGTCGTTGCCTTTCAGATATTCAGAGACAAGAATTGGAAATCGAGAGTCCAAGGTAGTGCGATCCCATCCTTTGTCCACTCTTATTTTATCCATAGGAAAAGAGCGTGCTAATGCACCAGCCATCTTGATCTGGTAAGGCTTAGGCTCATTATTAGGTTGTTCACATCGAACAATTATGTCAACCATTTTCTCTGAAAAGGAAATCCCTCTGTCAAATGTTTCTTTCGGCAATTCTCTTCGCTCATCAAGTTTAGTAGAAAGGCCTCTACAAGAGTCTCTCGGCTCTAATAGTTCTAGCTTGAGTAGTGAAGTCTCTGAAAGGAGATTGCTATAGAATCGGTCTGGTTTTTCATGCTGAAATGAAGCGCATATACTCAAAACTAGTAAAACGGCTGTATCATCGTTTTCCCTGGCTGCCGTTGAGATGAGGAACTTCCACACCTGCCAGTAGTTACCAACAGGACTAAGCTGTCCCAGCAGGGCTGCGCTCATCCTGTCAGTGGTTAGCAATTCGTGCGCCAGGTGGAATGCGGCAAAATACTCCTGAAAAGTCTTATGGATAAATGCATAAGTCGGCTTCGAATTGATTTTGCTTGCACTGGCCTCTCGAGAAAGAAAACCAAGCTTAAGGAATTCAGATGACTGACTTTTCAGCTCTTCTAAAGTGAAAGCTAATTGATCTTTTAACAGAGCTTCAAGGGCCAACTTGCCTAACTGATTCAACTGGTCTGTGAACTTCTGTATAGGACTTTTATTGTCCAAAGATATTTCCTTTTTTGAACAATATCTTCTAAGAACACAGCTCACAAGTTCACAAAACAACATGGTTCTGTTGTAAGGTAATATACCACCTGTATCTTCAAAAACAAGACATAAAAGAGCTGTGTTCAGTGGATTGGCAGTCAATTTCCTGAGCTTTGAGTCTTTGTCTATTGCGTCAATCAATTCCTTTGCAAGGCTCGGTTTGTCGTGACTGCTGAAGTACTTCTTTATGTAACTGTCTGCATCTTCTTCGGTGTAGCCTGAAATCTCAAACAGCGCATCACAGTGTCGCCGAACTTTCATCCCTGCCTCGTGTCGTGCTGTTAACATGAGATAACTGAATGGGAACACTTTTCCTTTAATAAAAGGCAAAAATTCTTCAAACAGGTTCTTAGGTAATTCATCCAATCCGTCAAGCATAAACAAGATTCTAGATTGATTGCTGCGAATATAATGGAAGAATTTTTCCTTGTCTGTCTTCTCTACTTCAAGAGGTAGTAGCTGATCATCGATAGCGTCCTCAATTTTAGCAGTCTTCATGTCACGACACGTCAACCGAAGAAGCATGTCCACTTTAGGAAAAGAAAATTCAGTTGTTGTGTCCCCTACTGACCAATCATATGCAAGCTTCTGACAGTAGGTGGTTTTGCCCACCCCAGGTGGCCCCTCAATTAAAACCACTCTTGGTTCTTCACGTTCACATTTACATTCACTTTGACATTCACATTTTTTATGTGGTCTGAAGACACCAGTCATTTTGACGGGGTCTTTTGTCAACTTTGCTCGTTCTTTCTTCCGGCCAACGATCTTCAGTCTTGTAAATATCTTGGAAAGTTCGAATTGCAATTCTTCCTCACACCAAGGGAAGGGACACAATACAGCTCCTTTGTACTCTCGTCTGATCAGCTTCACAAGTTTCTCAGGGTAATCTGGAGAGATAAATGAAAATCTGCGTTAACTAAATAATTATCACTTTTGCATATAATAATTATTTCATCACGTAACACACTTCTTTGATAAAATCTGCATGGCAAAAACTCCATCTGCCAGATTTCACCGCGCAAATAGGAGCCCGCTTATGCAAAAGATAGCGCAGCGGTATAAGTCACCAGACACAAAATCAAAGAATACCTACGGCCCACTTGTGCATAAAGTACTTAATCCAGAGAAGAACCATGGTTACGACTTATTATAACTGGTCTTACAGCAACGCAAGGTTTGCATCATAAAAGCCAAAGTTCCGGAAAATCACGGAGAGATGCACAATTATGGTAAACATCCAACTCCGCAGCAAATAAACGCATATATAGTCAACAAAAACAGCACAAAATAGTATTCTGCGTTTATCGAATGTCCGTTTGCAAAATTTGTCAAATTTAGCTTCTGCGATTCAAATCTTTCTTCGCCTGCACAAGCAAAATTCCGCTATTTTCCATTACTGTCACGTTTCGCCTCACAGTTGCTCAATAAATGTTTGCAATGTAACGCAATCATCTTTGCTTACACGGTTTCCTCCCGCTTGCAACTGATAAGTTTTCTGCCTCGGAATGAAAATATCTCAGAACGCATTTTATGAGACTGCTAGTATTTTTGACTAATTTTAATTGAAGATATGTGGAAATGAATTCCACAAGTTTTCTATCGTCAGAGAAGCACAGGGTTATCTTCGTCCGCTTCTAATCGATCCAGTGGCCAATGTTTCAATAAGATAACTGAAGTTAATCACGGTTCTTGTTTTATATCAGATCATAAACAATCGAGGCAATTCACTGCATTAGGTTTGCGCCTGAACTCAATGAATTTTTGTTCACTTGGAAGGTGATATTTAAAGCAACGATCCTTAATGTAAACTGTAACAGAGCATTTCTATCGTTTTATGCGCGGATAGTACTCCAATATGGTTTCGTGTTCGGACGAGTACGGGACGACTAACTACTAGTATCTACAACTTACTGAGTGAGTGACACATTTTCATAGTGGAATTCTCATAAAGAAACGAGTTAAAAAAGCGTCCGTGACCCCTTCCTCCAGACCCTCCACCCCCCCGTTTAGCCTCTTCAACGCTTTCAATCACTGGAGAGGATCAAAAAAGCGGCGGCGCAGAACAGCGCGAGGACAAATGGAAAGAACTGTTTCGCTGACTACCACAACTGTAGAATGCGCTTGCATGCAATTTTTTTTTGCCTGCTCGCTTTTTAGCCTAGAAAAGGCCAGCTCCCCTCTCCCATAAAAAGTCCTGGCGAAGCCCCTGACCAAGATCGCCGTTACTACTGCAGTACAATAGCTGTTTTACTATGCACGGTTTGAAATTAATATCGTTCGATGTAATTTAATCTTTCTTTCATTGGCTGTCAGCCCCTTTTGTGACCTTCAAATGACGTTCTTCTCTTACGTAATCATGACTAATTTCGTCCATTGAAAATAACAGATGTCTCCTCTGGGCTATCAGAGAGTTAATCTCGTAAAACAATTTGGAAAAAACTCAGTAATCAAATCATAAAATTTTTATTGAACCCTCTAATTGTAGGATATCATGATTTTCATTGTTTTTAAGAAAAAAAATTACCATCTGAAATTGAAGGGTGAGGTAAATAATTTGTTGATAGTGTTACGGTGTTTATAGCCTCCGGGCTAGATAATTGTCGCAGTATGCTCAATCCCATTTGAAGCGCTGATTACTACAGTAACAGCTTACGGAGTAACGAAGTAGTATAAATCACCAACATACGGAAGGGAGGGGGGGTTAAGAAGAAGGTGCAGCAGGATCATTGTGAAGATTTGTGAAAGATGGTGTCCGCCATTTCACATCCGTTTCTTTTCTTTTTTTTAATGCCAGCCTCGCCTTTAAATTTAACGCGTCCGTTCAACACAAAGGGGTCTATCTCTTATCTCGTTTTGACTCTTTTAAAAACTCACCAGCTGGCTTGGGGTTTTCTGCGCATTGTGTAGTAACGTGTGGTTCTTCTGACTTTGTTATGTCTTGCACTTGATCTGCAACAGACAATCCGTGATAAAAAACCTTTAACCTTAAATAAAATCAGATGATTGACAATATCTGATGGCATTTTTTCCAAATGGCTAAATGGCACTGTTAGAAGGTTTTAATCTGATTCACGAAGTATCAGCAAACTTTAGGTCTTTGTTAACAGCTGAAAGGATCGTAAATAATCCCCCATACAAAATCTAACCCTGACACTCCATCCCTTAGCCCTAGCCCTTTTTCTTCCCCTCCTGTATAAACACTCTTCTGCAAAGTACCCCTAACTCTTTCACGAGCGCTCGCATTGCTTACTTTGGGGTCACACGTCAAAAGTATCTGAGCGAAAAAAATTGTTAAAAATTTGACTTCAGAGGATAACAGAGCAATGTTACGGGCGACTGTTGAGCGATGACCGACGTTGTACGTGAAATTGTAGCATTGTAGTAATTTGCACTTGATTTGTTTCCATATTGTGTCCTCTAATTTCTTCGTTGTGCCATATAACAAATCACATTAACACTGGTCCCTTGGCAAACAGTTTCGTATGTTCCCTTTTGTGCCAATTGCTGAATGTTTTGAAACATTTCTCTAAAAGATATAAAATTAACTATATACAAAAACAGTACAGTTTATGTCTCTGAAAGCAAAGCATTATGATAACAAGAAATACAATAATAGTAATAATAATAATAATAATAATAATAACAACAATAGCATTAATAAACTTTACTTTACATGAAAAACTAAAAAGTGTAGTAATAACACTTAACCACAAATCTCACTAACTTTTAGAGTGACTTCTCTCTTGAAAAAGGTTGTCTTGAGACACTGAAGTTGAAGGAAAAGGACACTGTCCATATTTCATGGATGAATGAGATGAGCGATCACCAGAGGAGCCTTTTAGAGCTAAAAGATACACAACATCAGTTAACTAAAGCTCTTTGTCCTGGGAAAGACAAAGGAATGGTTTTTAAAAATATCACTGTCCACTGGTAAGCTTTCCAAGGTATGCAAGTTTAGGACTCATTTAAAATTTCACTAACTTTGAGAGTGACTTCTCCCTTCAAAAAGGTTGTCTTGAGGCAATGAAGTTGAAGGAAGAGGACACTGTCCATATTCCATGGATGAAGGAGATGAGTGATCACCAGAGGAGCCTTTTAGAGCTAAAAGATACACAACATCAGTTAACTACAGCTCTTTGTCCTGGGAAGGACAAAGGAATGATTTTTAAAAATATCATGGCCCACTGGTAAGCTTTCTGAATCATACAAGTTTGGGAGTCATTTAAAAATGAACAAAAAAATTTGCATCATTCACATCTTAATATTACCTTCAAGGTAATGATAGTTTAACAGTTCTCTCCTGAATTGTTTGGAATAGTCATCAACTGGCATTGTAGAGGCTGGCCTTGCATCTCCAGTTGCAATAAAGGGTCTGCTTCCTAAACCTGATGGTGCACAATAACAAATTGACCAATTAGAATATGCTTCTTTGAACATCAAGTATTTATTCATTGAAGGGTCTTACAGTGGGCAAAGACCCAAACACAAGAGCCTGTGTTCAGGCAAAAAAGACAGCATTAAGCACTCTTATGAGAAGCACTACACCCAAACATGAGAGCCTCTTTGCAGGCTAAGCAGACAGTGGTAGGGGGTCTTTTAAGAGTGATAGGCTGTTGGTAGCTGGCTTTTATTGAAAACCAGTGACAATCAGTTTTGGAGAAGTACAGGAACTGCCATCACACATTAATGTCAGGTGGATGTCTTTGGTGAACGGGGCTTTCACTTTGGCTAAACACCTTTCAGATACAGAGCAGAATACTACTGTCACAGCTGGCAAATTTCTGCAACTCAACCTAGTCATGAGCCCTAATTCTGAACTAAGACTCTACAAGCTAACCATAGGGTTAGAACAGAGATAATGGCTTTATACCTTTGTTAAAAGCTATGAAGATCATAAAAAATCCCCTATACAAAGTCTAAACTGGACACTCCATCCCTTAGCCCCAACCCCCTTTTTCCCTGCCTGTATAAACTCTGCTGGAAAGTGCCCCTAACCCTTTCATGAGTGCTTGCATTGGTTACTTTGGGGTCACCTGTCAAAAGTATCTCAGCAAAAAAAAAAATTAAAATAAAATCTATGAAGTCAGAGGGTAACAGCAATGTTACGGGCCACTGTTGACTAACGACCGCCACTGCACGTGAACACAGCGTGATTGAGGCTAAGGTGAAGGTAATGTGAAATTGTAGCATTGTGGTAATTTGTAATTGATTTGTTTCCATATTGTGTCCTCTACTTTCTTTGTTGTGCCATATAACAAATCAATTTAACACTGGTCCAGTGGCAAAAAGGTTTTATATGTTCCCTTTTGGACAATTACCTCAGTGATTTGCAACATTTTTTTTGAAGATACAAACTTAACCATATACAAATGCTGCACAATTAATTTCTTTGAAAACGAACCATTATAATAATAGGAAATACAATAATAGTAATAACAATAACAATAATAAACTTTGCTTTACATGGAAAACTGAAAGGTGTCAGTAGTAATAACACTTCACCATAAATTTCACTTACTCTGAGAGTGACTTCTCTCTTGAAAAAGGTTGTCTTGAGACACTGAAGTTGAAAGGAAAGGAAACTGTCCATATTCCATGAATGGATGAGATAAGTTATCACCAGAGGAGCCTTTTAGTGCAAAAAGAGACACAATATTAGTTAGCTAAAGCTCTTTGTCCTGGGACGGACAAAAGAATGATTTTTAAAAATATCATGGTCCACTTGTAAGCTTTCCTAGGCATGCAGATTTGGGAGTCATTTGAAAATGAACAAGAAAAATTAACATCATCAAACATCTTAATATTACCTTTAGAGTGATGATAGTCTATCAGTTCTCCCCTGAATTGTTTAGAATCGTGATCACCTAAAACAGTAAAGGCTGGCCTCTTATCTCTGGTTGCAATAACAGGTCTTCTTCCTAAACGTAACAGTGCACAATAACAAATTAGCCAGTTAGAATACTGTATTAATTTGCCCTTGATTTGTTTCATACTTTGTCCTCTACTTTCTTTGTCGGCCATATAACAAATCGCATAAACACTGGTCCCGTGGTAAACAGTTTCATATGTTTCCTTTTCTGCCAATTGCTGAGTGTTTTGAAACATTTCTTTAAATGATATAAAATTAACTATACTCAAAAACTGCACAGTTAATGTCTTTTAAAACAAAGCATTATTAATAATGATAGGAAATACAATAAAAGTAATAATAATAACTATACCATGTATGAACTTTGTTTTAAATGAAAAACTGAAAGTTGTAGTAATAACACTTCACCATAAATTTCACTTACTTTGAGAGTGACTTCTCTCTTGAAAAAGGTTGTCTTGAGGCACTGAAGTTGAAGGAAAAGGGAACTGTCCATATTCCATGGATGAATGAGATGAGTGATCACCAGAGGAGCCTTTCAAAGCTAAAAGAGACACAACATCAGTTAATTCCAGCTCTTTGTCCTGGAAAGGACAAAGGAATGATTTTTAAAAAATATCATGGCCCACTGGTAAGCTTTCCGAGGCATACAAGTTTGGGACTCATTTAGAAATAACTAAAAAAATTTACTTCATTTAACATCTTAATATTAACTTCAAGGTGACTATAGTTTAACAGTTCTCTCCTGAATTGTTTGGAATAGTCATCACCTGACATTGTAGCGGCTGGCCTCGTATCTTCAGGTGCAATAAAGGGCCTGCTTCCTAAACCTAATGGTGCACAATAACAAATTGACCAATTAGAATATGCTTCTTTGAACATCAAGTATTTATTCACTGAAGGTCTTACAGGACGCAGGAGACCCAAACACAAAAGGCTGTTTTCAGGAAAAAAAGGCAGAAAGTAAGCACTCTTATGAGCAGCACTATACCCAAACATGAGAGCCTCTTTGCAGGCTAAGCAGACAGTGGTAGGGGGGGGGGGGTTTTGGAGATGTACAGGAACTGCCACCACACTTAAATGTCAGGTGGATGTCTTAGGTGTACAGGGCTTTCACATTGGCTAAATACCTCTCAGATACAGAGCAGAATATACTAATGTCACAGCTGGCAAATTTCTGCAACTCAACCTAGTCATGAGCCCTAATTCTGAACTAAGACTCTACAAGCTTACCATAGGGTTAGAACAGAGATAATGGCTTTATACCTTTGTTAAAAGCTACGAAGATCATAAAAAATCCCCTATACAAAGTCTAAACTGGACACTCCATCCCTTAGCCCCAACTCCCTTTTTCCCTGCCTATATAAACTCTGCTGAAAAGTGCCCCTAACCCTTTCATGAGTGCTTGCATTGGTTACTTTGGGGTCACCTGTCAAAAGTATCTCACCAAAAATAAATCATAAAATCTATGAAGTCAGAGGGTAACAGCAATGTTACGGGCCACTGTTGACTAATGACTGCCATTAATGTGGTAATTTGTAATTGATTTGTTTCCATATTGTGTCCTCTACTTTCTTTGTTGTGCCATATAACAAATCACATTCACACTGGTCCCATGGCAAACAGTTTTATATGTTCCCTTTTTGACAAATTCCTCAGTGTTTTGCAACATTTCTTTAGAGGATACAAACTTAACCATTTACAAACACTGCACAGTTTATGTCTCTGAAAACAAACCATTATAATAATAGGAAATACAATAATAGTAATAATAATAACAATGATAAACTTTGCTTTACATGGAAAACTGAAAGGTGTAGTAATAACACTTCACCATAAATTTTGCTTACTTTGAGAGTGACTTCTCTCTTGAAAAAGGTTGTCTTGAGACACTGAGGTTGAAGGAAAGGAAACTGTCCATATTCCATGGATGAATGAAATGAGTGATCACCAGAGGAGCCTTTTAGAGCAAAAAGAGACACAACATCAGTTAAATACAGCTCTTTGTCCTGGGAAGGACAAAGGAATGATTTTAAAAATATCATGGCCCACTGGTAAGCTTTCCGAGGCATACAAGTTTGGGACTCATTTAAAAATGAACAAAAAAATTCACATCATTTAACATCCTAATATTACCTTCAAGGTGACTATAGTTTAACAGTTCTCAGAGTAATTTGAAAATTAACAAGAAAATTGACATCACTGAACATCTTAATATTACTTCAGAGGTGATGATAGTTTATCAGTTTTTCCCTGAATTGCTTAGAATAGTAATCATGAATCTAACATAATAGAGGCTGGCCTCTTATCTCCAGTTGCAATGACAGGTTTGCTTCATAATTATCATGGTGCACAATCACAAATTAACCAATTAGAACATGCTTCTTTTGACATTATTTATTAACTGACAATTCACTTAATTAATGGTCTGTTTGTGTTTTCCTTTCAAAAATAGCAATAGATCATACTGAGTCCACGAGAAAATTAGTTCTTAAGCAAGGTAATGGCCTCAAAAGGGTGAATATCAAATTTCTCTGTCTTTCACCATCTTCTGGTACAAAAAGCTTCAACTTTCTCAGAAGAACTTCATCTAATTGCTTCTGTACAAGTATTTACATCTACTTTAAAACAACTACTGCAGTTACAACTACAGCTCAGTGGATCTGAAGAATTCAGTGGACACTCATTTGCATTTATTCTCCCTTCATGTGCAGCTCATAACTTTTCTTTTCCAAGTATTCCTGTGTCTGATCAGGCCAAAACTTTCATTTTCACCATTTTTTTTTAAACTTTTTTGATTTTTATTAATTAGTCAGTCTTTACGATAGACAACTTTTTTTTTTAATCAAGAGATCAGAGCCATTTCTTCCTTTGTTTGGCAGAGCCACTTCTTTTTTGTTTGGCTTAATTATTAATAGAAACTTTTGAAAATGTGTTCTTAGCTTGACTGTGGTAGTCTTTCACGGTCAGCATTGATCACTGTGTCACAGTTTGGCTTCTACATGGTGACCACGGCTAGAGGTGTTTGAAATTCCCAGATTGTTTCTTGACCTACTCCTTGACCTTATTATGACGAAGTTCTAAAATCCCAGCATTTAATTTCAAAACATACAGGTGTCTCAATAACATTTTCACAAGTGACTGCTGATGGTCTAAAAGGCAGCTGTGTCTGGAAAAGGACCATAACGCGAAACCCAAACATGATAGCCTGCTTGCAGGCTAAACAGATGCCATTGAGAGGTCTTTCAGGCAGTAGAAGAGCAAAACACAAGAGCCTGTTTGCAGGAAAACAGAGAGTATTGAGCTCTCTTATAGATGGCAGTATACCCAAACATGAGAGCCTCTTTGCAAGCTAAGCAAACAGTGGTAAGTGGTCTTTTATGAGTGGTAGACTGCTGGTACCTGGCGTTTGTTGAAATCAGTGGGAATCATTTCTGGAGAAACCACCTCACTTAAATGTAAGGTTGATGATTTGGGTGTACAGGGTTTTCTACTGTGGCCAAACATCTCTAAGATACTGTACAGTAACTGTCACAGCTGGCAAATTTCCGCAACCCAGTCCAGTCATGAGTCCCAATTCTGAACTGACACTCTGCAAGCTAGCCATAAGGTCAGAACAGAGAGAATAGCTCACAGGTGGAGGATGCCACAGCTCTGAATTTTCCATGGTCCTAGGGCACCTACACTTGCAAACAGCCACTTTTTGACCACTCATGTGCCCTCAAATGTGAAGATGACTGCTAACCAAGAATATCCCCTTAGCTAAAGGCACCTCACCTCGTTAAATTTTTATTTAATTAGCAAAATAAACCTCTTCAAAACCCCAGGTTTTCATATTTCTTATCTTGCAACTGAAATAAAGAACCCCTGTCACCTGACTTGGTGTATAAAATGATGAAAAACTAAAATTTTTTGACTGTGATTAAGAGTACATGTACTTGGTATCAATTAAATCACTTGTCTTAATTAAAATTATTTCCCAAAAAACCAATGCACAGGCTAGCTTACCAAATATGAGACTGTACATCCTCTCCACAAGACGTCTAATGGGCTTTTCCCAGCTGTACTTTTCCTGATAATTTTCACGTAGAAGCCTTGATTCTGAAAGTCGCACCTCCCTCTTTGTCTGTTGTACCACCTTGATTTTTTTGGCCCACTCTTTTGGATCTTCAGAGTCAACCACAAACTGAGATCCTTGAGGCACCTCCTTCAGAGCTTCTCCAAGTCCAGAATTACCACTGACAAGTACAGGCAAACCAGCAGATAAGGCTTCAAGAGCACTGACTCCAAATCCTTCAGTCTTGGATGGCATTATGGCAAGATCTGACTCACAGAATAAGTTAGCTAATACTTCTCTACTGTCACTGAAGCTGCGGACAATTAGCTGATTACGATCAATACCATGTTGAAGCAATTTATCTGCTATTTCATCTTCTTTCCCTCTTGGTGCACCAACAAACTTGAGTTTGTAAGACTTATCTTTCAACTCCGCAACTGCTTGAGCTGCAAGGTCAAAACCTTTCAATATGAAATCTTCACAGCTGTCACCACTTCCAATGACTAGAACACTGAAAGTTCTTCTTTCTTCAGGGGCTTGCTCCACTTTCAAAAATTCAGGGAAAATGCTTGGAGTGAGATTAATGACATTTTGCTCTTTTTTACTACCACGAAGGTAACCCTTGTAAGCATCTGTCAGCTTGGGTCCAATTGCTACAATTTGATCAGCCATCTCACACAATTCTACTTCTATTTTGTGCAGTTGTTCACCTTGCCAAATGTTTTTGTACATTCCAAGTTCTTCTGAGGCAGTGTGAACAACCTGGATCCATTTGCATTGGTGATCTTTTCTAATGAACTGCACTTGTTTGCCAAGACTTACTCCATGTCCTACTACACAATCCATGACATGTCCATCTGGGACATTCCTCAGCCAGTCAACTGGATTGCACCCAATCACTTTTTTTGCTTTAACAAGCTGCACATGGTGACTTGCTGCATTGTTTCTGTCTTCTTCATCACATTGTAGAAGAAAGACACTAACTTCCACATTAGAGTGTTTAGCTAGCTGTATGGCTAGTTCTCTGTTGATGGTTGACAAGTCTCCATCGGTTGATGATCTCCACTCTCTGCTTAGCAAAGTGACTCTCAGCTTCCTGTTTACTTGGCTGTCTTGTGATGTAGAGGCTACACTGGTGATGTCAAAGTCCTATCAGAGTAAAACAAGAAGTCTTAAAAATTATTTAAACGTTTCCTACAATGAATATGGAATTGCTAGTTCATGTAGAAAAATCGCATACATCATGTTATGGTGCACAGCTGTGCCTACATAAGGATTTTTACCATAATAGCTCCTTAGCAAGGAATTGGGGCAGCAATATGTTAAACATAGGCATACATAGCATGCAAGAGTTACTTTTTAGGCTGGGCAGGTTGAGATGGGACACTTTGAGTGTCTAATGTTCTCATTTTTGTAACAGAAAAAAGGCATAACTTTCAAAAAGATGAAAATATTGCATTACTTCACCATAACAGAAAGAAAAAAAAATTTATCTGAACTTGCACAGGTATTTTGTAGTCTATTGCCTCTATTGTCATAATACTACTATGCAAAAATAGAATGCATCCATGCCACACTTAATGTTGCCTCCTTCGCAGCCCTTGTTTGGTCTCGTCACACAACACCATATATTCCCCATTGGAGAGAGAGTGCAATGCATGATAAGACCAAATAACAGTTGTGAAAGAGACTATGCTTACTGCTGTTGCTCAAACAGAAAGAAAATCAAACTTATTCACCTATTTTTGCCCCAAAAATATAATTCTACATAATTTTACCATGAAAAGCAAAGTGAAACTCTGCTGTATTTCCAATAGACCCTAACCAAAGATATATTGCCATCTCGAATAAGTGAAGAAACAGTGAACAAGACAAAAGGATAATATATTAAAGGGGTTCCTTTGATTAGTTGTTGCCAATCAGGACTTTGCCCTCTGTGTGTGAAACACATGATAAAATACAGGTTGTTTACAAGGAAATAAGACGTGATTGAATTCACTCAAAGGCAGCTAAAAGCCAATTTTTTTCCTAGAAAAAGTCAAAATACAGGAGAACTGTGTGGAAAATTCACTATCAGTAGCATTTAGTTCCATGTAGATTTTTTCCAGAGCGGTTCGACAATGCGGTTAGAATACATGATTAAATACAGTTTGTTTACAAGGAAATGACACATGATGGAGCAAAGTTTAATTTGGCAAAACCGAATTTGATTGGTAGAATACAATTCAAACACATAAAAAATTGCATAATGTTCATGTAGTACAAGATTGGGTGTTTTCTCATTGGACTTTAGGTGTTGTTTTCATGGTACGTGCTGGAATATCAGTTGTTCGGCAGCAAAAAACACACTTTAGCTTAAAAATGATACAAAAAGGTTAAATGCAAACCTTTTATATCCAGATAAATCTTGATCTCAATCAACGAGGCTTTTGTGAAGGCCACAAACCATTAAACTAATCAAATGAGCCCAAAATTTATGGTCACCCTTTTTCAAATGTCATTCCTTGTGCACAACCCCCTGATTCCATGACATCATTTCCAAGGAAACAATTCCCAAACACCATGACTGGTGCAAGATATCCAAATGCTGTGATATGATTGGTGCAAGATAATACCATAATGCAGCAATCTGATTGGTGCAAGATACATACCCATATGCGGAAATCTGATTAGTGTGAGATACAAACCCAAATGCGGCGATGTGATTGATGCCAGCAACATACCACCCTACATGCTAACATAGTAATTTTTAAGAAAGAAACTCTACCACTGAGCCACAGAGACTCTACAGTGAGCAAGGTCTTATATGAAGTGCATATGACACGCATCCCATTATAATACTGCTAGGATCGATAATGTTGATAGCATAATGTTTGTAGATAGAAATGTAAGTTTTGAGATAAAGAATTGAGGTAAAGAATTAAGAAAGAAAATCAACTTCTTTCTAAATTTGCATGCAGGCTCTGCCTAATAGCATAAAGTCAGATACATGCACTGTATGTGATGCATGTTGATTTCATCAACCTCCTGACTTCTACCAACATACATGTACAGTAAGATGTAACCGTGCATGGAATGCATATAACAAATATGTTCTCCTATTAAACTATTAACTTCCATTCTTTTTGAAACTCTACATGTACTGGTAAGTGACTGTTTTATTTGCTGGTTGTAAAATAATAACAATCAATATATCATTCAATTTCCAGTGTTGAAAGTCTAATAATTTTTCGATAGAACCTTCAAAAGACAGTGAAAGTGATATGTATTGCTTCGGCAGGTTTTTTCATTATGATAAAAAATTAAACTACACAGACCTACAAGATGATTCAGTTATCACATTATTTTTACCTTTGATAGCCCAGACATCACAGGAGACCTTTAGTACTGAATATTGAAGCTACATGTAAAAAATAAAAATTGTGAATTTCAAGCCATTTTGTTTGCTGCACTTCACTGGACAACATGGGCTAAATAGACAAGTAAGAGAAAATTAAAAGATTAAGAAATACAAATGAGTAATTGGTGTGAGGGAAAATATAAAAATATGAAAATTGGAACAGTACCACAAATGAAAATTATAGAGGGAAAATTGTGGGTAAGGAACTCAAAGAGCTCTGTATAGCTGTTATCAATAAACTCTAAGGGGTGTCACATCAAGAAAGCCATGCACTGGAAGGAAACTTTGACATGATAATTTTTTGGAGTAAGCAAATACCAAAGAGGAAAAACTGAACCAGTATTAATTACCTTGCATTCTGTCTTGTCATCCACAGAAAATATCCCTTGCATGGTAAGGTGTGGTGTTCGGATGGCACGAGAAACGGAGATATATTCTTGGATTTCAACACAGAACTTTTAATAACTTCTAACATGTGTCGTCGCCATTACCGGAAGTGATCATACATCGAATCATGAACGGAAGCGAGGCTGAATTAATGTAAACGTAAATCGAATACAGCACATCTCCCCCTTTAAGATAATAAAAGAGAAACTACTTAGACATACTTGTTTCTTATCTAGCGTGAAATTCAAAATCAAAACAACGTCAATCAAATGTCCTCAAGTAATCGTCATTTTGTTAAGAAACACATCCTGGGTAGCTATTGTCGTTTGTCTCTGCACTAAGTCTCACACACACTAGAATACGCGTTCATAGTTATGACTTTCTGTCTGAGAAACCAGAGAAAATCTGGCCAGAAAGTATAACTTCACTTATGGCACATAATCCTTCAATCTAGATGAGGGCTTAGATTGACGGCCAGATCTGGTGTACACTTTTGATGTGCCAGTTCCTTCTGCAGTGTTAGCTGTTTGGGGTGAAGGAAGTTTAGGTGATGGAGGTACTGGCACCGGTGTGGGTTTGGCTGGAGCTGTAGCTGCAGCTGGGGTGGGGGTGGTATCTTGTTGATCTGTACTCTATTCCTTCTATATGACCCAGTGTCCGTATGGATCACATAAGAACGAGGTGTGCACTTCTCCACTACTATTCCAGACTGTCCTCTGTCTTGTACCATCACTTCATCTCCCTTCTCTAAGGGAACAAGAGGCCTCGCTGAATGCCTTCTGTCAAAGTGCAGCTTCTGTTTGGTTTTGTGATTGTCTTCAAACTGACGTAGGGCATGATTCTGCACAAGGTTTGGGGACAGCTGAGACGGGGCCACCGGCACTTTGGTTTTTAGCCTCCTTGACATCATTAGCTCAGCTGGAGAATAACCATTAGCCAATGGTGTCGCTCTATACTGTAGCAAAGCAAGATAAGGATCTTGAGAGCCAGCTAGGAGACGTTTAGCTGTTTGCACTGCTCTCTCTGCTTCACCGTTGCCTGAAGCATGACCTGGGCTGCTAGTGACATGTCGAAACCCGTAATCTAAAGTGAACATCTTAAATTCCCTTGATGTATAGTAGCTGGCATTGTCAGATTTTACTTGATCTGGAATTCCGAATCTGGAAAATGCACGTTTCATCCTGTCTATGACCTCTGCTGAGGCGGTTGAACTCAGACTAGCTACCTCTATCCATCTGGAGTAGTAATCAATCATTACTAAATACAGTCTTTTATTGAGTTCATAGACATCAGTGGCTATGTATTGCCATGGTCGTTGTGGGAGCATGGTAGGAACTAGAGGTTCTGGAGGATTTTTCCTGTTAGACTGACACTTGCGACAGTTTTCAATTAACTCCTCTATATTCTTCATCATGCTTGGCCACCACACTGTGTTTCTGGCCAATGCCTTGCACTGACAATCCCTTGGTGACCGTCGTGGATCTTATCCAGGACTTCCAATTTCATAGACGATGGTATAACGACTCGAGGTCCCATCATCAACAGCCCTTTAACCACTGTCAGCTCTGCTCTATGAGCAAAATAAGGGCTGACTAAACCCTTGACATTATGTTTTTCAGGCCAACCTTCAGCTACATAGTTCATAATTTGCCTGCATGCTTCATCCTCCTGTTGATGGATCATAATATCATCTAATTTGCTATCACTGATAGGCATTCCAGCTATGACTTGATGAGCATATAAGTTCACTTCCTCATGAAATGAATCACCTGATTTGGCTGGTGTTGGAGAACGGGATAGCGTGTCGGCAGTGTACAACAGTTTTCCTGGCACATGAACAGGTGTGAACGAGTATCTCATGAGCCTCATTCTCATTCGTTGAATACGTACGGGTAGTTGATCCAACTCCTTCGTGGATAGCAGTGGTACAAGAGGCTTATGATCAGTCTCTAGTATAATATCCTTTCCCAGAATGTAATCTGTGAATCGTTCACATGCGAAGGTACTAGCCAAGGCCTCCTTTTCAATCTGGGCGTACCTTTTCTCTACATCCAGAAGG